TGACCCCTTGGGCTCGTGGATCATTGCCAGTTCCGGGCTGGCTGGCGCGAAGGAGTCACGCATCGAAGGTGAGAACGACCGTAGGTGGCTGAGGTCCCGGGTTTGTGAACCCGGACGGGATGGAGGGTCGGACGAGGGGGCAGCTAAGCTTGGAGCCGTTGATGGCGCTGAGGGTGTGCTTGGAATGAGAGGGCTTGGATGACGGCAATGATCAGGTTGATGGCATGAATGGAGCTTCATCGTGCGGTGGCGGAGCCGTGAGTTGATCCGGGGGAAAACTATGCGTCTCTCATCGCAAGCCTCAGATTTTGCCGTATTTTTAAAGATGAAGAGTGTTCCTTTTCGCTCAAGTTCTGCGCGATGAGCGTCTCGCAATCACAGCATACATGGCTGAGCACTCCCCCATCCATCCATCCCGTCTCTCTGAAATGTGTGTACCGGTAGGCACACGTAAAGCGAATCGTAGCCCGTAGGGTCGGGTATGTACGATGACCACCCTGGGTCGGGTCGCAGCAGGCGACACGTCTGTTGACGCGGTACGCGATGATTGGACTTGTGTGAATCAGGGACGATGCAACGGCGTCCAATCCGTGGTCAATTGACTCTACAGTGGGTGTGGTGGCAGAAGTCTGAGACTGGTGGATGGGTGCTGGTGAGTCTTGACATGTGAAAAAGAGTCGACGGGAACCACACCCTTGATGGCATCCAGAGAGGCGCGTGAATCCTTCAACGGAAATAGCACCAGTATTCAATACGCTGAGCATTGCTAACGTGGTGATCGTCCTCTCGTCCGTTGGAGAGGCCCGGGAAGATGAGACAAGGCACAGTAGAACAAGACACTTGTGCTAGGTAGTATTACACCAGCTGCCGCCTCTGCCTCCAGCTGCACTGCGCATCCATCTCAGGTGACTACAACCCTGACATCAGCGTTGCCGTTCGGTATGTCCAACGCTGGGTGTTGTTTTTGGCTTGTGATGTGTGCGACTTTCCCATAACGGCACCTTTCATCGTGACCTGAAGCTTTAAGGCTGCAGACCTCCTCTGTCCAGGCCCGGTTTGCCTTTTGAGGAGAGATGCATAACAAAGGTGTCAAAGGACGACCAACTCTGATCTTCATTCGTTCATGCTCGTTGCCTCAACTCGACTCAACCCTGGTGACATCAAACATTGCAGCCCAGTAGAGTCTCCAACTGAAGATCAGACCTAGCGAGCCCTCTTTCACAAAGTTTTTCGTTTGTTGTTCTTCTACCCCTCCTCTAAGGATTCCCCAGATAATCGATCAGAAAGGAGGGGGGAACCAGGAAACGCATGTGCTTGACTCGGGTCGCGCAAAGTACAGACACAAGCGCAGACACTACCAACTTCTCCACCAAACTCATCCTCGCCCAGCATTCTAGCGACATCGGCGGTTGCGCGGGAGAATTCCAGTGAGGGGCCGCCGTAGACACTGGCAGGGGGAGTTCCCTGCAACACGTCTTGACTTGACTTACTCTTGTGGTGCTTGGCAGTGTGGAAGTGTGTGCCATCATCGAAAATCCACACACACGAGAAGGACACCAGGAACCGGAGAGTCAAGCATAAGCCCACTTGTTGCTGTCACTGTCAAAAGTGCATCGGGCGACTAGAGTGCCCTCAACATCAGACAGAGCGTGGCGGACCGAAACGCCAGAAGAAACGAAGCGAGACAGGGCAATAATACAAACAAAACACCGTCAGTCGCGCCAATCGAAGACGCCGGCTTCATTTGGTTCAGCAGCACCATCGAGAGACAAGCCGAATTCACGCCGACCGGGAGTCTTGCTCTGCTCTTGACGTTTACCAAAGATACCAGAAGGCCGCCATCCCGTTCCCGCCCGTCATACCACGGACGCCTTTCAGCAGAACCGGACCAGGGCTAAAAGATTCATCGCCTCTAGTCGCCGAAAGTTAAATCCTCGGGCTGCTCTCCGGTCCTTCAACCCCAATTCCTGTCTTCAATAGTTGAGCGAGCTAGCTGTCATCCATCTCCACGGCCGTCGGACAGCGCATCAAAGGTGGAGATAGTCACACCACGCCGGGCCATCCTCGTCTTGAAGCTTTTCCGTCTGTCGCCTCTCAGGATTTCGGTGACACACGCACACACGCACACATACACGCGCTCACTCATCTCATCTTCAGTTACTCACCCTCGTATCGTGTGTTCTCCTTGTTCCATTCGTAACCTCATAACTCTACTCAACTCATCCTCTCATACTCATCCGTGCGTCACCGCTACTTTGACCCGGAGGCTTGGGGCCTTTTACTCGCTGCGGACCCAACAAATTTTTGACCATCGAACCTATCCTGCGACTCATCATTGATTTGCGCAATACTTACAGCCTCTAGGCCAGGGAATCACACCCGATCCACCATCCTGCATACAGCACCGACTGAACTCTCTCTCTTGCTCACCTCACTCACCCACACACGCAACCTTACACGCATCGCGCATGCACACACGCATCAGGCAACCCTGTAGTTCTAGGCTTCTGTACTCTTCCCAGTCCGGATAAAGGCCGAGTACGTACCTGCGCCGCCCACTCCCATCTTTCTCCTCTCACCAGAGCAACGTTAGCTGCATGAAAACGCGCCGCATTGCAGCTTCGCAACGTACTTGAGACGACCCGAATCGACGAATCCTAACCGCCATCCGCCAACTGCGGCGAAAACCCCCAACAAGGCACCTCATCCTCGAGTGGATATCCGTGTTTCTTGCGTTTCCCTTCCTCTCCAATCTCCAGTTATCGTCTCCACCGCGTTGCATCAACAGTGTCCTAGAGGCCACACAGGCTCACGGTCTAGAACTCACTTCAACCCGACGCCGGTGCTGCTCTCCAACCGTCCAAGTGACCGCTATCTCATCCCGAAAAGGCGGTTTGGTGGCTGAGCATCCCGTTAGCGTGTAGCGACAATCACCGGGCACTACATCATCATCTCATCTTTCGAAACTCTGCGGCACGCGAGAAAAGGTCCTCTTTTTGCATTTGCCCTCCGCCCCGTCCTACTCGCAGGCCACTTCCCTCGACGTTTCTGTCTCGTGTCGTCTCTGCCCGCTTTGTGGCCTGAACCTCAATCAGCATACCGTCCTGGTGCAGGTCTGCAGAGCCAAACTCGTTTGGTCCTGTTCACCCCGGTATATCACCGCCATTTCTCTTATTCACCTGTTACTCTGCCCAGACCACTTACGCAACTCCTCCCTCTCCTCTCTTTCTGTATGGTTTAAGACATACATATTGGGGGCCTCGGGACCTGGATCTGGACCTCGAACTTGACATCGGCGGCTTGTGGTCTCATTCACTGCGCCCTCACCTGGCCTCCTGCACCTGCATCCCCCTTCCGTCCTGCAGCAGCACCACCACCACCACGTTGGACTTGACTTCACCCCCTCACTCGTCTGATCTTCCACCAGCCGTCAGTTGTCCTGCTGCCCACTGCTGTTGCATTGCTGCCTCACTCATTCGTCTTCCTCATTGATCCTGGCACCTCACACAAACCCAGCCGTCTATCGGAATTGGATCCCTATCCCCTTCCAGCTCGCTCCACTGCCAGCACACATCTGATTGACATTGACATTGACATTGCCATTGTCGCAGTGGCATCCCGCATAAATCAACGGCCAACCCAATCCCCTAATCCACCGCACCGGAACCCCCCCCCCAAAATCAATATTGGACTAGGGAAAACAACCTCGCGGCTCATCCCAGCCGGCATAGCAACAAACACATCATCAACCTACGTACAATCAGCGATCAACCCTAGCCAGGCAAACCCCACCAAGCCCGTCGCAAGGCGGTTGTCTGTACCTACATATTCCCATCCAGCCCAGGCTCCTCCCGCTTCCGCTTCACCTCCCGCAGGTTCTCGCTCTCATCATCTATCCCCTCCCCCCCACGCCGCAAACCTGGTGGTACAAAGAGAAAAAAGAAAAGAAACAGTCGAAGAGGGCTTTGTACAAGCACCTGCCAGCGCCCCCCGTCACCCCCCATTCCTCAGCAAGACATCCCAGGTCCCAGCTGCAGCACCACGAGACCCCCATCGGCGCCTCACCGCAACATTCTGATCCAATCACGACCGTCTAGCCCGCCCACGACGACAACTCCCCCTGCCACCCACGACCAGGGGTTGATCACCAAGACCTCACGATCACCACACAAAAGGAGGAGAAGCACAGGCCCAGTCCCCCCGATTTGCATCTACAACCCGTCCATCGTCTCCTCTGGCCCTGTAAGGACCTGCATCTGCCGCCGCCGCACGAAAAGCTTCAAAACAACAACAATACCCGGTTGTCCACTTCTGCATTGGGAGAGTGACAGGGGTAGAAAGAGACGAACCAAAGACCAACGAGTCCACTCCGACACTTTTGTCGTCAGATCAACACTCAAACGGGGGACCCTCAGCAGAGGGGTCCAGGTTTTTTATTGACCGCAACTTCGAGCACCACTCCATCAAATCTCGTCCTCATCTCCGCCTTTCCTTATCATCTCGTCAACGCACATTTATTTAATTCAACACTCCCCCTGGGAGGCCCTCCGCAAGCGAGATCTCTCCTTTTCCAGACTTCGTTTACCTTCGCAGCTCGCAGCTTGGTTACTAAAAGCTCGCTCGTCGGCATCGCTGTTCTCATCAAGCACGACTTTCATACATACACATACCCAAAAACATATCACCTCCGCTATCGCTCGCACACTGCGCCGCTTTGCGTGCTCGATTAAGTGAGGGGGGAAATCCTCCAATGGATCTATAGTGAGGATTCAAATTCTGTTGTTTTGAGTTCTACAATATTCGCCCACGATTTACTCTTCACACCCGTTGGATGAAGCCGGCAGCATCTTCCCCTTGGTGTCCATCCACTTCTTTCCCCAGCTTCGTGAGAGACCTGGCCGACTAGTCCCACCAACACACTCTTCATACACATATACCTACGCACATACCACAGACAACGCATCGCAATCATGTCTCGTCTTTCACCATTCCCGTCTAACATGACGTTCCGCACCGAATCCCGCGCTAGCGTCGCGGCGTCCGACACCACGTATTACACCTGCGCCTACCAGAGCTTCCACGACGTCGAGCTCTACGCTCCCAGCTCACCGCCCTCCAAGACCCCCGTACTAGCACCGGCTCCGGTCCGGGCTCCGGCGCCTCCTTCGGCTCACCATCACCAAGACTTTCAACACAAGGACAAGGAGCCCGAAACAGCCGAGATGCGCCGCCAGGACTCCGGCTATGAGTCCCTCCCGCCACGATCCTCCTTCTCCAACCCTCGTCGCACATCGACAGCATCATCCTCTCAGTCGTCTAACTCCCCGCATCCTCGGTCCCGCGGTCGCCCAACGATTCGCCGCGCACCAAAGACGAGCCCGTACCCTACGGCCGCCCGCACCAGCGGCAGCAGCTTGTACCACCCTCACCGCCAGAGCCTTCACTCGGCGCATTCCCAGCCGCCCGCGACCTTCTTCCACTTCCCTGCGCACCCAACGGATGTGGAGCTCGCTGCCAGGCGTCCCCGCGAGGAGCTTGAGCTCGACCAGCGACAGCTGCTCTCGCCAGGCAGGGAGGAGTGCACTGGAGTTGCGCCGCTGCCACCGCAGGCTACGCACTATTGGACCAGCGACCGAACTCGGCGGTTGGAGTATGCTGCTATCGATGCCGCAAGCAGGGGCGTCAAAGGCTGGGTGAAAAGGCACCTCGTTCCGGACTGCTTCGTGCCCAAGGAGAAGCACGTTGCGTTCGACGACGATACCGGCAGTGTGCGACGCTACCGACTCGAGCTCGACGAGGAGATGCCCTGTGAGAAGGGCAGGTGTGGGGGCCGCAGGAGGGGCTGGTTCGAATGGAAACGATCCAAGACGGCTTGAAACCCGGATTTTGATGCGATCGGGCAGTACCCGCACCCATTTTGTTTTCGGATGTTTTTCTGCATATTTCTTTCAATCTTGGTGTTGACACGGTTGGCTTTCACGGATCATGGACTTAGGGGGGATGGATATTGCATTTAGTCGACACGGCATCTGCACAAGCGGCCGGGCAGGCTGCACTGGCGTTTTATACCCAGCATTTGGTAACGTTGGAATTTTCTACTTTTCTTCTTTTGGTTCCTTAATCTTGTTTTGTAATGTTTGTTGCCGAGAGAGTCCCACCGAGGTTTTCGGAGACGAGAGGCGAAGGACATGAGTTGGTTTCGAGCATCAGAATGGCATAGCGACATATAGATGATAGACGATGTGATGAGACCAGCTGAGAAGGAGCAAAGAGCTTCCGTTGGGGGAGAATGCTTTTGAGGACAGAGGGACTCGTATACAGACTGAAAGTAGTTGATAGCTTCAAACAGACTGGATTACACTTAAGTGGGTGCCTCGAGATTTCACTCCTGTGCTGTTCGTAAATGATCTTGAAAGAGTCCCTATTCGTCCACTCTAGCTCGTGCCATCCGATCGCGACCTCCCCGTTTCGACGGCTACTACGAGTATCGTGTGCCTCATACACCGCTAGTCCCTAGACCCATACTTCGAGAACCACGGTACGTTGTTGTGGATGTCCCGGAAGACCGGCGCCCTTCCGCCCGGGTCCGAAACCCAAACGGACCGGCCCGGATCAGCCGCCTTTCCGGACAAAGAGGCGGTGAAGAATTGGGTCTGGGGCCAGATTGTGTACCGGTATGGCTTTCAATCTTCAGACTAAGCACGTCGTGAGTCAGTGCTTTCAAGTGACTGGGATGGGGTAAAGTTGACCGGATGAAATTGGAGGCTCCAAACGGCACTGATCTTCGAATTACGCGAAGGGGCCCTAATACTTTCCATAAGGTGCTGGTTCATAGGCTTGTATAAAGATATAGTCTTCTCCTGTCGATATTATGCAGCGTTCGCAGCCGTCTCGACTACTAAGTTCCAGCCCATCAGTTGTCTCGGCATCTTCACCGCCTGTCAACATGCCTCTCCTGCATCACCATAACATTGCCCGTCCCTTATGCACGACCATATCGATCTCCTCTTCGATCCGCCTGAACCTCTCTGTTCTCATCAAAGTCACTTCTCTGCCTTGGCACATTCAATTACAGCCAAGTGTCGCCACGGACCGTCGCCCATTGACACGCCCTTGATCTCCAACCCAGCCTCCCCTAGAATTCTTTTCCAGCACTCGAGAGTACGCTGCTTGCCGCCGAATGTGAGCATCATGAAGTCGAGCATCGTCGCGGTCCAGTGCGGCGGATTACCCATCACGTCCTCTTGAATCAGGAGCCGGCTGTCATCTGTCATGGCCTCGGTTATGATGCGGAGCATATTGACGCTAATCTCATCGCCGTGATTGTGTAGACATCGACGAATCCAGTATGTGAGGGCCCCTAGATAGGCGGTCAGCTGACTGTCTCGGAGTTTCGGTAGTCTATACCGGAATACGACAAGCAGTCCATTACGGCTTACCTTTGACGGGTTGCTCTTTGTGAAAGTCGATGACCTGCTTCTGCACAAGCCTCATATCCTCATCATCCAGCTTCTTCACGGCCTCAACCACCTCCAGTCGATCCTGCAGAACGCACCTCTCCAACGGCAGTCCAGGAAATTCGCGGTGGATCGCCTTGATGGACTGCCCCCTACCCGCGCCGACGTCGACAAATAATGGCCGATCCGAGGAAGGGTACTCTTTAGCATAGTTGATCACCCAGCCAAAGTCATAAATCCCCGATATGGGCATCTTCTCCTCAATCGGCCCCATGGCGCGCAGAAACTTCTGCATTCGTGGAGGGTCGTGCTGTAGCATCTCATAGAAGCTGTATTCTGGTACGCCGTAAGCGTACGTGCCAGGAACGTGGTTGAGGGTTTGCGGCTCTTTGCGGCCGTACTTCTCGAAGTAGGCCGGCATGTGCACGTAAGGCACTAGACCGTTGTCCCAGCTAGAGAATTTCAGTCCCTTTGATTTCCTTATGGGATAGAAAAGGGGGTCATGACTTACGCCATGCCAAAGATCTGGCCTATTGGGTGGGCCTCAACATAAACGCGCGAGCGTTTGGTGTGGGCAACCGAGTTGTCTCCGACTTGTTCCAGGAAGTTTATTGATGTGAGCACACCTCCAATTCGTCCTTTTATTATAGCGTCAGTAATCATTCTTCCAAACGCAATGTAAGACTCACTTATCAATGACTCTTCAGCATCAACCCTCCCTGCCAGCTCACCGTACGAGATGCTCCCTTCAAGCGGGATATGATCATATACCTTCCACTCCGCGAACAGTCTCTTCGCACCGAGCTGTGCAACTTGTAGTGTGGTATCGAACCATTCATCTGCGGGCTCCTTTACGGCATTGATGAGCTTAGTTGCGGCTTCAATGATCCGTCGCCGCTGAGCCTTGTCGAAGTCTCCACCGGAGGATCCGGGATCGGTCACAAAGCTCTGGAGGGCCGCGTTGACCTCTGCCGTTGCGGCGGCGGCCTCCTCCCGGACCAGGTCGCCGACGTCGTCGTTCATTTGGGGTGGTCTATTTTGAACTGGCCCTATCAAGGCAAGCTTCTTCGAATGCTGGCTGGCGGCGTGAAGCACGGGCAAATAGCTACACGGGCGGATTACTCGCGTTCCCAGCTGACGATGACGACGTTTGGCAGCAAGCTTCCAGATCGGTTACCCAAAAGCACCGATCAATTGAACATCACCACAGAATAACCAGATAGACGAAAAATATCAGGATAACTCATTAGCAGCAAAAGAACTTTGAGATTGAACACCGGATAGATGGTAAACTTGTGCAACCCCCCCACGGATGCGGGGTCATGATATCTAACTAGCGGGGAGAATCGGAGGAAACGTCGAAGAAAAAAGTCGATTCTATTGCCCTCGAGTTACCCTAGCCTTTTCCGATTCCGAATGCACTGATACTAGCTTATTTCGAAAGATAGCGGTAACTTGATACGGCAGCTCGTTGTGGCGTCGCATGTGCTGGCTTAAACGTGGCGCACTTATCACCCATTTGCAGGGTACTGGCAATCAGGAGTCTCGGGATATCCGTAGATCCCACTGAATGCCAATGGTCACTCGGAAAACGTGGACGCCAGCTAAAAAACTAACAAACAATGGAATTGGGGGGCAGGATGGGAGTACGAGGGGTTCGGGCTCAAAGAGCACAACAACCAATAATAAGAAACATTGCGTAGCGCCACCGCGTGATGATGGCGTCTTACGCAGCTGCCGACCTCTGACTATTCCCGTTCTGGCTACGCTTACCCTCCATCGGCGTCGACAGTACCAAAGTCCGCCGCAAAGCTAGCAGATTCAGGTTATGGCGCCGGCCTGCAACCAGAATCCAGCTAAGTAGAGGAATGCCCACGGAGTTATAGATTGCAATAGGCTGGGCGGAGAAATTTCCTTTGGGGATCATGCTGGTCTCTTCTACACACCACTCGTGCTTTGATCTGAACACTCACTCTTCTTGTCGGGCCTCGCTGGGTGCTTCTGCTGACGGCAAGGGAAAAGGAGGCTAAAGCTCAAACATCCGATACGGTAGCACCAACGGCTCTCTTTGACCCTCATGTTTCCCATTTTGTCTCTTTCATCGGCTCATTGTCAAGTACACGTACCGACTCGACTGACTTCCTGACCCAGATCCCACTCCAAGTTGGGTGTTCGTCAACTTTTAAAGCTCTAACAAATGTTTCGCTGGGTCCTCAAAAGCCGTTCCAAACCCCATTACGTTCTGGCTATCTCGAGTCACTAAGTCGAAGCACGAATTTGGCGTCGCTTCCTGGCTCTAACGCACAACGCACTCTCAACGACTTACGGCCATACCTGGTCGCAAACCATTTGCTCGGAGAGAGGAGGGAGAGCCGATCAAAATACCACCAGCTCCAGTGTAATATCCAACAGTTCTGGCTTTGCCTAGTGTTGCGCAGCCATGGCAGATACTACTGTGAATGAGGCCACTGAGCTACCACGAATGCAACCAACAGTCTCGCCCAATCCGCTACAGCTTCAGCCAGGGTCCGAACAGGAAATCACACTGGCGGAAAACAATGTAGAGGCGGACACAAACGATGGCGCGTCGTCACAGGGGGACGATACCTGGGACGAAGGTTTCGACAGCAGGAGCGTAGGCAATCACTCGGCCTCGACCTCACTGTCAAACAGCGTACGCGACTATATCTTCGAGAATACACGGCGGTATCACAAATACATGGAGGGGAGGTACTTGATGCCCAACGACGAGCCGGAGCAGGAACGTGAAGATATGAAACATGCCATGTGCGTCAACGTCATGGACGGGAAGCTCCATTGTTCACCGCTGGATGGCCCACATAAGATTATTGACATCGGAACGGGGACGGGGATATGGGCGATCGATAGTGAGTTCTTAGGCCACTCCATGCTCTTTGCGATTCATTGACTGACGCGTCGCAAAGTGGGCGACGAGTTCCCTGAGGCTGAGGTCGTCGGCATCGACCTCAGTCCTATTCAGCCAACCTGGATCCCTCCCAACGTCCGCTTCATCGTTGACGATGCAGAGGCCGAATGGGTTTGGCCTGAAAACTCGGTTGACTTTGTCCACGCACGACACATGTGCATGGCCATCAAGAACTGGCCGCGTCTGCTATCGCAAACATACAATTCTCTGAAGCCTGGAGGCTGGGTTGAGCTGCAGGAGCTACGGTTCCACCTCCAGTGCGACGATGGAACGATGCCGGGGCCAGACCAGTATGGGTACGGCCGGTTTGTCGATCTGTGCATGGCCGGTTTTCGAAGCTTCGGCATTGATCCACTGGCGATGGAGAGAAACCGAGAAATGCTCCGCGCGAGCGGCTTTGAGAATGTTGTGGAGAAGGTGTGGAAGGTGCCCATCGGAACATGGCCACGGGATCAGAAGCTCAAGACGATTGGGCTATACAACCGGAGTATGCTTATCGACGCGTTACAGGCTGTCAGTATGGCACCGTTGACGAGGGGATTAAAATGGAGTCCGGCTGAGGTGGAAATATTCCTGATTGATGTGCGCAAGAGTTTACTGAACTCTTCGATACACTCTTATCTGACCTTTCATGTCGTTTATGGGCAAAAGCCGGTTGGTGCCTAGATTTTGTGTTCTGTGTACAAGGTCGCAAGTTAATGAATACCACGGAAGAGTTTGTTTCCACCCGTACATGATACTCCGGTTGCAAGGCAGTCTTTACAGTATCAGGTTAACTCTAAGATTGGGTGTATGGTAAAGACGTTAATATTGCTGGAGTCGGCTTTACAAAACCAGCTCGAAAATTGTATTCCTCTCAGTTCGCAATCAAGGCATGAAATCTCGACATCCACGTTTCGCAGGGCAAACATCCTTGAGACCATTCTTGCTCGCGCCATTATTCAGGCTGATCTTGGGAACATTGTTGGCTTGATTAAGCAACGTGTTGTCAATATTGCAAATTGAGCAATCTCAGCCAATTTTGCACAAACCGATGGGTGCTGTCTTACCACTGAACTGCTGGCATCGCGCTCTTCCCTTTGACTAAAGCATTGCGCAGCCTAACCACCATACGTTCAATCTCTTTAGTGTAAGACTGGGTATTCAATACTTGACTATTTGTACTTTGTTCCATCTATAAGGACCACCCACAAGTGGGAATTTGCAACCTTTACACCTACTGACTTTCTCTAAACGTGCCTTTGACTTTTCTAAGGATCTTCTGGCTGGAAATGGACTGAAAATGACAGTATACTAAAGTTATTATAAGCTCAAGGCTGTAGCAAGGTTATGCGCATGATTCCCATACGGGTTTCATTGCACGTATTATAGGCCAGCTTCTTCCACAAAGAGCTAAAATTGCAATGCGTCTATTTCTTAGTCCATAATCCTTATCTTCCATTAATTTTCGGTTGGGTTGACTCGTTTGTCTATGTAATCACGAAGTATGCCCACTTGTACAAAAATATCGGCAACGTTCTAGTCAAAAGCAGCCTCAACACTAACTCTCACGTCCAGAACGACGGGCCTATGATCTGAGATATAAAGCCCGTCATCAAACTTGTTGGGCAACACCGCGTGACTCAAGAACTCCATGGTGCGAACCGTCGGGTCCCGCACAAACAGGTAGTCTATCAGTGTATCGTCCCAATTGATGTCTGTGAAAGCGGTATACGTCTTCGAGTGACCTGTTCTGCGCGCTTGGTGTACAATATTGCGGGTATCGTGCATGTTGCTCTCCGCAACCAGCGTCTGGTAGGCTGCGTTATCTGGTGGGATGTTCAAGTCACCGCCAAGAAAGACGGGTGTCGTTCCCTCAAACAATGATCCCAACTCCTGGGCTAGATCAACTAAAAGCTCTGCGCTACGTTCCTGTGCCATCTTTCCCTGGTGATCGAAATGTGTGCACATGTATACCAAAGGCAAGCCAGTCTTAATATGCTTGAACGACGCAACGGTGACGATTCGTGGAAGCGCAGCGTCCCAGCCCCTGGAACCTGGAACTTCTGGAGTCTCGCTTAGCCAGTAGGTTCTATTCTCAACGAGACTCCATGTATCCGGCTGATAGAAGATGGGGGAGAACTCTCCAGCGGCAACGCCGTCGTCGCGGCCAACGCCGATGTGGGCCCAAGAGGGCCCGAGGTCTTCGGAAATGTCAAGGAGTTGCTGCTCGACGACTTCTTGCATGCACAAAAGAGACTCGGGGCGTACTGCTGTTTCATAGTTGAGCTGAGCGGCGAGGCGGGGCCGACGGGTGGACCAACGTGCTTCGTTGATGCCAGTTATAGGTGTAGCCCAACGGATATTGTAAGTTATGAGTCGGGGGGTGAGGACTGTCGTTTGACAAAGAATACCGACGGCCCCAAGGAGCACAGCCGTTGTAACACTAGCTTTCATGGTGACTGGATGCTCCCTTACTGCCCGGACACTCGTTGAAAGAGCATTTCGCTATCAGCTTGGACCTTCGCGCACCTGCACCATTTATAAGGCCTTTTCTGACATAACTCTTACACTCTGTCTACAAATTGCTAGTAACAGCGAGTGAGGGGAAAGTGACCTCGAATCTTGACAGTATGAGCTCAGCTGCATGGGAATATCACATCGTACGCTTTATCTGCATGCACGTCTTTTTCCGGTTATCTAGAAATCCGGCAAAAGCTATTGCTTCTACAACTCATCACCTACCGTTGACCAGTAAGATTAACGTTTAGGCACCTTCCCCAGATCATCACCATGGTCCGCCTTCACGTGGGAAACCAAACCCGCTCATTCGCTGCGGAAGCGGAGCACACTCGGCTCAAAAGAGATAATGCCTGGCACGAGAGCCTTGGCGAGGATGATGGGTTTTCCGGGAAAGTTTTGGCATCTCGGCCCAGACAAATTCGTCCTTTCGTCTGCGCTTCTAAATCGGGTATAGATATGCGGCGTCCATAACGGATGATTCGCAAATGTCTCCATTGTTTCATTTCCTGACTCCTTCCATAAGCAGAGAGGGGACGAATGCCTTAATGCAGGAATATTTAATTCCGCTTACCTGCGAAGCTTCCAATGCTGTTATCTTGTCAAGGTTCACGGGACATAGAGCCCGGTCTGACAAGTAGGACATAGGATTCAATCCTAGGCCTAATGCGAATTGCATAGCTCTTTGGATTTCACACTAGCAACCCAAACTGACGAGACCACGTTGCCAAGGATTAGTAAGAGATTATTTGGTGCAGAATGCTTCATAAATGGCCAGGCCCTCACCGACCACACGAAAAGGGATTGTGTCCGAAGTTCAAGACCCACTTATTCTATGGCCTGAATGACGTATTCTTTCCATGAGGTCTAATGCACATTTGCCATAAACCATAGATGCACAATGTGAGGATGATTCGGGGCTCGGCTATCGGATCTGCGCTCTCGCACTGACATAAATGACCCAGATTCCACTTTGTGCGCAGCCCGCTTCCGAATCGTCCCTTCATGGGATATGAGTCACGAGGGTTTTTAGCATTACCCAGATACCCGTCCAGATGTTGGGGGCTGGGTGCTCTTGTTGGATCCAATGCACAGGGGCTAGAACGTACACTAACACTTGCAAGGACAGGAGATTCAAATACAGACTTTTTGGCAGCAACATTTTCTATGTACATAGTATGGATGAAAACTTTCTGCTCATGTCCTCTTTTCCACGAAGACAAAGTGGAGCGGGCTGCCATTTCCTGTCAGGCGAATACGTAACGATCGATCCTAGCCCATCATTGGCTGATGAGGCCTTTTGCGTCGTGTGGCCACTGCCTAGATTTGGCTTAATTTCCCCGTAAGAAAACGCGCAACGTGATCTGGAGCAATGTTGCATCAATCGTGGATATTATACATGATTTTATACACTAGTGTGAAAAAACCGCTGTAGATCGGATAATCACCGGGGGCCTCTCAGCGAGACATGGGAACGTCTCCAGGCCGGCCCGTAGTATTCCTCATGCCTGGTGACATTTCAATGTCGACCTGATATGTGTACTGCGCATGTATGCCAGCCTTCTGGTCGCTCGGCAGCAGGTCTCCCTTATCCGAATCACCGTCCTGGAGACGTTCCCACGTCTCGTCGCCCCTGCCGTGAACCGTCGCCAAGCTGAAACCCACGTCGGTTGGGTTGCGGAATCGATCGCGGCTTCGCGGCTCGAGAGGCTTGCTTCCAATTGTGAAGAGCCCCGTCTTTGTCCCACTTCCACTCGGGTTCGTGCTTTCCGTCGTGCCGCGGCTTCGCGCGATGAAACGACGTAGCGAGGGTACGGATGAGGCTATGCAGCCGATGCCAGTCTCAATGTTGGAGCAGAGTACTGTATGGGCGACCCAGACTATCTCGTTGTAAGTTTCATGATACAGCGAACCTGGAGATTGGGTATGACTCACATTGAAGGTCCTGCTGTGCCTTGAACCTGTTGACGTAGGGGATGCGGACCATGGTGATAATGGATGCTCTGGGAGAATGTCAGCTAGTGTGCCGCGTCGTATCCAAAACGACTTGTGGAAACTTACACAGAAGCAAAGGACAGCAGACCAAAGACTTGCAGCTTGGTCTGCGTCTTCATCTGGGTTCCCCATAAAATAATGGCAGGTACTACAACCAAAGCCAGATCCGTCACAATGGTTGAGCTCGTTGCAACATGGCCGATGGCAACGAAGACCTCGACAGACCCGCAAGTTCCTTCACCACTGAGTATCATCGCTGGCGTCCACAGGGCGTTGACCGGGTGGCAGTAGAGCAGCGTTCCGATAAAGGTGATCAAGAAAGATGCCCACGTGACACCGAGCAAAACCCAAACAGCAATACGAAGGCCCTTATCGGTCGTGATGATGCGTTGAATGGTGAGGCAGACGGAGGACTTGACGAGAGCGAGGGCGATAACGTAAATCAAGATCCAGACGATGTAGATCTTGAGAGCTTCCGAAAACATCCACATGTTCAACTTCTCCTGCAATGTTCCTAGTCCGACGAGGCATCCATAAATCGCGAGCGCTACAACCACCACATACACGATCTGAGAGATCAAGTTAGCCCTACGCTCCTTCCAAATGGTTCAAGATACCAATCATACAGTTCCTGCTAGCATGAGGCCGTCGTCCAGACCGAACGTGCCCTCAACCAGACGCACGCGAGTGCGTACTCCAACGCATAGTACCGAGATGACGAGGAATATGGACGAGATGATGATGATGGCTAGCGGCAGCCCTTCCGGCTCGAGGATTCGCAAGTTGGGGTCGACGGTTGTTGACATATTGGCGGCACGTGTTGATCAGTTCTACAACAGCACACACTCACGCCTCGGTCGTTAGAGTAGGTGACAAAAAGGCGCTCCCTCGAATTATAGGTAAAAAGGCAAGACAACCAACAATATCTTGGTTGGGAGCTAATGTACCGCTTCCGCGGATCTAGTCATGCAGGGGGAAACGGGAGCCCGTAGGATGAGGCGTTCTTTGGGGGCCGTTGGAAAAGATCAGAGCCGGGTTAGGTTTCATGCATGTAACCCCAGATATCAGCACTTGAGGAATTGCATTTTGCGAGAGGTGTCATGGACTCGCCACTGGAAGAAAATACTGATGCAACCAACCGAGTCTGTATTCCATCGCCGACGCGCCGGCGAGTTCCCCGTCCCATGGGCCAGGGCCCTAAGCAACCCAAGTCAAGGCAACCGGAAGGCCTGGAATGAGGCAAGGTTGTGGGGTTAGACTGAACTGGATCCCACTTTGCCCACTTTGGCATCACCAGTGAGGAGTGGAGTCGGGCCCGAGCAGCTCGGGTTGGCTATAGATGAAGACGCTAGACAGGCGAGCAAACCCAGGGGTTCGTTGTGGAAGACGAAGAACTCCACAACACTAGGCAAAAGACATCGTGAAGGTCCGAAGAAAAGTCGAACCATGCATGGAAGGCGGTTTGACAGTCGCCCAATAGCGAGATCTGACAAGTCGCATGGCATGCCACGCTAGCGGCGGGGCAAAACGTCTTCCACAGTCACTTTGAGGTTGAAACGTGCAGATCAGCGCGAGGTGGAGGGGTGCCACAATTGGGATCACCACGATCCAATTCTACGAGGCGAGATGCGGCGGCCGTCTCTGCATAACGCGCTCGTACGAGGGTAAGACTTGCCGCTTTCAGCTTTGGGACCTTGCCATACCTAGTCTCAACCCCCAGTAAGCGAAAATGGTAGGAGAAAACAGTCAGCCTGGGCTGTCCCAAATAGGGTTCCAAGGATTTGGCGTCACATTTGTTCAAGTTTAGCGGAAGGATGATATCCGTTATGCAGGCACTGTTTAATAATTGAAATTGAGGCGCCAAGCTAGTGGGACCGGATTCACGGCAGTTATAATGACGGCCAAGTCTAAGCAAAGAGCCTCTGTAAGGCTATTAGACAATCTTCACACGCACGCCATTAGTTCCCGCCTTAGGCACGGGAACAAACATATCGTGGTCGTAGGCAACATCCTCATCGGTGGTCTCGTAGAGACGCATGTTCGGCATAACACGCAAGGCGAGAGCCGTAAGACACAGGTTGAGCTCACACAGAGCCAGGCTGGAGAAAAACGTGGGTTAGCAAACGGCACAGTTGGTGGATGACCATCATGGAACCCATAATGCAGAAGAAACTTACTTCATGCCGAGGCAAGATCTGCTGCCCTTGGAAAAGGCAAGCATGCCCTTCTCAACATCCTTGCGTCGCTGGTTGTTCTCGTCCAGCCAACGCTCGGGGATGAATTGGTATGAATCGGGAAAGACGCTCTCGTCGTGATGGGTAATCACAGCAGACATGCCGACGGCGTAGCCACGAGGGACCACGTACTCGACAGGCTTCTTGTTGAACTCGCCACGGTAAACCAGGCTCTCTTCGGTTGGAACACGAGCAGTGCGCGCAGACACGCCGTAAGACAATCGCAATCCCTCCTGAAGGACGGCTCCGAGGTAAGGCAGGTTTTCAAGAGATGTCCATTTAGGGAGGTGCTTGGGGTCGTCCACGACCGTCTTCAACTCATCCTGCAGCTTCTTCAGCAGCTCAGGCTTGGTGAGAAGGTGATAAGTGATAACAGCTAGAGCCCAGCTGGTGGTCTCTGTTCCAGCACCAACTACGGCGGCGGCCTCGTCGGCCAGATGCAGTGAGCCATTTTCAACCAACGCAAGATCGGACTCAAGGAGGGAGCCAAAGACAGTGGGGCGTTCGTGACGGATACCGGCATCAAGGTCGGCCTTGGTGCGGTTGACCTTGTCTGGGATTCTGATCTTCAGTGTGCGAATAAGCAGAGCGACGTCGGCGGGCAAGTAGTCCACAAGCCTTGTTAGGGTTAGTTTAAGTCTCCTTTGATGACTGGTATAGAGGCCCGGACGGATACATACCACTCTCCAAGTACGGTAAGATGCTTGGTCCAGGGGAAGAAACGGAGGACGAAGACAGGTCTGAGGATGGAGGCAGTGGGTGCCCGGAAGTTGGGATACCAGTCCTCCTGGGTAAGGAATCCAAAACTCTCGCCAAAGAGGTAGTCAGAGATGGCATCAGAGGTGAAGCAGCTATATGCCATGGTTACGTCAAAAGGCTCCTTCCTCTCTCTCTCGGCCAGCAACTTGTCGCAAAGCTTCTGAACCAAGGCGTGGACGTCGCTCTCGAGGCGCGAAATCATGCCGCGAGAAAAGAACTTGGCCAGAGGAATGCGGCGAACACGGTGAAGGTCATGGTCCACGGTGCCGAAGCCAGCCTCACCCAGACTAGCATATTACATGAGTCGTTAGCACAATTTCTCCAAAAGAATTCAGTTGCGGGAGTTCCCTACGCAGAGCCGTTGATCTGGTGGACAGGCTTGTCACGCTTGCGACCGCTGACAGCGTAAATTTCATCGGCAAAGTTGACATCATTGCAGTGAACTTCGTGAGGGTTGATACGAACGATCGGACCTGATACCAGAGTTAGGGTTTGCCAAGGTTTCTGAAAACTGCTGCTCAACTCACCGTACTGCTCGTGCATACGATGGATCTCTCTAGTGTAGCGTCCGAATAAGATGACATCGTAATAGAACTCTGGGATGTATGTGGCTGCAGACAGCTTGGGCCCGGGAATGTGGCTCAATGGGTGCAGCGGCGAGATGTTGTAAAGGGCCCTGAAGAAATGGTACGCCAGCCAGAGACCGACGAGGACCAGAACAGTACGGGCCGACAGGTACGACGTCGAAGCGCCGACGGGCGACGACGCAGTCTCGATGGTCGACATTGCGTTGTGGATTACCGAGAGGGAAGGATGGAAGAGAGTTGAATCACGAGCCAAGGAACAAAGAAAAAGACGTTGTCGCATCTCACCTTTCAACTCTGCGCCGTGCCGTCAGTGGAGAGTCTGGGGGGAGGTTAGCCAAGGCCTGATCCACCTAATCTATGTCTGGCCTACACCTAATAGAGCCACAGGGCCGAGGTTTGCAACGTTGGAGACATGGGTTTGTGGTATGAAGGATCAACAGAGATAGGCAGGCAAAGACCCGAGAAGAATCGCAGAATGCCCTCAATGCAGGCAAGATGTGTAAACGGGATGGGCTTGTTGATTGCGGCACAGATCACAGCTCATTGGACGCACCGATGGGCTGGTGTTACAGCTGAACCCATTGTCTGTTCGCATCGTAAAGGGAGCGAATCTGCGACGGCTTGTTTTTTGGGTGGCTTGAGCCTCGGGACGGAAATGTCAAAAACGGCCCGCGGAGGGAGGAGGGGGCGCATGGAGATTTCTTCTTCAGATCCGAACATATGGTTGGCTGAGAAAACGCTGACCGCGTTTACGGGAGTCCTCCCTGGTCTTCCTTGTCACACATACCGTAGTCAGGGTGGAACCCCGGACTTCTTTCGGCCAGATAGAAGCCCCTGATTACGTAGTATCCAGCTTCATTCGTACACGTGTACTGTGGTAAGTCCCAATGCGGAGTCGGGCACAGAACCCGATAAATTCTCCTGTACACTAGGGACGAGCCTTACCTCGTGACGGAAAATTGGACATTGCGTAACGTGAGTAAGACCGAATCCGTGCTTGGACGAAATCACGGAACCGAAAGACCCACCTGGTGACCCGCACTGCCGGCCTGGCTACCGGCATTCGGAACGGACTGTTGCAACTTAGTGGTTCACGCCGGGCACCGATACCATGTTGAAGGATACCTCAGATGATCAAAGCGCGGTATTTGGGCTGTAGTCAAAAGCAAATTCCGAACCGATATCTGAGTGCTATCATTAGCTTAAGGCTGCGTCATCTAATTGATAGGTTTGTTATCGATTCATTTCGCCCTGATCCGAGAATTGCTCCGAATATTCGAAACGTAGCATGCACTGTCACTCGTAATTTATTTGGACGTTATATCAACATGATTGCAACACTGGAGAACATTTGCTGCCCGGACGGTTGCGGCGGCAAGTATTGCTGTGGTTTTGCGGCGAAATGGGGATCAAGGAAAAAATACGGTTAGTTGTGGGAATCTGGGCAATCATTTTCATCTGACCTCCCCGAGCAAAAGCTTCAGGAAAAGGTTATAACTTTTGCGTAAGAAGTCTACAGAAAGCTGCTGTGCCGCAACATAAATCCTGTCTCCACGCTCTTCATTGCATCAAAAACCTAGGATCAGCGAGCAGGTTCCCACTTGCAATTAGTGTCTTTTGTTGGTCGAGCATTTGACATCACATACCCGTGATTATTGGTCTCTGAAGACGACTGTCACCGCAAAAATTATGGGTTACCTTATGCATGTCGTCCTAACAAAGTGCTGAAACTCCTCCAGTCTAACCATTCCTCGAATGGCCGCTACCATTCTGCTGACCGTGAAACAACAGAGTCAACCGTACCTTCCTAAACTCGCCACTTCATGCCAGCTCGCACTCAATGAGGGTCTCCACACCCTCGCCCTCGGACCAAATATCAATGATCCTGGATCCTGCTGACTCCAACAGCTTCCGCCACTGCTCCTCCGTCCGCTCTCTCGACGAGAAAAGCGTCATCATGAGTATATCCAGCGCTGTCGTCTGCCAATTGGCTCTCGTGGGAGGCAGCACGTTTGCATTGACCAAAAGCTTGCTGTAGCCTGGCTACATCGTGGCCGTGATGCGCGACAGAATGCTAGTGCACACATCGTCTGTCTAGTCATGCAGGACCGAGTGCAAGTAGTATGCTCTCGCTCCCTTGATAGGCTGCTCCGTATGGAAATCATACTCCATAGGCTCGATCTTGTGGTCAATCTTCTGGATCTGAGAGAGTACGTGCGGGAGGTCCTGAAGGATTTGCCGGCTAGGTGCGTGCGGGTGTTTGTGGCAAAATTCATCCAAGTCATGGCCATTGCTACCACCGACATCAACGAGGAAAGCCGCATCTGCCGAAACGTCTGCACCTTGGATGAGCCGCTTAGCAACGGGGAAGTAGCCATCATCCATCCACTATGGTCTACCCTGCCTGTGTCCAGCCATATGATTCTGGAAGTCGCCATTGGGGTGGTTTGTCATCATGTGCTTGAAGAAGTTGCTGTCTTTGCCGATGACATCCTGCATTGGACCTTCGGTCGGGTCGGCAGGGATTGACCACTCATGCTTCTTAAGGTTCTTAAGGTAAGCAGGAAAATTGCTAAAGGTAAGCCAGCAGCCGCCGACACTGGACATTGTCGTCAGATTCTGTATCAAACTCAGGTTGGGGCTGAAGACCGGAAGTGGCCTACATGCAAGTATACCCTCCTGCGATGATGGGCAGGCTTAGAGACTTGGCAAAGTTTGTAGGCTCGTACTCGTCCGTGCCGGTTTCCTTCAAGTAACCCATCGAGCCAAGATAGCGCGTCATGCAAGACAGGACGTCGTGATTGAAGCAAAGTGCTTTGCTCGGCTGATTAACCTTCTTAGGGCCAGTGTTTTGGGCCATGTACTTGAAGAGACCCGACTCAATGCCCGTTGCAATGACGAAGCTGGCAGCAGCCTGTAAGAAATACTAATCAGTTGCTGCCTCGACCGCTAAAAGAGCTTACTCACCTGAGCCCAGCAATGCTTGATCATGGTCTCTCAGGGTGTTTCGAGAGCCTGGACTAAAGATCTCGCTTTGCGCCGTTTTATCTAGGTGGCTGCTGCTACAAACTCTTTGTCGTACATCTGCCAACTTTTCTACTTATTTCATCCTACAATATTGTAGGGTTATAAGGCGAAAGGAAACTAACGACTAGCTATGTCGACATCAATTTCACCAGAGATGGCGGCGGAGAACAGGGGGCCGACTGCCCTTGGAATCGTCATTTCCGTCTCGACCCTCAGCACCCTCTTTACAGCAGCAAGACTCTTTGTGAGGGGCAAGATTCTGGGAAAAGTCCACCTGGATGATTTCTTGATCATCGCATCTGTGGTGAGTAATTCACCAAGCAGCCATGACTGTGTAACCGAACGTCCAGCCATCTGACTGTTGCTGTTTGTCTCAGTTATGCGGTTGGACCAACCTTGGAACTGCCATCGCAGCCGTCGCCCACGGTAATGGGCGACATTTTGACGTGTTGACAGTCAAGTAAAAGTCTGGCGCCATTCTCTGGACTATCGCTGGCTTTGTTCTCGGCGTCATGTCGTTCGGTCTCCCCAAGCTCGCCTTCGTCGCTTTGCTCACGCGAATCTTGAACCCCAGAAAATGGCACGCACTCTTTCTCTGGTGTATGTCAATAAGTCAGGATACCCACTTTCGGATCACCCCCACATCCGGATCGCACAAAAACGAAGCTATCGCAACACAACCACCCTTTTCAATTAACTATCGCCTAGGCCCAGATGCAACTATGATACAGCTTTCTGCTTCACTAGGGCAATCAGATGCGCTGGATTCATCTGTGCCACTTTCAGCTTCGCCAGCCTCGATCTGGGCTTGCCGTATATCGCTGATATTGGCAAACTTAGTATTAGGGTCGATTTTGACAGTCTTCCTCTTCCTTGCTGTAGTGTTGTTGACTTGGGCCTGTAAAAGCTGTAGTTGGTGCTGGGCAGTAGCTAGCTGGAAGGACTGCTCTTGGAAGCCTTTTTTGACCTTTCTGAATAGTTGGCGTTGTGTGGCGATACTTTGATCCATCTTGTTGAATAAGTCTAGTTGACTATTGAGATCCCTTATCTTCTTAGGCGTAGACCACGCAACAGCAGATACAGCAGATGCCCATCCCTCTATACCCTGGGCATCCTGGGCATCTTGGATACCCTGGATACCTTGGGCAGCCTTATTAAGTGGTGTTGTTGGTGCTTTTGCCTTGGGCAACAACAAGGAGCTTAAAAGAGGTTTAGATGTATTAACAGGCCACAATCCTGTACCCATCCAGCCACTTAGAATGTTCTTTTTTGTTAGCCCAGATAGGCGTGCCTGCTAGTAACAGGATATAAAGTGCCTTTTGCCTACTATAGTTAAATCGTTCCATTAGTTGAGGTTAGGCTGGAGCTTTTTGCGATAGGCTGACTTGACTGGGCTGAAGACTGATAGATCTAGTGGCTGGAGGACATGGGAGGTATGTGGTGGCAAGAATAACAGATAGACGTTATTGATATAGCATTGCCACATAAATTCTGTCGTTGTATGGCTCCCATGCCCATCCAGGACCAGCAGTCTGGCCTGATCAGGCTGGGAGGGGGCAGTCTGCGGCAAGAAGACCTTTAGCAGCCACTCAACAGCAGTCTCATCAGTTGTCCATCCATTCTCTGTTGCCGTAAACTCCCATCCATCATAGGGGCCAAGATCTAGAGGAAACCACTGCTGCTGGACTGTCTTGCCCTTATATATCACAAGAGGATATAGTGCCAGGCCTTCAGCTGAGATGCACTCGATAATAGATACCCAGGCTCGCGATCCAGGCTGCTTTTTCCGCACAGACTTAGTCTCTGCCCTGCCTAGCACCAGCCCGTTTGCTCCTTGACCCTCGAGGATACCAGTCTCATCCATGTTATATCTGTTGGCTGGTTGGACGGCTGATATGGCTGGGATCGCGAGATATCTGAACCAGTCCCTGATAACCTCAGTAGATGCCCCATTAACACGTCTAGAATCAATAGATCGACTTCTCTGGACCTTGATAGATGGGTTTCTTCGTATAAAGGCATTCACCCATCTCTTCCCTAGAGGCTGGATATCTCCCATCGCATTCAGGATACGCTGGGCAAATTCTCTGACTTGCTGATGTGTTGGCGCAAGCCCAAGATCAGCCTGGATCTGCACCCAGCTGGCCAGCTTAGCTTCCTGACTAACAGAGAGTCTCTGGAAGTCAGAAAAAGCTGCTGCCCTAGACTGCGCGCCAGTTAGACGGCGTTGAAGGGTGGTGTATGGGATCCCATAGGTCTGGGCTGCTTTGCGCACGCTGATACCGCTGGCAACAGCTTCCTGCGCCTGGATAACTTCATGCTCTGTATACTGGGTCATAAGGTCAAAAAAAAGATAAGGTGAAAAAAGGAGCTTATTTGGATGATAGTTGTAAAAGTTGCGATAGTTATAAATAGGAGGCTGGGAGCAGAGATGCGGCATTTTGTGTGATCCGGATGTGGGGGTGATCCGAAAGTGGGTATCCTGACTTATTCTGCTGATCAACCTTATAGGAGGTGTGGTCGTCCTGTTCGCCCAATGTCAGCCAGCCCTCGCACTCACGGTGGGATTTCGCCGTTGTTGAGAAGACATGCTGGGACAAATAAATATTGGTTTACTTTGCGATATACTCTGAGGGTATTCAGCTTGCTTTTCCCGAACTGAAGCGCGCGTTTGCTAACTGGTTGAGCCTTTTGCGCTTTCGTCGACCTTTACCTCGCCGTGTATCGAGCCCTAGTGCTTGCAAAGTTGCAGATGAGTATGAGAAAGAGGACAGCTTTGAGTGTTGCTTTGGGCATCGGCTCGACGTAAATTGCCCTATTTTCTGCCCATCAATGGAATACAAGCTCACTGATTTTCGGATGCACAGCTCCGCAGTTGTTGCCATTTACAAGTGTAGCCGATTGCCAAGTCTTGCGAGTCCAGATTTCTCATGTAGGTTTCTCATATAACTTCGCCGAGCTTAAGTAATAAGCCATTTGTCGGAATAGCTCGCGCGCTGCTGGAGGCACACGATAATAGGGGGTTGACCGTCACTGTATTTGTTGCCGATGATGTTCTAAGTCCTAGATATCTAGCAGATCTAGCCCTTATATAGGCTGGATTCTGCTGACTAATGTACAGGTGGCATTACCACTTGGATACGTACGAACGCGTGCGAATCTCTATTCCAACACCATTCACTATAGATGACACTTCGGACTTGGCCATCTGGGCCATGTAAGTAAATCAAATTCTACCATTGGTGAAAGAGCGACTGGACTGACTCCGAGCCATACTGTAGTGTCGAAAGTAGTACGATGATCATCGCCGCCTGTATTCCCATCCTCCAGCCCCTCGGAGAGTTTATTTTCGGCAAACGCATGTTTAGCTCTGACGGTGGTCGATGTACATACGAGAATTGTGGTTCGGGACCCAGTGGCGAAGGGCGATCTGATATTGAGATGTCTCGCTCCCGTAACGCCAGGAAACAAACAGCAAAACGACAAGCCGAGGCGGTCAGCATCGACGATACTACACCGACGACCATTAAGACGGAAGGAAGTCAGGAAAGCATCATTGACCATCAACAGAAAAGAGGGAAAATCCTGAGAACTGATGTATTCAGTGTCAGGATTGAGTCGAGAAAATAGTAAACATTGTATAATCGGGAAAGAACAGTCTCTTTGCATGATTCCTAAAGGTATGGGCGATTGCGACACTGAGACTTGCGGAATCTTCCTTTGAACGTCATTAAAAAAAAACGCCGAGGAAATCGGATGAAGGTACTTAGATAGTGGCATAATGGTAAATAAGATTTGAAATGCATGACTTGGAGTGTTCAATCCTGATTTAGGAAGATGGGATGTCTGGGCGGCTACGGAACAGTGCGAAGCATGTTGCGGTCAGCTCATCCGCCAGGACTCGATCGCAGGATGCAATTTCTTCTGAGCTCATGCCAGAGCTTGCAAGCTTCGCATGCGCCAGTGCCATTGCCGGCACAATAAAAGCCTTCCCAACGAAATCTTGTATGGTAAGCCTCCGCTCCGCAATGAGAAGGTAACGTTCGGCAATTGCAATGAACCGATCTCTGAGCTCCGTGACTAGTGTCCACGGCTGATGATCCTTCAAAGATGCTTCCATTTGGAGGCAAAGATACAGAATTGCTTGAAGTGCGACTGTTCGAAAAACCGCTCCAGAGGTCCTCATTAAGATGACCATCCCGTCATGATTCAGCTGCTCATCTTGATTGGCTGGAGGGTCGATTCTCTCTAACACGGACATTGCAAGACTGCAGCATATGTTGTAAGAATATGCATACGAAGGAGTCCGGAGTATCGCGAATGGTATGTGTAGAGCCAGAAGAGATCTCTGACAAAGAACAGTTGCTAAGCCGTTTGCGAAGCCCATATCGCATTGACTGCCGTGACTAGAAGACGTATTCAGGAGTTCATGGGCTAGGGTATTGAGTTCTCCGTGAAGTTCCAGAGCTTCTATATAGTCCGTTGAACACTTGATGTTGTTTAGGTACTGAGCGATTCGCGTTCGAACAGCGAATGTTGAGACCAGTATGTGTCGAGGCGAGGCCACTTTCGAGGAGCCTCCTTCGGTATTGTCGCTTGAGTTTAGTATATTAGGCAAGGGCATGTCCCAATCATCCAAGGTTACAGCTGGTTGCATCGCATGATCCATTGAGCTTTGCAAGTCTAGCTCCAGTATAGTGTACCAGAGTTCTTGACATTGATGCTGCTGGTCTTTCGCATAAAGCTGATCTGCGCAGGAAGGATCACGATGCAGACCTGCCATCATGGCATTTCGAATAAGTAAACCAGACGATGGCCAGCTGGACTTGTGATCAAGACCGTAGGCTTGTCTCATAAGATCAATGAGACAGCCAGTCTGAAGTGTATGAAGATTGCTCGGGTTCGATCGTAGAGCAACGTTTTGCCATGTCATAACGAGATGCCACCAACTAAGAATCTTGATGTGCGACAAGCGGTCGCTAGTAGAGTCAATGGTCGCGTTTCCGATAGCAACAACAAGCAGTAGCTGGATGCTATCGGATATAGAAACACGCTCGGGCTCTTCCCAGAAAATCTGGGCTTGCGCTCGGAATGCGGGCTGATCTATGAAGAGAAAGATTGAGCCGAAAGTGCTGAAATATCTGTCAATCAGCATGTTCGCCGTCTCCCTTGCAGGGAACTCATCGTAGATCGCTTGCGGTTCGTGTGAGTCCTCCAGAAAAAGTGTACGGCGCTGACATAGTTGCTCCTTGAATTCGTGGAAGGTTTTGAATTCGCCGCTTGGTAGGGCAAGTCCAGCTTGGCTCGTGAGTGATGTGATATGGTTGAACTGGCAGCTGAGTCAGACTACCAGTCGACATAAAACAACTACGAGAGATGCTTGCCTTGGAGAAGAGCCATTGAATTCCGCTCCGACCGCGCCAAGATGTCGCGCGGTTATTCTTGGTTGGTGATGCTTCCACTTGCGTCAGGGACTCAGAGGCAGTTCGGTTATCCAGGTTCGCGTTTTGGAAGTTCTCCACTGAGGTCGGGATTGCAGTGACCGAAACCTCCGAATCTCCCGAAAATTGGGACTCAAGAGTTGGAGATCCCCGACGAGGAGCCAAAGACGACCCAGGTGAGCTTCGGCCCGTTCCGGCACGCAAGTGCTCCGAGCTTCCCGTTATGGTATCTGCGGGAGGATTGGGGTCTGGGATTCGGGCATTTGGATACGCCTGCCGAGTTTCTCGTAGGTTCTTGGGGCTGGGAACATCTCCTGGCTTGACGTAGGTGCATCTAAGGGGTGTGCCACTAGCCACACACCGATCACAAGGTCGTTTCTTATCACACTTCAGCTTTCGGCGATGACACTCCAGACAGACTAGCATACGCCGTTCTCTCCGACGCCGACGGGGCTGAAACTTGCCTTTCTCTGTCATTCCGGACATGTTTGTCCAGCGGTAATCGAGTTATGTGGGTTCTGAGGATAGAATCCAGGCGCTTTTCTTTTGGTCAAAGAAAAAGAGGCAACCATATCTGCCTGGGGGTTCGGCGGATGACCCAATTAAAGTTCTGGTTTTCTCCGAGCACTCGGACATATTTCAACGCATTCCCCACATATAATGCCGAGCACTCCAACTTGAGAGTTTCGACTCCCCGACACCATTCGGACTTAATGGTGGATCAAGATTGACCTCGGTAAATTATTGGACAGAAAACTGACGACTTTGTATTTTCCCTCGTTTCCTGCATCGCGAGTCAAGAGAGACGATCGTCGAATGACCTCAGCCATATTTTCAATCCCACCGGCGCAGGTAGTGTTCAGCTTAAATGCATAGAGGGGTAGCATATTCGTAATGAGATGCAAAAATCATCAGGCTATCATTCGGAGTCAATATCTCGCAACTGGGAAACTATAGAGACTTGGCACATTTTCCTTAGATGCTGTATTGAACTAAAAGATTGTGGCTATTCTAAGCCAGATGTCATTTACGGTAGGGGCATTCGATAAAAAAGCAGTCATGTTTCGTTCGCGACAGGAGGTTTTGGGCAAATTAACTCAGAACGAGTCCTATGTCGTCGGCCTGAGTGTTTCGCATAGGTCTGTAATTGACTTATTGAAGAAAACCATTTACTTGTTAGCTACAATGATCTGATCGTTACAGACACTAGGAATCATTTGTGAATTAAACTAGTTAGTTCTGAATCAAGACTAAAGAAAGGATAATCAAAGGACTTACTGAATAAAATTCATGGATAGTTCTGCTCTTTTAACTAGTAATTTGGACTCTCAAAACAAGTTCTTGAGGTTTGTTTGCATGCCAAAGCGTTGCGTTCACAGTTCAATGAGTTCGACTGGAACATGTTTGTTCTAACTAGCAAAGACGCATAGTGTTTGTAGCTACCCTACCACGGAGAAGAAGAACCGTCGTAGTTCTTGAAGGAACCACTTGTGTTTTCCCTATTAGCCCCATCGATCACAGCCATCATACCTCCGACACTCTCTTCCACTGTTATAGCCCCGATAGAATCCAATACATTGCTATCCATCCCGTCCGTCATATCTGTGCGAACCACACCCGGATGACAAACAAAGCTAGTCAGCCATGGCTCCTCAAGGTGCATCCTTTGAATGAACCAATTCAGCGCGGCCTTACTGGCACCGTAAGGGGCAACATCAGCACTGAAAGACTTGTACAGTGTTTCCTGTATACCGATGCTTCCCAAAGTTGAGGAGACGGCCATGAAGATAGGGCCTCTACCTTTCTTGCTTGCCTTCAGTAGTGGAGCTGCAGCGCTGACAAGAGTAACAGGGCCGATCGAGTTGACTGCAAAGTGGTTCAAAGCCGCTCCAGCCGAGATGTCAATAACTCGGGCGGCGGGGACGCCGACACCGGCATTCGCGACAATAACGTCAACGGCAGTAATGCCATGGTCTTTTTGAAGACTGGAGATGGCGGCAGCAGCGTCAGAGGCGATGCTGGAGTCGATTTTAACTTGTGTGAGTTTTGAGTCTGCAGCTTTGGGGAGGTCAGCTAAGGACTTCGAGACCGGACTCGAGAGGTCCCGGACGCCCGCGATGACGGTTGTAGACGGCCTCTGGAGGAGGAGCGCCACAAAACCCTTTCCAATCCCGCGACTGGCACCAGAAATGAGATAGGTCTGATTGGAAGACATAATGGAAATCTTGAGAGTGTTATTTTTATGGGTAAAGATGCTGGCAGACTTGTCAGCTTCGGTGCTTCATGTGCTTTTGCTGTTGGTGCAACACTGGCGAGCTGGCGAGAGCATCTCTGATGGTAATGTGCGGACAGCGGGAGCTTTTGTAATAAATCGGGAACCGCGGGAAGCCCATTGACTTTCATGCATATTTGTTGTTGTTGCATAAACGTTCTTGCGCTCCAAAAAATATCTTGCAGCAAACTCGTCGAACATGGATCTTGCAAATGCCCGCAAATAGAGTTTAGAACCTGGTAGTAGAGCCAGCGCAAGATTGATAATCAGCACTGGGATCGAGATTTCAAGTTTGAAAGGCGCCTATCCTGCTAGCCACTTGCATGATACCCACAAAGAATGCCACTAATTAGGGCATGGATGAAGATAGCAAGACGGCGTTCAAGCGTTGATATTGTTGGTTATTATATTAAGGTATAAAAGATAAGAGATCTAACTGCGCGGCTAGCAGCAAGGTTAAGTAGGAAGTACTTCTTGTTGTGGCAAAGGGGCTGGCCCACCTTACAGGGTGTGGCTAACCGGGCTGTGCTCCCAATCTATCTGATGCCTTTGATTAACCTCCTCCAACACAATTATTAGCAACAGAAATTCTAAGTTACACTTGCCCTGAGCCTCAGATTCCACACAGCTTGTCTGAGCCTTGTTCAATTGGAGCTGCTTTTTTTCTAGTGAAAGAAGCAGCCATGAGACCCATCAATAACCTATAAACGTGGACCTTGGTTAGCGCTAAGCAAAATTAGGCAGGATGAAAACTAATTACTTAAATCCGCTGTCTTCTACACACCCTTCCGCTATCTCCTATTTCTCTCTAACCAAAACTACATTCGCTTTTTCTATCCTTTTCCCTTATACTGCAATCCTACTATTCGCACCACAATGTCTACTCCTTCGACATCCTCACCAACTGCCCCCTTCCCCTCGTTCGAAGAGCGGCGCAAAGCGAACCAACCTGTCGCCCTAACCACGGAGGCCAAGCGCATCTTCTGGAAACTACAAGGCCTGCTCTCAGACCACGTCTCCGTCGTTCAAGACTGGCGTAACAGAGAATCATCACGCGAGCCCTTCGCCCATCAGGACTCTGCAGGCAACATCACCAGGCGGCACCCTATTGCACAGGCGCCACTCACAGAGCCTAAGGTCGGGTCTGTTACCGTGAGGGTCGATGTGCTAGAGCTGTGGCAAGACCAGTGGCTCGAGCGGCATGAGCGGCATGCGGATCCAGGCGATAAGGACAACATCTTCGGGGAGCTGGTTATGGAACTCTACGGGGAATCGGGGGAGGAAGACTAAGAGGATGAGGACGAGGGCCCGCAGCTCCTACGATGCTGCAACACGGATCGACTCCGTAGGGCACCACGTCTAGTTGTCAAGCCATCATCCGCGGAGAAGGGATATGTTACGGTTCGCGACTATATTTCGATAGTACACCCGTGGCTCCTAGGCCAGCACAAGAATATCATACAGGCGGATAATGTGTGGGATGATAAGAAGCCTGTGGACTATGAGAGGCTGGCCGTCAGCTATACTTGGCCTAATCGTCTGATAATCATGGACGAGGAGCGATATGTTAGTATGCTGGCCCCGCGGAAGCCTGAAGTTGTCAGTGCCGCTTCAGCTCTCGTCGTCGAATGGATGCGGCAAAACCCGCTGCCGCCGATTAATTACCAGAACCTCTACCGTACGTCGTCGTCAGACCTCCCCAAGGCTCGCAAGCCAGGCAGTGAGTGGTCAGAATAGAATGCTTGCTCCCGAATCACATAATTACCAACATACAAACATGATAATCAATGCTTGGTTTCAGGTATCTACTGCAACTGGATATGTTGTATTCTGTTTCTCTATCCATAACTGGGGCACTTGCGCGGCGTCGCAGTGGTCGAAAAGAGAGGTACGCACGAGCGAATTGATTAGACGCATGTTAGATCATCTCTCAGAATTTTCTCAACGGTATTTGCAAGCTCCAGGCGGGCAATAGCCATAGCTACAAGTAAACTCACATAGGTCTACGTAGTAAGCGTGATCCGGGCCTCCAGCGACGTTGTCGTCTGGACAGCCATGACGATCATTGAGAGCCGGTATAGCTGCAGGCTTGGCGGCCGGCCCAGTGCAGACGCACACACCAGCGGGGCAGTGGTTAAAATCACATCTGTACGAGCAGAGACCGATGAAGTTGCCCGAGATACCGTCGGCGGTGGTCCCGCCTGTGCAGGCTGGGGAGGGGGGCACGACCGTCGATGACGAAGGGGTCGTCGCGGCCCCCATCTTCGTCGCCGCCGACGTCGTAGTCCTCGAGGCGGTAGAAGAAGATACCCCCGGAATGGAAAATGGCGGCAGCGAGGTCGCTGTCGGAAGAGATGGGCCGGTGCAGTTGCCCATCTGGCACTTGCCCGTGCCGCAGAAGTCGGGGCCGGTGCCGTACTCGCCATCCATGCTATAGCAGTCACCCCATTTGCCGGCGCACTGCCGCATGCCGTGGTCGAGGCCGCATTTGCCATCGGTGGTATACACGGCGTCACCGGGACAGTGACCCTCATAGCAGGTGCCGTCGCCGCAGTCTTCACTACTCTCAAATCAGCCACATGTATTGCTCAGGTGTCAAAGAGGGTTACTCACACCGCCGTACCGCACAGCCAGGTCTCCGAGTTACAGCACGAGTTATCCGAATAGGCGCATGATGCATTCCCAAACAAGGGGCCGCAGCGGTTGTTTTTGTCCCGCACGGGTTCTATCCCTGGTAAGACCATTACCGTCAGCATTATGGTCACAGTGACCGCAAGCTCATTCCGGTTTCTCTGGCATGACCTACAGCCGTCAGGGCAGTACTCGGTTTTAGGCTGAATGCTACTGCAGTCGCTTTTCAATATCGGGTTCAGCTTGAAGAAGGTTTCTATGTCCATCCAGTAAAAGTCGGCCAGATCCATGCAAGTGTAGTAGTTGACCTCTTCGTCCGTCTCACCCCAGGCTCTACACGACGTCGCCTGGTAAGACCTCATCGCGCTCTTGGAGGACGCTGCGAGTAACTTTTGGGCGGGGCGCTGTAGGTGATGGCATACTGCCGAGGTCACGTTTGTTTCCCCATGTGTATGGCTGGCACTCGTCCGCTGCTTTCCCTAGCGGGAGGAGCATGAGAAGTTGGTCTTTCGCTAAAAAAGACGTTGTGAAATGCATTGCATAAAGAGACGTCAGGCAGAGGGCCCTTGGCGATGGACAAAAGTCAAGCCGGTCAGCACAGTTCAAGCATTTTCGGAGACGGGGAAGGCAAACGTCAATGTAGTCTTCACGGACATGAGAAAGAGCATCGCGTCCGTCTGAAGGCAAGGCTGACTAACCGACTACCCTACCTCACTCCAGAAGGCGTATAGATTGACCACGCTCCGTCTCCCAGTCACGCAGCAGATTCTCACCTGCGGCACAGCTGCGATTGAAATTGCTTGTCCTGACACCAGGATCCGGAATTATAATTGTCGGTTTACTTCCGTGAGGCAATGACCCTCTGTTACCTAGTATCCTGCAGAGTCGGCGGCAAAAGACGAAAGACAGCTCTGCTGTGCTAGAAAGGTCCATCATCACGACCCGCGGCCCAACAGCCGGCGTGGTCCTTATCCAGTGGAACATCCGGGCGGCCAGTGAGAGATCCGCTGCCCTCTGGGACTGCCACGTCCGCATCGGTCCCAATGGACTCGCTAGCGAGAGATCCAGGGCGATGAGTTCCACGACGTACTGTCAAGGATACGATTCCCCAAGCTTTGCTAAGGTGTAAAACTAAGCAGGTCAACATGTAGCACCCTGGGCAATTCCGTAGTACCACCCATTAATAGGTTGACTGGCTAGGAGTCTAGAATTAGCCCTCACTACTCGAACGATGAGCGCTATTAGGGCGTGATCAAGAACGCCTGATGAGACCATGCTATCTATATTTGTGAGGCGATCATTTGCAGGGGGCTAACAACCATGAAGATGGCAGGTTCCGTAGCCTTGTCGTTGTTCACAATAGGCGGGATTTCCGCGTATTGTTCCATGTAACTGCACCTCAGATCTGTGTCTGTGACATGATCACTCGCCACGAGTTAGGATGGCCATTCGGGAGCTTAGCTATCGAACAAGCCAAGCAAGTCGGTTTCCAAATCGACCATCGGGCCTTAGGCTGGGAGGACGTCCATCGGACGTTTATGGTGCAATTGAAACTGGGATCAAGAGGGACAAATTTCGATGGTTTGCGAGGAAATCAACAGTCACCTTACGGATTATGTGCCTGGCTACGGAGCAGGTAGCATATACTAAGCTGCATACCTGGGACCGTGAAGAAAATGGTCTAGCGTAGCCGGCATGTGTCTGCAACCCGGAGATTCTCGCAATACTTTTTACATTGTGATTCACCCCTAGCATGTGCAAATGCAGCTAGCGTCTCCTAATGATCTGGGGATCTGCGGAGGTGCGTGGAGAACTGCGAAAGAACCTCGGCACTCGGGCTGCTTTGCCGATCTCCCGACGTCAACCGACGGTCTTAGCGTTGCTTTCAGCTGCTTGGGAAACGCGTTGCAGAACAAGGAATCTAGCATCTGAATTCCATCCGTCCGGTCCCCGACGCCTATTCAAAGCCATTGTCTCTCGCAACTGTCATCTCAAGTCGGGCCAACTCTCTAGTCATATCAAGAAGCATCCCGTTCAAAATGGTTACGGTCGCTAAGAACGCGCCACGTGGCGCGACCAGCGCCCCTCGTCAGACGCTCACCGTCGTCGACAATCGTACTGGAAAGTCTTACGAGCTCCCCATCCAACATAACTCTGTACTGGCAACGGATATCAAGAAGATTAAGGCGGCACGCGGTAATGATCGCCCCGAAGATGAGACTGACCAGGGTCTCCGCGTTTACGACCCGGCCTACATGAACACCGCCGTGGTCCAGAGCAACATCACCTACATCAACGGACAAGAGGGTATCCTCCGGTATCGTGGCTACCCCATCCAGCAACTCGTAAACAAGTCACATTTCTTGGAGTCGGCATTTTTGCTCATTTACGGCGAGCTGCCCACCTCGTCGCAGTACAGCAAATGGCAGGATGAAATCATGCACCATACCTACATCCACAGCGATATCGAGGGGATGTTCAAGTCCTTCCGGTACGACACTCATCCCATGGCTATGCTGCAGGCTTCATTTTCCTCGCTTGGTGCTTTCGCTCCCGAGTCGAACCCAAGCTTGCAGGGGCAGAAACTGTACACCAATGCAGCCTCTGGTGATGTGAACGCTCTCAAGATGCTCGACAAGCAGATTCTCCGCATCATCGGCAAGGCGCCTACGCTGGCTGCTGCTTCTTACCGCATGCGCCAGGGCAGACCTTTCAATCGTCCCGCGCAGGGACTCAGCTACACGGGCAACTTCCTGTACTTGCTCGACCACCTGAGCGGACACGAGTACCAGCCTCACCCAGTCTTGGAGCGGGCCCTCGATGCTTTGTTCATCATTCATGCCGACCACGAGGTGAACTGCTCCACAGCTACGGTCTTACAGGTCGGCTCAAGTCTCGTCGATCCCTACAGTGTCGTATCCGCCGGCTGTGCTGCTCTTTACGGCCCCAGCCACGGTGGTGCCAGTGAAAGTGCGATCCGCATGTTGATGGAAATTGGCAGCCCCGAGAACGTGCCCGCGTTCATGCAGAAAGTCGAAAAGAGAGAACGTGTGCTTGTCGGCTTCGGACACCGCGTCTACAAGAACGTCGACCCTCGCTCAACCGCCATCCGCCAGCTTGCTGAAGAGGTCTTCGCTGTGACGGGCAGAAATCAGCTCCTCGACACGGCGCTGGAGCTTGCCAAGTATGCTCGTGAGAGCGAATTCATGAAGAAGCGCAACTTGTACCCCAACGTCGACTTTTACTCCGGACTCATCTACCAGGCTATGGGCTTCCCTCTGGACTTCTACCCCGTTCTTTTTGCCGTTCCTCGCTGCGTGGGCTGGTTGGCCCACTGGAGACAGCAAATGTTGCAGAAGGGAGGCGTTAAGATCTGGCGGCCCCGTCAGCTGTACGTTGGAGAGGGAGAGCGCGAGTACATTGACGCGGAGAACAGGAAAGAGAAGCAGAACAAGTCAGTGTTTGATGAGCCTGCGCAGGTCAGCCACGGAGGTGACAGCAAGAGGAATGAGCTCGCGACGTTCAAGGATGAGATGGGGCATGCCTGGAGGGGACGTTCGAAGCTTTGAGTGGAGCAAATTTGGCTTGGTAGTGGTGTAAGGATGAGAGGTACCACAATGTTGAAAGTATGCATGTTCGATTAGAAAAACTGTTACAATACGACCATAACTCCCTGTCACATCATCCCATTCTTTTGGGCCACCTCCCTTATCGTTTTTCCAAGCTCCGCTTCGCTCAAAGTTCTAAGACCGACCTTCTCATTCCAACTCATCTCCTGAAAGCTCTCACTGCCTCCATATCCCTTACCATACATCATCTGGTAGTAGAAACTCATCATGGCTGAGTTATCACCCTTTCTAAGCTTAGTCTTTGCATCCTGATAGAGTTCCTCTACATCACAATTTTCAACTGCGAAGGTCAAGCCCGTAAGCTTCTCAGCCAGCTTGGTCAGCTGCTTCTCGCTGACAGCTGCCGAGTGGATGTACACAGATTTATTCTCCGCCTCTTTGTATAGTCCCTTCTCATCACGAAGGATTTTAGCGACTGTGTCGGCAATGTCAGAAAGCTTGGTCGTTCCGATCAAGTTGCCACCCCCATTGTGATATCTAGCCGTTTTGGTCCCGAAGTCTGGACCCAGACCGCCGAGGTTAAGAACAAGCTCGAAGAAAGGTCCGTTATTTATGCTTGTCCAGCTCAATTCACCACCCGCCTTGGACGTCTGCTCGACAAGGTAACGGCGTGTTCGCACCTTATCAGCGACAATTGGAAGACCCTCAGCAAGGGGAGAATCAACGTTGGTACTGTACTCGGATGGAAATATGCGTTTGACTCCGGCGGCGATTGCAGCTTCGATCCAGGGCTTTTGCTTCTCGAAAACGATAGGGTCCGGCGCTGCTGAGATCACTGCATCGTGACCCCTGAATGCTGAAGTGAGAGCGTTGACGTCATCGATATCGAGCTTGACAGACATGCATCCTTCTGGGGCCATTTTATTGGATTCGTACCGCTGTACGGCCGTGACCATGAAGCCAGACTGAAGCAGTGCTCTGCTAATTTCGGAGCCAATTTGACCTGTTGCCTGGGAAGATCATTGTGAGGTCAACAACTGTGACGGCCTAAGAGTTGGTGCACTTACGCCAATGATTGCAACTTTTCGAATTGGAGAGGACATCTTGGTGAAAATTTGTCTCTGCAACTTATTTAGGGCTAGGTGAACTCGGAGCTATTCTATTTTCCGGAGGCAAATGGAGGTGTCGGTATCTCTGGCGATGATGATTGCAAGAGCGGAATCCCCCACAGTCGCAGGTCTGTCTGACTTTATGTAGAATGACATGTTCCCCGGCCGAGCGCAGCGCTTCGCAAGCGCTGCACGAAAGCGGGACTGGAAACAGCATGCCCGATTTTATTTATCCGAACTTTGTGCATGTGACGGATTATTTGAGGGCCTATACATGACTATACTGACCTTGCTCGCTTGAGGGCCTTTGATCTTACCAGGGTTAATAGTCTTGATAGATGAAGCTAGCCGCCTGCGACGGTAGCTTCAAATGTCCTACAAATCAAGTTACGCTCACAATGAGCAGCACATAATGGGCACCGATTCAATGACCATCGGATATGAAGACCCTTGGGTAGAAATTTTGATGCGCTTGTACGCTTGGGCGAACATCAGTTTGCGTTTCTGCCTGATACCGCTGATCCGGACGTGAAGGCTTTCAAAAGGGCAGGAGGCAAAACAGTTACTGACCATTGTCTTATGAGTTCATGGCTCCCACTTCTTTGAGCCTCCTATCCGTTTGGAATCAAAGTTGCGGCATCATTTACTCAATTATTCAAATTCGAGGTCCAAATTGCGTGGTTTCTTCGACGGCAACACTGAGCGCTCCGGCTACAGCCACCTTCAAAGTCTTCCGAAAGGAGACCAACAAGATTCCATGTGCGGCTCACAGGAATGCTCGTGTATCTATCTTCAAAAACAAACTTCATGTAAACAGCATATAAGCACGATCGAGAGACCTGGAAATGCAAGTTCGTGAAAACAGCTAAACTAACAAAAGCCAAAGAATAATGTACTAGCTTCGAACCTCAAAAACAATGATTGACGGCGATTGGCATGCCTGTACACGCTTTACGGTCATAAAAGAGAACCTCTTTCACAGGCAGGTCAATTTCAAATTTCCATACTATTTTTTATGTGCAAGCTGGACACAGCGAGAATCATATATTCCAAACTTATGCAGTACTCGAGTACGTTCTTATTAATGCTCAAAGCCAACTCCTAAGGGGCCGTTTAAGTCCCTAAAGTCTCCACGCAATACTTCGATGCCGTCTTTGCGGACTTCCTCAACAAGCTTTATGATCTCCGGCGCCATTCGTGCAGGACGGAAGCCGAAGTAGTCGTACGCAGCCTTGGAAGGTAAACTCTTTCCAAACCGACGCATCGAGAAGGAGGCGTCAGCGTAGCGCTCCCATCCATTCGCAGCGTATGCCTCGATCACAACGGTCGGCTTGCCGGATCTCGGCTTCAGAATAGACTGCTTGTACTCGCGAGACTGCTGTTCAAAAAGACGCTGGCAGGGGAATGAGACCACCCGCGCCTTGATGCCCTCCTTCTCAAGAAGAACCTTGGTTTCCATGGTGAAGCCCATTTCCGAGCCAACGCCAATGAGAGTAACATCAAAGTCGTCGGTCTCCACAAAGACATACGCGCCCTTTGCAACTCCGTCTCTCGAGGAGAACTGAGGGTACTGTGTGAGGGTCTGGCGCGAGAGAGAAATGATGGTTGGCGTCTCCGTGGCGTTGATGGCGGTAATAAAAGCACCGGCAACTTCTTCGGAATCGCAAGGTCGAATATAGAGAGTGTTGGGCATGGCGCGATACAGCGCCGGGAGGGCAATGGGCTGATGTGTTGGGCCGTCCTCGCCTGTGCCAATGCTATCGTGAGTGGCAATATGAATTTGCTGAAGACCTTGCAACGCTGCCATGCGAACGGCCGGCGCGGCATAGAGATAGAACATAAAGAACGAGCTCGTGATTGGGAGGAAAGTTCCCTTTCTGAAGGCGGCCAGACCATTGGAAATGGCGCACATGGCGTGCTCGCGGATACCATAGTGGATGTATCGACCGGTGTAGTCGCCGTTGAGGTTGCAAGCAGTTCGGAGCTCGGGCTTTCATGTTCAGTCAGTAGCTTTCCAAAGCCGAATTCTTTTATGGCTGGACTTACCGATTGGAAATCAACCTTCTGGTTGTAGGCGACGTTGCATGACGGTGTGAGATCAGCAGTGCCGATGAGGAAATTCTTCATCTTCTCTCCCAGAGGGTTTCCGACAATACCAGCCGACTTGCGTGTAGCTGTTGCTTCTGTTGGCAACTGATCCTTACTAGGAATGTACTTGGTCCAGTCATCCGGCATCTTGCCCTCCACGCGAAGCTTGAACTCTGCAGCGAGTTCAGGGTATTGCTTGGTGTATCTCTTAACAGTGGCAGACCAGTCGGCCTCGTAAGCGCGCCCGCGCTCGGGTGCGTCGCGGAAAAAGTCGTAGATATCTTGGGGGATGGTGAAGTTCTCGTCGGGGTTGAGGCCGAAGGACTTTTTGATATTTGCGACGTCGTCGACACCGAGAGCAGCGCCGTGGGTTTTCGCATCACCGGCCTTTATCGAACCGAAACCGATCGTCGTGCGGATGTTGATGAAGGTAGGGCGGTCACTGCTTCGCGCGGCGATGAGAGCATTGGCAATAGCTAGATATCCGAGAATCAGTATGGGCCACTGGAGACCAAATGCAAGTGTGCAGAACGGCGTACCAGCCACGTTTGAGTTTCCGTCAAGGATCTCGAGAACGTTCCAACCTGTCGCTCTCATCTTGGCGTTGATGTCTTCTGTGTTCGCGACGTCGGCAGTCCCGTCGCAGGTAATCGAGTTGTTGTCGTAGATGATACAGAGGTTGTTTAGCTTCCAGTGTCCTGCCAGGGACACCGCCTCAAGACCGACGCCTTCTTGGAGGCAAGCATCGCCAATCATACACCAGGTCATGTTGTTTACGACCTCCATTCCAGGCTTGTTGTAGGTTGCTGCAAGGTTCTTCGTGGCCATCGCCAAGCCCACTGCATTGGCAACACCCTGGCCAAGCGGTCCAGTGGTGACTTCGACCCCTTCATTTTCAATCTCGGGGTGACCCGGGCACAGAGAATCGGTCTTCTCGGAGTGGTACGATTTTAGCTGATCGATCGTCATGCTCTTCACACCTACAAGGTGCATGAAGAGGTATTGCCAAAGGCAGGCATGGCCTATCAAGTCGATGTCAGTTTCGTTTGTTTATGGTTCTGTTCTGTTGAAGAGAGTCCGCTTACCATTGGAGAGCACGAAACGATCACGGTTGAAGTATTCGCAGTTTGACGGAGAGTACTTCATCACGTACTTGTACAGAGCAACACCAATTGCTGCCATGCCCATTGCAGAACTGCAGTGCATGTTAGCTCTGGCTTACTAAAGAGATAAGAAGACGCGTTGACCAACCCCGGATGTCCTCCATCAAATTGCTGGCAAAGATCTGCAATGAAAGCCCGGAAAACCTTCAATACTCTGTCGTGCTTGTCATGGCTTTCGAGCTCCAAGTCGGCGACGGCTGCCGGAACACCATGGGTGTTTGTAACGTTGGGCTTGACGGGAAGACCCTCCGTAGCCTTTTCATAGAGTTCCAATGAAGGCGCCATAGTGTTTGTTATGATGGTTCTGGTGTTCGGCTGCGAAGTGAGCTCGGTGACTCCGTTCGCCGCAATACTGCTTCTGAGGCAGGACAGTCTCCCCTTATACTCATGTTGTCTTCCCAGATGTGAGCATCGACTCTTAGCTGTGTCTTCTCGTGGCGATACCGGATAGTTGAGACGACGCGGGCTGCGCCGTTGGTGTCCCAGTTTGACACCCGATGCGACGACAGATCATCCATAAGGGAACGATGTGAGAATTGTCCGGACCGATGGTCCAGTCATGTTAGCAAACCCATCACTAGCTTGCCGATGCCCTTCTCCCCGCCAGCTCACTTGCGGGGAAGCGAGGAAACCTCGTTGCGAACGAAGGATAGAATCTTTCGAGTGGCAGGGGTGGTCTCGTGCCGAGGACACTAAAGTGGGTCACGGACCGGACGAAGCGGGAACTGAAGTGACTCGTAACGAGGCCGTGAAGTGGCGTTTTTCGTACTTCGCTGGTTTCATTGCCCCGACACTTGGATACATATAGGCGAGAATGATCCTAGATACAGGAGGCTCCAATTTAAACCGGGGTGGACGATAATGAACGCGCGTCATCTTCACCGGAAAATAACCCAAATCCTACGGGTGTGTGTTGCTGCGAGCTTTCGCCAAGCCGTGAACGAGTGCAAAGTCTCTTCCTCATCTTGAGGCGGCTTGCTGTACTGTTGAATAAGATCTCGGTCATGATACTATAAGATTCAGTACAGGGCCTTCATTTCTGGAAGACCACTTAAACCCCTACCTAGCTGAGTCAGTTATGCACTGTGGCAACATTAGCCTGTCGACGGAGCTGGAACGAAGATGGAAGTTCATGCTCTCTGCTGTGCGATAGCTGATCAGCCCAGTATTTACCAGAATTTAGTGGACATTACTTACGTCTTTTACTTGCTGCTGCTAAGTGCAGATCCGTTGATACATACTAGCTAGTAAACGAAGTGAAAGCAAATCTTCTGCCAAACACCACTTATGCTTTTTTTACACGCAGTAGATGCACAGTTCTACCGACACACTTACGTAAAGGCATGTTTCTCACTAATGCTTTTAGACATCGCATCTAATTAGCGTTGATCTCACCATGTAGTCCGCGAAACAAGCACGAAGTATTGCTGTAACCAAGGATCCACGGCGTATTTGACCGGCATGATCGCAGTTTCAATCACATCCCCAGATAAATTCGAATTCCTTCTTGCGCCTCCTCACCTTTCCCCGCGTCTTCCCCACACAACACAACAGACGGTACCTCCTGGAAGTTGGGGACGCCGCCAAGTCCCTCAGCTTTCAAGCCTCCTCCCTGCCCACCATGCCGAAACCCGACGGCAGGAGTGCGGGGAAGCAGACCAGACTAGTGGGGTCTCAAGTCGAGGAATTAATCCACTGGCATTATTTAAGGGCACCGAGTGCCTCGAGACGAAGTCTATCCCCGGGCAGACTCGTCAGTGAATCGCTCGGACAAAGAGCCCAGCTTGCTCCAGCCTCTCTTACGCCCACAGCCTGTCTCCCACGGACAAAGCTCCTTGACGTGGGATTGGCCAATGGACACCGCTCCCGCCAATAGATGCAGGTCAACCGCATCTTCAGTGACCGCTTCCGGGGTTGAAACCCGTGCGCGACGCGTCAGGCCGTCCCGAGCACGTGGCCTGCGGACTTCAACAGGCTGGTGAGTAACTGATATCCAGTTTTTTTTTTAATGAAGCTCTTACGATTTGCTACGTCATCACAAACTTGCTAACGTTTGCCGGCCGCATGTAGCTTGACCTGCAGGAGGAGACGTATCAAATGTGACGAAGGAAAGCCCAAATGTGCTCAATGTTGCAAGTCGGATAGGGTATGTGAATACGCCCAGCTTGTGGCTTCCGAAGGGAATTCGGGGAGTCGGAACCGCTCAGAGTCAGTCGCATCGACCGCAGCAGACCAGGATCCCCTAGCGGTCATATCCACAGCGGAAGAAACAGACAGTGGTATAGCCACGTCCCCTGTCCCCGAAGATACCTCAACAGCCGCTCGTCCGGCCGACTTTGCGACGCCCTTCGTCCCTTCCTTCAACCCGGGAGAGCCATGCATCACTTTAGGAGTTGAGGAGACTTTGCAACCTAGCGTGTCCGATGCAGATCTTGGTTTTTCGCCGCTCGCTCTTAGTCAAACATCCTTGCTCAACATCTCACCATTTGAGTGGTACGACCTACTTGCTCAGGATGCCATCAACAATATCCAGAGGCTGAACAATCTCTCAAATGGTGAGCCTAGGTGGGCCTTTGACAAAAGCACTCTATCCCGAAGACAAAGTCCTATTCCCGAATCGCCGCAAGAGGGTGGCACGGGGCCATCGGTTTTTGGCCAAGACGATACCCCTACCGCCCAACCTTGGAACACGACCAGCAACATAGAGTTGTCAGAAAGTGATCTTACATGCTTCCGCTATTATGTGGAGGTAGTTGGTCCTATCCTTGATCTCTTCGATCCAGAAAGACACTTCTCCAATGTCGTCCCGCATCTGGCCGTACGCAATATTGGCTTGCTCAAGTCCATTCTGGCTGTTGCAGCCAGACACATGTCTCTTGGGACCGGCATTGACGATGGCCCACCTCGTAGCAACCCGCCGTCACCGGATACGAGATACCGTGAGGGGAACGCAGGGCTCGAGCCAGCTCGCATGGCTACGCAGTTCTACTATGAAACTCTGCAGTATCTCTCTCATACGCTGCTATATCCGTCTTATGCCAACTCACACGAGATCCTGGCAACGGCAATCATGATAAGTACGTACGAGATGTTCGATGCGAACGGCCCCTCAACCAACGGGGACTGGGAACGTCATCTTAGGGGAGCCTTCTGGATTCAACGCTCTCAGAACAATAACGGCGAGTCCCCTGATGGATTGAGAAGAGCCGTATGGTGGGCGTGGCTTCGGCAGGATATCTGGGCTGCATTTAGGTCTGGTCGTCGAACATTGACTATATTCCAACCGCAACAAAGGATACAAGACCTCACTTCAAACGAGCTCGTCACCAGAATACTGTTCATTGCGGCTAAATGCGTGGAGTACGCTTCCCACGATGCATCTGCTCCCATACGAGACCTGCAGCACCGGATGAATCACGGCAACCGGCTCCTACGGTACTTGGAGGAATGGCGTCAAGCATTGCCAGCATCATTTGCCCCTATTTCTGCTGCCACCATGGCATGCCCCGTTACATCTCCCACGCCATCTGACCAGCAATCCGGACAAGTTCCGGACTCCGCTTCATCCATGGAGTCAGCAGCCAAGCAGATTTTTAATCCCATCTGGATCCATCCTCCTAGCCATGCAGGTGCTATGCAAATGTACCACTTCGCTCGAGCCATAGTTCTGCTAGCTCAGCCAACAACAGGTGGTCTCAGCACGTATCGGCAACGACAAAAATCTCTAAATGAAAGCCTCCACACGGTCTGCGGCATTTCAAATGCCTGTAAGGATACTGACTTTGCCATGGCCTTTGTGAACGTGCAGGCAGTTTTTGCTGGTGAGTGCTCCGTAGTTCTGTGCTGCGCTATGCATTGCATGCTGACGGCATGACAACAGTTGGGCAATGTGCGCAAGATAAACGAAAGCAGTCAGAGATCCTTCCAATACTCGAACGATCACTTACAATAAGCAAGTTCCCTGTTAAAGGTTTAACACAGGATCTCCGACGGCTTTGGGATGAAGGTACTTGATCAGTACAGTAGTGTCGTCTTTCATGAAATGTTATGAAGTATGACAGCCTAGAAAAGGTTGAATTTCTTTGTAGACTAGATGCGTCTATGATATCTGATGAGCAGTAATGTACATCATTACATGTGCTGGAGGCTGCCAACCCGGCGTCTCCGAGTCCTGATTTAATCCCCAAAGTTTACCATGCACCAACAATTCCAGCGACTGGGATGTCGATCCCTGTCGTGTAGGTTGCGCCATCCGATAGCAAGTACACATACGCGCCACCAAGCTCCTTAGGGTCAGCTAGCCGAGGCATGCCCCCGTAGTACTGCATCTTGAGGTTCCAGTCGGGAGCTTGGTCGACGAAGTAAGTCATGGCCGTCTTGACGAATCCGGGCGAGATGGAGTTGACACGGATGCCATGCTTCGCCCACTCCATGGCAAGAGTATGCGTCATGTTTCTCACCGCACCCTTGGTTGCCCCGTATGGCGCAGAGGGAGCGGCGCGGTTAGGTCGGTACGAAGTCATAGAGGCGGTGAAGACGATGGATCCTTTAATTCCGAGCTCAATGAAGCGCTTGGCCACGGTCGTTGCGCAGAAGTAGGCTCCAAAAACGTTGAGGTTAAATAGCTGTTCTAGTTGGGCGCGACTGAAGTCGAGAGCAGGTTGATGCTTGGTCATACCGGCGTTGGCGACCAGACCGTGGATGGCGCCTTCCTTCGCCACGATGGCATCGATGGCGCTGATGACACTCTCTTCAGATGTGACATCGCACTGAAGGTAGTGAATACGCTTGGGGTTTACTTTTTGGATCGCCTTGAACTCTTCACCGGGCTCAAAAAGATCGAGAGAATAGATGACTGCGGCCTCGTTGGCGAGGCAGACCTCGGCAATGCCAAGGCCGATGCCCCTGTTGGCACCAGTGATTGCGATGACCTTGTTCTTTAACGAGATCCTCCAGTCATGGTCAGGACCAGGCTGCGTGTTGAGAAACTCGGGAGGACTCGAATTGGCATGGGCAACAGCAGGGCTTGGTGTTGGTTCGGCAACCGCGTTGCCGTTGCCGGCCAGGGCTAGAGTAACATCTGCCGTTGCGCTGGGAGACATGATGTCTGGCTAGCTGAGTGTCCCTGCAGTAAAAGGGATCTGAAATAGATAAAAGTTGCAGGAATGGGTGTGAATCAGGCGGATTAGTCGGTGTTGTAAAAGGTCTTGCAAGACAGAATGCTTCAGGGAAATCGGGTGTAATGATATATTATTCATCGAACCGTCCAACACCCGGCTTTGCTTCGCATCTTGCTCCGGGTCAAATAAGGCTGGAGACCCCGAAACCGCAGCAGGACGGCTCTGGTACCGACAAAGCGCGTAGCAAAGAAGACCTTCGGCACGGGGAGAATCAATCAGCTATTACGACAATGGGATCATTTCCTCGCAGGTGCCTTCCTATTGGCTTGAGTTAGAACCGAAGCCACATGCCGTGTTAGGCCCATAGTCACTAACCAATCGCACAAAAAACCAGGGGAATGGTCGCCTCGAGGCGACTCTCGCATCGAGGTCACGGACTAGCGGAGTCTCTCGCGTCGACTCATGATTGGATTCCCCTCATCAGGGAGCCACCCGGCCATTTTCTCAATCAGACTAACTTCATCCTTGGTCGACTCCAAGATCCGGGGTACCAAATTCCGGGGAATTTGCTACGCCTTCTCCATGGGGTGACTTGCGGCTTGCGGGGGCTGGTCGCACTTCTCCGAACCCGAGAAAATATGGACCAACAAGGCAAAGGACTTTGCTAGCACACGGGGCGTTATTCGCTGACAAGTTGCTGTTCTCTCATATCTTGACGTAGAACACTCAACAGTCTTGCCATTGTTACATTCAATGCATGCCCTGCTCTATAAGTAAGAGACCTTCACATTTCGCCAAGTAAAGTTCGATTTCAATTCCTGCTTAAGCCATCGAGATCTGTCCACCACTTCGGTTTTCTTTTTTCTGCCACGAGTCTAGACTCGGATTTCAGCAGAATTCAACGTCAAATCATCAGCATGGCCATCGGCAGATCCTCCTCGTCGCCTAGCATGGAAGTAAACGACAAAAATGAACTTGGTGGTCAACATGTCGAGTCTTCTAGTCAGGGGATTACCTGGACAGAAGAAGAGGAGAAGAAACTCGTCAAAAAGATTGATCTCTTCTTGATGCCGGTGAGAATTATGATGCGGCATCCATATGAATACAAATTCTCTAACAGCGGACGTTGTAGACTATCTGGCTGATGTACCTTCTGTCCTACATGGATAGAACCAAGTAAGTCGACTAGCCTTCACCATTTGTCAAGTCCAAGCTGATAATGGGTTTCCTTACTACAGCATTGGAAATGCCAAGATTGCAGGAATGGCAGACGACATTGGCCTATCTTCTTCCCAGTACAGCATTGTGCTCATCGTATTCTTCAGTATGTCTCCCTATGTACCACATAGCTTTCCGTTGTTTGGACAGGTTTACATCAGTTGCTAACAAATGAATAGTCGGTTACGTTCTCTTCGAACCTCCGTCCAATATGATCCTCGTTCGAACCCGCCCGTCACTATACCTTCCCTTCATCATGGCCGTCTGGGGCGTCCTTACATGTATTATGGCCGTCGTCAAGAGCTACCACCACCTCATCATCCTCCGAGTCTTCGTTGGCATAATGGAATCTGGTTTTGCACCGGGTATCCTCTTAATCATCTCCTCATGGTACAGACGCGCTGAACAATCAAGACGCTTTGCTATTTTTATGTCAGCGGCAATTTTGTCAGGTGCCTTTGGTGGATTGCTTGCAGGTGCCATCACAAGCGGCCTTGAGGGAGCCCATGGAATTCGAGGATGGAGATGGCTCTTCATCGTCGAGGGCGTGGCGACAATTGGCTGGGCCGGCATCTCAGCGCTCATTTTGCTTGATTTCCCGGCCACATCCAAGCGCCTGTCCGAACGTGAGCGAGCGATTGCGGTTGCAAGGCTACAGGAAGACAATGTTACCGTTCGGGGAGAAGAAGAGAAGCTTGGCAAGAGAAAATCGTTCATGCTTGCCCTTAGCAACTGGAGGACTTGGGGATTTGTTCTCGGTTACATGGTAAGGACATGAATACAGACATCGGGACAGAGCGGATTAAGGCTAACATATTTCAGGTCATTGTAGGCTCCTCGACACTTTCTTACTTTTACCCTACCTTGGTCCATGGGCTTGGCTTCACGTCAACAGTTCAGGCCCAGTATATGACGGTAAGTCGACTACCTCTTCTAACAACTTGCCATATCTGACAGTTGTGCTTCAAGGTGCCAATCTATGCTTTCGCGTTCGTCTGTACCGCTATCACTGGATTCTACGGTGATAGAATCCCTGAACACCGAGGACTGGTCATCGCCGGGTGGCTCGCATTTAGCACAATTACTTCAATTTGCGTTTGTGTTGTGTACAACTTCACCGCACGCTACGTATTGTTAGTTCTGATGGCAGCTGGGCTCTGGGCATCAAACGCGATGTCCCTCTCTTTCGCCAGTTCAACGTTTGGCAGCATGGATGCCGAGGTGCGCGCCATTGCTCTGGCGTTGATGAATGCTCTTGGAAATCTGGCTCAGATTTATGGTGCATACCTATTCCCAGGTGACGACGCTCCTAAGTATCTTTTAGGTTTCGGTGTTATATCCGGCATGCTGGGATTAGGTGTGATCGTTTACGTTGTAATGCATATTATGGTCAGAAGATATAAATCCTAAATCAACAACTACTCGACTGAAACGCTCTTCGGGGCTTCAGTACTAAACGAAAATACTTTCAAACTAACATTGCTACTTAGGTTCATAAATAGCTAGTGTTCCTTATCTCCCTAGATTTTATAGTGCGGTTTCCAACGCGTCGTAACATATTATGCATATCAACAGAACCAAAAGTGTTTCATTAACCTCTTCTTTCAGATAGCATAGTCACCAATCCTACGACAGTGAAGAATGCGCTATTCTACTTCTCCAAGAGTAATATCTATTGGTTGCCAACTTTGCCTGGAGTCTGAAACCATGGAGCCTCCAATTCAATCAGCAGCCCCGATTGCACACTACCTTGGCCATTCAAACGAGGGGACTTTTAACCATCAGAAAAGTCGCCACAAGTCCTTAGTTTTGCCCATTTAGCCGCGCGAGAGCCACCCGGTGCGGGTAGAACTACTCTCTCAAGAGACTCAAAGTTCCAGCTGATGTTATTCATGTCCACCTGATTATCCTTAGTCCACTGCCAAATTTCATCGAAGTCTCTACATTGTTGAGTGTCAGAGAAGTCCGGCCAAGGACTGGATTGGGTCTCACGCCATTCATATGTGAATAGCGTTACATCCGCGTGACACTTCAGAGTTTGCAGTAGCGCGTAGGTATAATGCTCTACGTGCCATCAATGTAAATAATTTGGTCTCTCTGAACCAAATTTTTCCCGGCAGTAGTAGTCGTAGTGACTAGCTCTGCGTAGCGTGTCGATATAGTGAATTTGGTGAAAATCATCGACGTAGGCTAGGTAGTTGCTGTCTCTGAGGCCCCGCGATGGAAGGGCAGCAACGGCTATAGAAGAGTTCTTGCCAAGCTTTCTGACATCCGTTTTCGTAATGTCAATCGGCAGAAGCAGATTTATTTCCCCCCAAGCTTCGTCAACAGCAGAAGTTGGAGGTTGTCGATACATAGACGGGGAATTCACTGAAATAAGTCTCCATTGAATCGAATCGGTTTGATCTCGAACTTGACCAGATAGAACAGAGGTGCTTCGGCTAACTAAATCAATAATTATACCCAGTGTTTTCGAGACAGGTAGTATACTTACAGTGTGAAGATGTTGCTCTCATCATATCTGTATCAGTTCTGTGTATCAACTTTCTTACTTGGAAAGGGAAAGAAGTGAGAAAAAAGACCAAAATCGAAGCCAAGAAAAGTGCCAGGCTTGCCCATAACGCCCAAACAGAATTGAATCTAGAGCCACGCTGCTGTAGACAACTGTGACATTGGGAGGTTGCCTCGATGGAATAGCTCTCGGACAGGAGACAAGTTGATCTTGGCTGTTGTCAGCACACCGATATGAAATTTTCTGAGACATGGAGCGCGATGAAGTCATGTGTCGGCTTGCACTAATGCGTACAGATAACGCCCACCAAGGGTGCACGAGGCCTTTGTAGAGTACATAATAGTGACCAGTGATGTTTTCCTGATTCGTGACCGAAGAACATGGTGTCTTGTCAAAAGGAAGGAGCCTCTGCACGATGAAAATACGCGTGGAATACGGCAGCATAGCCGCGTCGAGCTTGTTTAGAGCTTTGATTTCAATCGAGAAGAAAACCACTTATTCGTGTGACTGCTCGATAATCTAACACGACGTAGGATATTGGATGTGTGCAGGGTGATCAGGTCTATAGAGAGCGGTGCGGTAAACAACCACAACCTCCCCTTATAGCTACGCAAGATGCCTTTAACCAGTCGCAAATCAACTGTCCTGATCAGGTTAAACTGCCCTGGTCTGGCTTAGCCACAGCGCGGTGGGTAAAGCAGAAGCTCCCAAATTGCTTAAGTAGGTGTGATCAAGGTATTGATTATCACGAAAGACAAAAAGGATGCTCCCCTAGGCACAGAGAGGTTTGATGAATGTGTGTTGATTGTTGGTGTCTGACCTGTGTGTCTCCTTGTCATACGCGGTTCTATACCCCTGATCAGACCCTGCTTAGCTAAGAAATCAAAGAAATCAAACGCAAAGACCATCTCAATGGGAGCAGGAAACCCTGCCGCGTTCCAATATCTCACCTTTTGGGACTTCAATATTCAACGAAACCATTCTCTTAACTTTATGTTCGCTATTTCAATATCATTCCACAGTCACGTCTCGCTGCGCATCAATCTGATCTAGCCCTGGATGTCGATGAAACATCGTCCGACATTCGATAAGCATTGTGACAAAAGTACACATCTGCCGACTCAGGTAGTAAACCGAAGTAGATCTCTCCGAAATGAGTTCTGTCACAACTTTCTGGCCCCTCGGGAGGTGAGGGCGGGCGCGGGTCGGTGAAAGGGAAGCAGATGAGCTTCCTAAAAGCCTCATGATTTGGTGAAATGCTCAAACCTAGAAATTAACCTTCCGTCATTCCTGAACGTGAATGACTGGATCACTTCAAAATGCACATGTGATCCGCTTCATCAACGGGCTCTCCATACCGGTACTCTCCTAACAGGGCCAGGGGCAAGATACCAGATGATCGATGCTTGGTCACCAGTAACAACACTGGATCGCCTAAACGGCAGCCAATTAGAATCTAATATTTCACCAACATCGAAAAGGGCTTGCAGCCCAACAGGGCTCAACTTCCACCTGTAGATGCGGGGTCTCAGTTCTGCAACTTAACTTCCCTCTGATCCTGTTAAGAATCCTAACGTAACACTCGCGCGCGAGAGAATCACTCCAACTCTTCGTGCCAAGCTCTGCATTTAGGCCGAAGGCGGAGATCCACAAGATGCAAGCATCATGAACCCTTGCATATCTCCGCTATGAAGAAGCCTTAACTGCAACCGTACATCACAGACCGCCTCGTCATTTCGTCACTGAGGAGCAAATATGGGCTTAATGACTGAGTTATATCACAGAAACAAAAGTCAGAAAATACCCGGGTTCGTCCGGTCGATCAAATAACAGGTCCAGGAGAGATACAGATAGCCGCTTTTAGCGATGACTTCGCCTACTCGATTGGAATTGGAAAATTCGCGACCATGGGAAGTCATCTTCCGCACCTGCCCGTTGGGCGATGGCTCATCAAGACACATGAGCGTTCTGATCGAATCAAAGACATTCCGCTTACAACGGCATTCCTGAAGCAGCGTAACATACGACGCTGCCAGTCGCATCCACACTACCCGCAAGGTTACTATGGAAGCAAAATGCCCCCGCGTTCCGATGTTCTGGCTCCAAATCTCGGAGCTGCGCCTGGCTATTAAAGTTGATGTGCGTCTCAGCTTGGAATAAATAACCTAGATCAGATTACGAAGTTTTCTTCTCCAAATACTGGTTCTGATACATCCTAATCCTGTCTCTAGAATTTTATCACGATGAAGGGTCCCGTAATTGTTATTGCACTTCTCGCCTCTAGGGTTACCGCAGGGGACTTCAGCCAGAGCTGCAACGAAGAACACATTGACCCATCAACTCAGATTCTGACTGCGAACTGCAACAAGGGTGACGGCAAAGGCACTTTCCAGCCAACTTCCCTCGATCTGAACCGCTGTTTTGCATATGTGGGCAATAAGATCCAGGTACGTCAGATTGTTGAGCTGAGTTTTCTGGGGTAACGGCAATTTTCAAGTTGATCTTAGAAAAATCATGAGGTTATTGCCAGTGAAGGCCCCTGCTGATTTCAGATTGCCTTGTAGTGGAGTAGCAAGGGAGACTTCGGCCAAGTTTGCCATGACTGTTACTTTTACAGCTTGCCGGACCCCGTTTATGGACCGATCTTCGGAACCACCCGAGCATGGATGAACTGCACATGCGACGGTGCTTCAGTAGAGAGCTCGATCGACCTCGGTAAGTCCTTCGCTTGAATTCAAATTTTGGACATATGCTTTGATCATTAAAATTTACACAAACCTACCTGCTGACATCACCTGGAACACGTAGACATCACACCAATGTCAAACAAATTTGGAGATTTGAGCTGCACTTCATGAACTTGGAAACGCGAGTTACCTGATGGTATGCTTATCAGTTACATACGATATTGTTCTGCACCATCGCTTGACCCGTATATCTTTGTTCAGTCTCAAAGATGGGGAGATTGAACGGGTTCACCAATACTATTTTTTAGTTGATGCAGGGAATTACTGAACCAAGCAAGCACTTCCATTTCAACCTGCTTCCCGTCTTGGAAACCTCAAAATATCAAGTTGCATCACAATGCGGTTCGAACATCGAAGTTCGCAGGCTTACAGTGCCATCAATCAATAACAGTTTAGTTACACTGCACAGCCTTCAACTCGTTGCCACAGCGTCAGTGATTGGATAGATGTTAGGTGCCTCGGGGTTTATCTTTCTCTATGAGGAGCGAATGCTCGAAGGGTATCTAATCGCAGTTTCTATGCGAGATGCATCGCATCTTCAAAGTGAAGCTAACGGAGTGCTGCTAAGATTGCTCGCCCACGGTATTGAGAGTGAAAGATTTGACATCATCCTTGCAAGATTTGGTAGCGTCTCCCAATTGTATTCATCCTTCCACTGGTTGCCAAGTTTGGCATGCAGTACCAGTTCGTACAGGTTCGCCATCTCTTGGCTATCCCAAATACCTTCTCGCCGTTTCATGTCTCGTAGAACATTAATGATCCTCCTCTCCAGGTCGACGTTGTCGCAAAAGGCGCAAATGTAAGCCAAAGAAGGCACGATGTCGGCCGCGAGCGCAAACTTTGGCCTCGGCCGTTCCTTTCCTAAAGATACGATATCCTCAGCCATGTCGACGAGCCTGTGGAGATCCTCCATATTGGAGTTCTTCAAGGCACATGGTCCATCTTGTTCGTTAAATATTGCCCAGCTCTTTTGGGAGAACCGAAGCGCCTTGAGTTCGTCGCGATCAGCGGGTTTCATGCGTTTTGGCAAGCCTTTCTGAAACAGCTCGAATCGGGAGCACCATGTCTTGAAATGAGCAGTTGCAATATCCCATGCCACATCATTGTAGCTTCGAGATTCGGGCGGTGGTCTATGGCTACTGCATGATGGCGTCGGGTGCCAGCAGCTATCAGTACTGCAGTACCAAGAATCCTCGAAAGCTTGTGTGAACATCCGCTCCACCAAATGAAAAAGCTGTCGGGCCTCAGAGACGCTGGAAAACGGTATGGTTTCATCTTCGACTGCTTCTGGTTGCGTGAAGAACGATAGGTCTGGTATAACGTCGGCTTCGATCAGCATAGAGGCATCCATGCCCATACATGTGAACATATTCGTGATGTCGCATAACTGGTTGAAATGCTTGTGTACCGTCTCGACCAGAGATTTGTCGGAAGTTGAAAGCGACTCGGAATCGTGCTGATCGGCTAATGCAGCTTGATGAAGTGACTCCAGGACTCGAGACCCTGATTTCAAATGCTGAATAGCCTTATCGTACTGGCCTCTCACGATCTCGAAACAGACGAAGACTAAACAACATATGAGAGTTATCCGAATATTGACAGGCGACGGGTCAGCCATGATTTGTATTGCTTCCGAAACGGCTTTCCTGTAGTGCCTCTCGGCTAGGTCATTGAATGCTAACGCAGACTGAGATGGCTCTGGCTCGGAGAAGGGATTCTCTAAGAATGCTCTGTGAGCAACACCAAGTGCGATGACAGCGTGCTTGACTGAATCGGAGTAGTAGCCTAGCGGCAGAATGTAGTTACTCCATATCTTGGCTAGGGGAGTAGCGAGACCAAAGTCTGGTACCGTACACCGGTGGACATGGTGGAACATCAACCTTTCTAAAGTTGTGCCGGAAACATCCCAATCAATCGGGGGTTTTAGTTGTGTCACTGATGTGATGGGTCGCCTTCGGAGCGACACCAAGCAGTTGGGGCTTCGCCGTTGGCTTTTTTGCAGATACCCTGCATATCCATCGCATTTGTGGTTGTCTTTCTTGCATCTTTTGCAGATCGGCTTCTCCTCATCGCACTTAACATGTCTGGCTCTGAATGCGGTCAGTAATTGCGCATGGTGGTGGCGGTGAATACAAGGTATGATATGATGCCGGTATTGTAACGGAAGAAAGAGGCAGAAAGGCCTTACTTGCTAGTAACGTGACAAGTGACGTCAGTTTAACCATTCTTCAACGAGCAAAAGTGGCACAAGTGTCGTCACAAACCATGTTAAGCACCCAGTCCTAACCTTTGACGCGCTCGCCCTAGTCATCTTGGGCTTCTTCGGCGCGGGTCCCACAGAGAAGACTCCAGTACCGGGGGTCGAGTTATCCAATGACATCGCAAGGTGCAATCTAAATGAATAAAGAGACTGCCTTTTCTTGGAACAAATTGGACTGATGGCGGTTGCTTGTTGTGATCCCAAGATGAGGGCTCTCGGGTGCCGGGTTGTGCGGGCGCGAGAATTCAGGCAGGGGATACATATGCCAAGATGGGCATTTTGGGCAGCGTCCACTATATACAGCCAAGTTGTTGGATACGGATGATCGCAGCCTTCGGCCACCGAATGCCCCTGGTTGCTCCCTGCGGTGCAAGCTCTTTCGTAACGAACGGTATGTGTTTGGGGGCCAGGTTTAGTCTTTTACGATACCGCCAATCATTAGCTCGGGAATTAGCTCTTTACTGATAAATTATGGAGCCATGGAGGGTGAGGCAGTTTTGACATCTCCGCAAAATGTCAGAAGAGGCCGGATAGAATTTGCCTAGCCTCTGGTGAATCATACGGCGAGGCCGATGGACAAGCCAAACGCTTCTTTCAGCCCTATGAGGTCAATTCTCAGTCCCTCCACAGACCACAAGGATATTTTAGGAACCCTACCAGCGGGTTGTCCTGCCTAAACAGACGTGAATATGCGATGCCTTGGGTTCCCTGAGTGTAACCCGCACTGACTGATCATTCCCTGTTTGAGGGACTCTCATTCCTTGTCAAGCATCGTTCCCACCAATGCCAATCGTCTGTGCTGAAATGTAAAACCAAGGCGTCAGTCGTCTTTAGTTGACACATCCCCCCTGAATGCTCCGTATTCGAATAGGGCATCTTTATGTCAAAATCTAGTGAGGTCCAAATCATGAAGTAATAAAACTCAAATTGGGTGATACCTAGAACCCCAGAAAAGGAGGGCTCGCAACGTAGTACTAATGAGGTGATTTCTTTCTTTTCCCTTTTCTTCTCTTGGTTTTGTTCTATCTCCTCCGACGTCCTTGAGTTTTGATATGCGTTGGGGTCATAAACCACATCGTGAATCTGACATAAATGACAGCCAACGTCAGAAGTAACCATGACGGCTCTTCACGTCAGTACAAGATTTGCAAATTCGGCTTCTGTAAATGAATCACTTGAAAGATACACGCCCGGTTCCTCACTTGGATGATGTAATGCCATGGTTACATTGCTGCTTCTTGTATGATTCACCACCAATGTTTGTACCGTGATCGACTGATCGAGAGTGGACGGTAAGCCCGTAGAAGCCGAAGCAACTCGGCATCAGCTGTTGCTGCGGATTTAATAGGAATGCCCTAGTTCATCTTGACAGTCCATGGAGAAATAAAGACGAACCCACCACAAAATGAACCCACCACAAACTAACAGGTCGATAGTAAGGTGGTTACACTGAAGTAAGAGTGAACAGTAGAAGCTTGTCCTGACTTGAACAGCCGCGTCATCGGCAGAACCGTTTCGCTAGGCTGCAGCATTACTTTGATTGGCCCAAGGATTCATGTTTTTCTCTCCTAGTAGTCCCCAATCAGGCCAATAGGTCTCAGTGGAGTGGAGAAAACCAGCAGCTACTTAAAAATGAATGGTGAATTTTTCTTAAGTGACACATTGACGTTTTGGAAGGACAGAACCCTCTATGCAAACGATCTGGAGGATTCCAGTTGGTTGAACGTGTGAGACCAGCTATGCGGAACTTTTGTAGCTTGGCGAAGCCCCGTGTATAAACCCAAGACGATGTCTGCGTTGACCTTGCTTGTTATGTTAAATCAGTAGCACGTGCCGTACATCCGCGAAGCTAAAAAATGAAAGTTGGAAACGGTATGTAACTCTAAATCGTGCTCCGGTAATCTAGTTGACTGAGTGCCAATGCGGCTCGACGGCGACTGCCCAGCGGTGAATGTCCAAACTTTCCACCGCTAAACGAGGCCAATCCCCGACTAGAAGCACATTAACGGAGGTTCTTTTGACGGAAAGCTACGAAGAAAAAAGTGACTCTCTACATCGGATGGCACTTCACTGGCTGGGATCCTGGTCTAATCCTGGCTCGAACGGATAGCGAGGTTGGACACAAAATTGTGCCTGTCGGAATCAGATCCCGAAGCTGCTTCTTCTATAGGTCGCTGGTACCTTTGTCACACATCTTCCAAGCACTCCAGTTGCGCATGCACTGCTGACTTTGGATTCGCGTTGCGACTCATCAGACTCCGTTACTGTGGCTTGAAATGTTTCTATGCACGGATCAAACTGCATCGACAAACAAACAAGGTGTGAAATGTATTACGACATGATCAGGAGAGAGTAGCATTAAGGGGGCTTGGTTCCAGAGACCTTAACTCCACCACACTAGTGTCAGGCAACCATGGAGCCCTAGTCAAAAGCCACTTGGGGTTAGTTTGGTCGACGGGGTATCCTTTCGTTAGTATCAACTGGGGCATCTGCATCGTTTGCTCTCACGAACCGTGACGTGGATTTGGAAGGGAGCCGCTCGGGCTACCATTCAACTCGCACTCAGCTTTGAGCCTACGTGTACGCGACTGGACACAGGCTATAATCGAAATCTGGAACGAACTTAACCCCGGCTTTTCTCTTTAGAAACAGTCAGTCAACAAAAGAACCACCGAGTACCGAGTACTGGGGCTTAGCTGAGATACTGATTTACATAGGGCTGCCACGGGTGAAATACGCGTGATAAACGCAGAACTTGCGGGTTAAAAGTATCCACCGGAAGAGGCTATAACCTGAGACAGACGATTTGAGTCCGTTTCCGTTATCGAGAGGGTTGTATGCCCTTGGCTTTCTTCTCAGATGTTCTCTTCACCATCATCGCAACGGACGTGTCTTGGTATGTTGGATCATTCTGGCTAACGGTGCACATTGGTGAGAGGATGGAGCACCGGAGGGAACCCAAAGTGACAACTCATGCAGGAGATGAAAAGAGCGATCCTAGATGACCAATAAAGAAACGACCATCGGAAATTATTGACCTTCATCGGATAAGTACTCGGGCTTTGCTAAGCATATACTCTGGGAAAGGTTCGCTTACGAACGGAAAGTGTTTCCCTAACGACCACAAGATGCACCGAGTACCTCGCAGCCGCCAGCACCAGAGATGCAAAGAATGTTGCAGAGATAAGCAAAAGGTAGGAGATAATTTCCAACTTATGGGTAACGGAGTTCTTCATCATTTCATGTCGGTTGACTTAAGCTGAGCTGCCACATCAGCGATGCATACCCGTTTGCCGAAACGGGGCGCCAACAAAATGCCTCAACTGCGTCGCAAACGATCTCCCATGCACTGCGGATGAGCCTGAAACAACTACGGCACCACAGAAAGAGGAAAAGCCAGAAGAAAACACATCTGAAGACCCCGGAGCGTCTGATGTGAAACAAGCAACCAAACCGCCGAAGCTGAGAGATTCCTCTTCCGAAAAGACCTTGACGTTTAGCTTGCTGCATCGGCTCCACTGGAACACAAAAACTACAGACTGCAACGAGAAAGTGGGTGTTGTTGGGAGGTCGAAGCGGAGCTCGAATCAGCCTCAAAGCCGAAGTGGCCAACACCCTCTACATTGGACCCAAATTTGAGATGGGAAAGCTCTTGCTGTTCACCCTTTCAGGCACAATGGTTACGGAGGAAAATTCTTACGCCTTTTCCGCTGGGAAGCTCATACTCTGAGTGGCGGTGAGGAGGACACCGTTCAGTGTCCTAGGGCCGATGGTGGGGATATTTCTATTGCTCTTCTTTACTCCCAGAGCCTGGAAAGACAAACTTGACAACAATCGCTGGAACGAAATCCCAGGCGACCTGGAACACCCTCACCTTTCGATGTCCTTTCCATTGTCGAAGCACCCATCTAGCAGATCTTTCATCGCCATTTCCGTTCCGCTCGGTCGCGTCACCCAGCACTCGGCCCGGAACCACCCGTCCCCCTCCAACCCGCGTTCATCTAGCCCTTTCCTCCTTATATCCTCGACCGCAGCCCTCTGCTCCTCGCTCGACGTGAATCGCCGCTGCCGAAACGTCATCCCCTCGACCTTCTCCGTCACGAGCCCGTGTTCTTCCCTCAGCTTCTCTGCAACATCCTCAAACGAGAACACGCGTAGCACGAACGTCACCATCCATAGGCTCCCTGGGTCCTCGACGCACGCCGCGATCCGTGAGAAGGTGGAGGCGGAAACGTAACCCACCCCGCCGGTGCAGACTACCAGCTTTACATCGCGGAGCGCGGAGCGTAACGCCGGGGAGGGATCTGCGCTCTCTAGATTCTCCGCGAAACCGGAGGTCAGGAGTCCTGTTTCGATGGCATAAGAAATCGGCTCGGGCGCCACGTCTAGCCCCAAGACCTCTAGTCCAGGGCGATGCGGACGAGATGCGAAGAATCGCTTATCCGCAGCTATCTGCTCGCGGGAGGAGAGTTTGGGGGTAGAGGCATAGTGAGTTGCCATGGAGCCTAGATCGAGGTCGTGCCGCAGGAGGGCCGCATTGATGCCATAAGAGCAGCATACGTCGAGGACCTTCTCAGTGCTTTTGATACCGCCGTTTGTGGAAGGTTCGTTGGTGGAAGACGAAAGCTCTAAGATCCGGTTCACAAAGGGGAGGGCATGCTGCGGAACCTGGTATTCCAACGGCGTCAGAGCGGCGAAGTAGGCACGCGGGTCCGGTTGGTTGTAGATTGACTTGAAGTCGGCCTTGCGAGTATTGTTGAAGTGCTCGGGTTGCTCCTCGATGGTCATCTTGAGATTGCCAGTATGAGTCAAAACTGAGGCAATGACTCGAGCTGGCAGAATTCGTTCGATAGATAGGATGAGGGAGCTGAGCAGAAGCAGGAGATGTAACAGCACCCAAAGCACACCATGCACCGACAAATTCCACGACTAAGTGGCTTATTGGAGGGGTGCAATCTGTTCATAAAAGGAATCTAAACATATAGGCAAGAGCAAAGGTCGTCATCATACCTCAGCACTCGGCCAACCAGGCGCCAATCCAACAGATGCGCATGCGCTCGAAGCAGGTTTCCCTGAGAGGTGTGCGCGTCCAAAAATGCACTCTCTTCCTGCTTACACGGAATGGGATTCACCAACATCACCCTCGGTCTGCGAGCCGGTTGCCACTTGCAAGGTTCTGATTGAGGTCTAATGAGTCCACCTATGCGACGCGGGCTGCGAGACCCTCTCTCCCCGCTCCAGTGGCTAGACTTCCCGTCGACTCTGCTCCTACATGAGCCTCCCCTAGCGAGGCCGTTTTGTCACTAGCAGAAGCTCTGGTAGGATCTTTACCACTTTGCGTATCTCGCTGAGAGATGCCATGTCGCGCGAACTCAGCCTATGCAGCCAACAAGGGCTGCCCTCAGAGTGGGACCGTGTATTGGTGGATGATGCTTACCGGGACCCATACATATATGCAACAAGCTCACGGCGGAAGATGTGGGCAGATGGAAGCGGGGGTCGGGTAGTTGCGGCTTGTAGCTATGCTGCTTGAACGTCATCGGGGATCGGTCCAGCGTGATTAGACAAAGACAAGCAACTTCACGTAGGTTCATTACTTCATTGGAGACATTCACGTAAGAGAGTCCAAGTATTGATGTTGAGCAACCCCGAATCATGGGATTCATCACGTATTACTTCATTACTAGATCATGTATTTTTATGCATTCATGATAACAAGCCATTACATTCCCTTCTCTTACATCAGTACTGTCCGGTAACCGTGATCTTGGGCGTCTTGTAAACATCCCAGTTGTCCGCGTGCGTGGGGTTGCCGAACGGGCGGAGCGCCGCAAAACGGAACTGGTACTCGCCAGGCGCGATCTGGCTGCCGTTGCCCAGCTTGCCGAACCACCAGTGCTCATTGTAAAGCCCAGCCGCGCTGCGCTCAACGTCGGTGATGGGGTAGGTGAAGGTCTCATCGGGGTCGTACTGCGCCGGGTTGAAGGTCTGGACGTTGCCGGAGCCAACCCACGAAGCGACAGAGCCAACGTAACCGTTCTGGCCCTCGACGGGAGGGTAGACCCACTGGCGCTCCGTCCAGCTGGCGTCGAAGATGTCCCAGCGAGTCTGGCGGGTTCCCCAGAGGAGCTTCTGGAAAATCTTGGGGAAGTCCTGGGCCTCGATGCTGAGATCGAAGGAGTAGGTCGCCTTCTCACCAATGGGGGTGTCGTCGACGGTGGAGACGGACTGGGGCCAACCGGCCTCGTGGACGCCGCCAAGGGTGTTGCGGAGGTCAGCACCGACGCCGGCATAGGGAACGGACACCTGCTCGCCGTTGCTGCCCTGGATGATGACCTTGCCTCCGTACAGGGGCAGGCCGGTGGTGTTCCAGCCAAGGGTGTCAGGGTTGCCAAAGTTCACAGAGACGGTCTTGCTCTCGCCAGACTTCAGGGTGAAGTCACGGGGAAAGCTGATCTCGGGGGTATAGGTCTTGGGGCGGAGCTGGGCAAAGGTCTTGACTCGGTTGGTGCCGGGAAGGCCGGCCGTGGCGGGAATCCAAGCAAGAGCGTCAACACCGGCGTTGGGCTGGACGGAGAACTTGTAGGTCACGTCAGACTTGCCGTTGTTGGTGACGGTAACGTCGTGGTAGCGAGAGAAGTAGCGAGTGTCATTGAGCTGGATCTTCTCGAACTCGAGCTGGGTACCATAGTGAAGAACCTTCCAGGCGTCGATCTGGCCGTTGCCGACCTGGGCCGGAGGAGCACTGTAACCGTAATCGGTGGCGGTGCCATCAGACCAAGGCAAGGCATAACCACTGGAGATGATGCGGCGCGACAGAGCGCGGGCAAAACCCTTACCCTGGACGGAGCGGCCGCCGTGCTGGCTAATGTAGAGAGCCGCAACACCGGCGACGTAGGGGCAAGCCATGGAAGTTCCACTCAGGATGGCGAACTCGCCGTTGAGGTAGGTTGAGAAGATGTTGCCACCAGGTGCGGCAATGTCAGGCTTCAGCTGGTTGTCGTACAGCAGACCCCAGCTAGTGAAGGTGTTGGGGCGGTTGCCGGCAGGATAGTCAAGAGCAATAGGGATCTCGGGGTTAACCGAAAAGTCGGCAGTGACGGTGGTGTTGGCCTTGATGGCCTCGATGAAAGATGCTCCAGACTCGGCAGTGATTAGAGCGATCTGGGTGTCGGTGTTGCCGGTGCCGGGGGTGGTCATGGGGGATTCGTTGTTGTAGATGAGGATGTACTCAGCACCTAGAGCAGCAAGATTCTCCTGCTTAACCTGGAAGGTGCAAGTTCCTCTACGGACCAGGGGAATCTTGCCCGTCAAGTCGGGACTACCCGCGGGGTAGGGAGTGCATCCATCAGCAGTAGCACTGGTGTCGGTGTTGAGGGCGACGATGGGCCAGTCAACAATGGTCGGAGGGAAGTAGCCAGCGGAGGGGAGGTATCCCACGCGGACAGTCTTACTACCACCGTAAGTAGCCTCAAAAGGAATAGCAGGGAAGACCTCGGTCTCGACAGAAGCCACAGCAATGACATTCTTCCCGGAAGACCCGGAGCTGCCGTAAAAGGGGCCGTTGGCACCGCTGTTTCCAGCAGAGATGGTGACGACGACACCCTCATCGACCAAACGAGAGGCGACCTCGGCCCAGGCGTTGTTAGACCACCCGTTAGCACCACCAATACTGGCGGTGATGATGTCGACGCCGTCGCTGTAAGCAGCGAGGAAGGACTCAATCAACGTGGCCGTGTCAGTGGAGGCGGCGTTGGAGAAGACCTTGTAAGCGTGAAGAGTTGCCTCAGGAGCAACACCGACCCAACTGTCACAGAATTAGCTCAGTCTCCAAGAGGCGCTAAATAGGCGTGCTCACGAGTCGGTCTTGCCAGCAACAATACCGGCGACGTGAGTACCGTGACCGCGGGTGTCGAGAGGATCTTCATCAGGAGCCTTGGGACCGCTGGCCGGGTACGACCCGTCTCCGACAAAGTCGTAGCCGTCGGCAACCTTGAAGCCGGGGCCGAATCCACCGCCGAGCTAAGTGTGTCTTAGTCCAGGCTTTTTTTTTTTTTCACACGGCGCAATTGCCAACTTACAGCAGGGTGGTTGTACCAGATGCCGGTATCAACAATACCAACCTTGACGCCCTTGCCAAAGATGCCCTCAGCGTGAAGCTTGGCTACACCAGTGGCGTTGTGCGTCGAATACGTGGGAGCATCCTCGGGAGCGGCAGCCCGGGGCTCGGTAGGAGCAAGCTTGACCTCCTCGTTAACCCAAACGTTGAGGACGTCGGGGAGCTCCTGCAGGGTGTCGATGGTGAAGGTATCCGTCTCGATGCTGGCGCCAGAGAAGACATCGCTGGCAAACTCCTTGACGACCTTGATGCCGTCCGTGGAAGCGACGTTCTGGCGACGAACACGGGCACTCGACCCCTAAATGTCAAAAAACGTGAGTGTCAGCTGGGGACGACAACCGTTGGGAAAAGGCTTCCTCAGGCGGCAGCCACGCGCAGCGGGCACTCACAGGAGCGTACTCGATGATGAAGCTCTTGGCGACGAAGACGGTAGCCTTCTCGTCGTTGCTGCTGGACTCCTCCTGGCGAGGACCAAGGGCCGCAACACCCCCGAGATGGAGGGCGAGGGCGAAGGCGGAGACGGTGGCCGAGATGCGCATCTTGTCGGATGCTGAGTCTTGCCTTGGTAATTGGTAACGAATGAAGGTAGTAGAGCGCAAAGCTACCGAAAGAGAGCAAAACAAAGCGGCGGCGCGGGGAGGGCGAGGTTTAAGTAATCCTTATCCCATGACTCTCGATCAGTTTGCCAGCCGGCGGCGACCTTCAGAGCACCTTACAACAGCCGAGCATACGAGCATACAGATAGCGATGCCATGTGAACAACGCGTCCTGCAGGAAGCTCGGTGCAGCAGAAGACCAAGCACGACGAAGGCAAAGCCACCCAGCTCATCGCCCCTGTCAAAGACGCGATTCCCAGGGTTCAATGCCATGGTAATTGGCCGGCGCGGTGAAGTTGCACGCAGCTAGCTGCCCTTGTCCTGTACGCGCATATCTAGCTGCACCCTCAGGCGCAACAGTGACGTTGGGTCTGGACTACAGACCGCGGCGCTGCAAGGCCCAGGCCCGGAACCGGAGAGGCATCACTCTCGAAGCATGTCGTATGGTTCGCGCCATTGTGTCGGGGCGTGTTATCTGGGGCAAGCTGTCAGAGCAATTTCGCAAGGGGAGCTACCACCGACGGCGGACGAGTCGTGACCGCGGGCGTCGATGTCGCTGGATGGAGGTCGACCAACAATGAGCCGCCAAGACCGAGACCAGCTTCCTCGTTGGGATGCGATGGACGGCACGGCGCAGGCTAGGCGTGGATCAATAGTGCGGATGGCGTGCGGTACGGGTGCGCTGCTCGTTCAACACCTACTGTCTTGAGATGTCCCCCACAGGCCGGCTGCTATGCGTGCCAAGATGTGGTATCGGGGCTTCAGGGGGGAACTGACTAGTGCCAGGTCCATTGTGGATGGTTCATGAAAAGAGTAAAGGGTCGTTTGTCGTAATATGCACGGGGCAATCCATCTCTCTCTACATTATGCGTATCCTAAGCGGCTGTACCACATACCGCGTCGAGAAAGTCGGCGATGCAAGGCTGGCCAAGAGGTTGCATCTGTTGCTTGCCGGACACATGGCGCGAGCGACGTGCCACCTAGTTACCGCCATGGTGTACCGAATGTTCTCTGTTCCTCATTCAGGGCTGACATAATGAGTCTAGATACCATCGAGACATTGGCAATACCGAGACGGAGAGGCCAAGTAAAAGAACCGGTGTCGTTGAAAGAAGCTGCAGAACATCGAAGGTGGCTTGTATGGCTTGATGAATCTTGCAGAAAGAGAGTGCTGACGAGCGCCCAGTTCAGGTACTGAGAGACACTCATAGGCCGGGGAGCTACAGTACCACGAGCATCCGGTTTGTGCCACCTGGTGGCGGATGTCGCACCATCCAGGAAAAGCGCCCACGCACTAGCGCTACTCATAAGTGCGATAAGCTGATGGCCCGTGTGTCGTTCTGCATTAGCTAAGCACTTCTTTTCTAACCTCATTCGGAAGCTCGACAAGCAAGTCTCCACTTATATCCACTTATCAAGGTACGGTCGGTACGTACCGAAAGGGGTCTGTTAACGCTCTTCGCAGTTGATGCTTCTCTTCCCAGCAACATTCTCAGCCTATTCCTCATGCCTGTCTCCTGTACAGAGGGGATACCGGACGCAGGAACAAGTATTCACTGCTCATTTTTGGAAGGAGCAGCTGTAGACGTAATTCTCAAGTTCCACAAGGCACTGGTATCCTACATCCTTGGCCGCAAAGCCGGTCACCGCCGTAGGCGCCCGATCATGATGCAACAGACAGACAAGGAGACTCACAATTCCGCCCGCATGCTGAGTTTAATGAGGCCAAGTCCTCGTGTCACGGAAGCGAAGAGATATAAAAAACCAACCTTGAGAAACTCACAGCTGCAGCGTCACATCGTTCCCTCGCTAGCTCCACCTCCGCCCGTCGCCTGGCCCGGCCGGACTGCGTCCATCCGGGCACGCCTTACGCCCAGTCGATTCACCGTTCACCGAGTTGCATTGTTGGTTGACTGTCTGTATCCGATGAAGATCAGCGGTATCTCCGGAACAGCGGGGCCATGGGTCGATGCGAGAAGGAGACACATGCACAATGGCCTCATTTGTCGCCAGGCTGACGGCATGGCATCTCCAGTGGCCTTTGGTCAGAGCGGACTTCAAGAGATAACCTAATCCCTATTTACAATCAGCTGTGATCAAAGTCCAACAGTGAGCAAGTTTGTTACACGCGAACAAAAGCCTACGTCCACATAGGAAGGTAATAGACGCACCTCGCGAAACCGCGGTGTTGGAGAAAACGACTATCGAATCTTCGACCAGACGACAGCTATCCCGATCGGGGAGGTAGATCTGCACATCCACTCGGAGAGGGGTGGCTCGCATACTGATGTGGGCTGCCACATGCGCACCCTCAGGAACAGGACGCGAAGGGGAGGGGCAGAACATGGCGCCAGTCGAGCTCGCATCGCAGCTGGATGAGTAGGCGTTCTCGTTCTCGGTTGAGACCATTGAGATTGCCTTCATGCCCGTGGACTGTCTTGTCAATGGCAAGCCTGTAGACATCCAACTCAATGTAATAACAGCCGTGACAGCCGCCAGCGCAGTTGCGTGCTGGCTCACAGGAAACGTCGAGATATATGCCCAACCCGACGCGCGCTCTCAGTGGCGAGAACCGTACCCTGTCTTCAATACATTTATTATACATCCATCTTCTCAGCTGAATGCGCCCAGAAGACGGAAGCGACTCTCGGGGGCGATATCACCTCGCCACATGCGCAGCCGAAGAGCCACACCCGAAGCAACCCCTGCCGCGGCGTCGTGGCCGACGCCGAGGTCGCCACTCAACGGCTTGCGAGCTTCACATTCTGGATTGGGAAGACCGGGATCATCCGATTCGTGGTCCGTCGCTTGACGGGAAGCGAGGAGGGGCACCCGTCCACTGCGGGCTAGGCCATGGGCGGAAGCTGACAGTATTACGATGTTCCGCATGCCCATCTCCCTTCCAGTCGGTCGACCCGGCCCCGAAAACTCGGCTCGTCTGAGGTCACATCACTCTAGCGGAGGTCGGCTCGTGCCGAAACTTCAGTCTGGGCACATTGCCAATACTTGGACATCAAGAAAGTCCCCTTGTCTGGGAAAATGCGCGCTTCGTAAAGAATTGTTACATGAATCTCTTTGCACGGGGAGCTAGTCTATGACTCTCGCGACCTGCCCTGGTTCTCGATCGCCCACAGTTCACCAAACCTGCTTCCTTGTGCTTCAACCAGCGTGGCCGGACTGCCCGTCTCAATGACCCGGCCCTGGTCCATCACAATCACCGAGTCGAAGAAGTCCATCACCATATCCAGTCGATGCGAGACCATGATGATTGTGTACCTGCCAAATTCCTCCTTGATGATCTCCTGCATCAACCGGTCCGTCGCGTAGTCCACACTCGAGCTCACCTCGTCAAGCAGTAAGATGCCGCCGCCGCGCCTCTTGAACTTGGCATCCTTGATGCGTCGGCGGAGGATCGCCCGTCCCAAGCTGAAGAGCTGCTTCTGCCCTGCGCTGAGGCTGTCAGCGCTCATGCCCTCATGCAGGCCGCCATGCTCCTCAACGAAGCCGGTGAGCTGCACTGTGCGTAGCACCGAGAGGCAGTCAGCGTCGGAGGCCACTTCGAACGGGTCGAGGTTCGACTTGATCGTGCTGCCATCGGGAAGGAAGACGGCGTCTTGCGGGACGGCAATGATGCGTCGGCGGAGCGTCGAACGGTCTATGCGGTGGAAAGGGAGGCCGTCCATCTGGATATTTTGGGAACAGGTGGAGACAGGATCCAGAAGACGAAGGAGAAGGAGGATCAAGGAGGATTTGCCACTGGAGCAAGTCAGTACGTCTTCACTTATGCTTGGAACAAACGTAGAAACTCACCTTCCGGTTCTCCCACAGAGGGCAACCTTCTGGCCAGCCTGGATGGAAAAGGTAAGGTCTTTCAGCGCAAGGCTGGGGGGCGTCATGTCGCCGTCTAACGACACTTGCTGTTCATTGCTGTTGTTATGCCTTGTCAGCGACGTCCGAAGCACACGCGGGATTCAACTCACCTGTACGAGGCGGACACCCCCTTGATGTCAATGTGGCCGTTTTCAGGCCATTCTTCCGAAGGCTCAACATCCTCTCCCTCAAGGTTCTCTGGGATGACCTTCTCAGAAAACGTCTTGATACGTGCAACGGCGCCGATGGACGTCTCAAGTTGGGTGTAGAACCGAATGAGCATGGCAATGGTCTCGCCCCACGACATGAGGGTGACTAGGGAGGCTCCAGTGAAGCCAGAGTTGGCTCTGAGTGTGATGGCAAGGGAAACGAGGATGACGGCAATGCAAGCGACCATAAGCTGCATCGTCACGACAAGCCACTGTTGGATCATGGCGAGCAGATACGCGGGCCGCTGGGAAGTGTCGAGTAGGTGCTGGTTGTGCGCGATGTCCTTGTTCGTCCAGCCGAAGGCACGGATTGTCGCGACACCTTTGATCGTGTCGAGGAAATGTGTGCTTGGATGTTGTTAGCTGTGAAGTCATCAATGTGGAGGTGTACACTTACTAGAGGGGACTCTTTGACTCCAAATCCAGCAGTCTTAGTTGCCGAGAAGTCCTGAGGTAGAACTTCTGGATGATCCAGCAGAAACCAATCAAGAAAGGATAGCTGATGGCCATGTAAGGCGATGCAATAGCAATCACGGCTCCCATGAAAATTGACTCAAACCCACAGAAAACGGTGTTCAGCAGTGACATGGGCAGCTCGTTGTCGATCAGTGTCATATCCTGAGAGAAGAGATTCGTGATAACTCCCGCATCAGTAGTTGTAAAGAATGTAAGCGGCGCATGGATGACGGTCTTCAGAGCTTGTTGATGAAGGATAGTGCCGGAAGAGGTGGTCATGTAGATGACCACGGCCACACCAGCAAACACAAGAGAAATCAGCTGTAAGGCTTTGAAGAAGCCGAAAAGCCCAACATAGTACTGGCTGCTCTTGCCGAGGCTGTCTTCGGCCCAAAATTTCATCCAGATTGTCGGAAAAGTATTCCAGATGGCGTATGAAGCGGAGAAAAGCATGAAAATGATAGTAGAAGTCACATTCAGGCTGCGGAGATAGTGCATGTAAACCTTGATGTCACCGGTCTGCCTTGACTTCTCCATCATCTCAACAGCAACAGCTGGGGAAGGCTTCGGTTTCGATGATGGAGATGGCGCGGCCTGGCTGTCTGATTTGCGCCCGGCATCGGAGTCCGTATCAGAGTCTGTTGCCGTAACTCCAAGGCTGGCAACATATCTCTTGTCACGCATCAGGTCCTCGAATGTACCTTCTTCGACGAGTGTACCATCTGAACCGAGGGCGATAATGTGGTCGGCCAGAGGGAGGTATTTAATCGCGTGTGTACACAAAATGGCCGTTGCCTTGCGCCGGCGGATGATACCTTCCAATCCAAACACCCTCCGAAAGACTTCGGCTGCCGTGTCGTTGTCGAGGCCACTCAGGATGTCGTCAAATATCAAGAGGTCGCTGTTGACATAGAGAGCACGGGCAAGGGATACGCGTTGTTTCTGACCACCGCTGAGCATGATTCCATTGCTTCCAATCTTCGTATCGTCGCCGTACGGTAAAAGCAACAAGTCCGTGGAAAGCATGCATCCCTCGATGATTTCGTCATATCGTACTTTGTTAAAGGGGGAATGCCCAACAATGTTGTCTTTGATGGTACCATTGGATAGAAACGGGTTCTGTTCGCAGTATCCGATCGCAGCAGCGCGTGAGGGGACGGAGACCAGGCCCCTACTGAACGGAACTTCGCCAAGGAGAACCTTGCAGAGGGTGGACTTGCCAGATGCTACAGGGCCAACAACAAGGGTAAGCTGAGATGCTGGGACGGACGCTGTGATGTTCTGGAGCACCATCTTGTCTGCAGCCCAGCCGAAGCTGCCATCTACAATGGTGATTGCAGGGTCGGGAGGGCTGTTCTCTGAGTCTTCGTGCGCGGACTCGTCAATCGGCCTCAGAGGTATTCCTTCCAGATTGTCCCTGTAAGTGCTTTCCTCGGATAACCTATCACTCCATGCCGAAGAGTGGGTAGACTGCCGGAAGTCTATGCGTGGTTCCGCTTCGAGGAATTTCTGAATCCGTCCAAGACAGGTAAAGCCGGCAATCATGTTTGGAACGGATTGGAAGAGCAGGGCCAGTGGGTTATTAAGAAGAACCAAGAATGAAAACGCGGTGAAGATGGTTGTGATATCCAGACGGGATTGCGCAAATACAAAAGTTATTGCTGGGGAGACAATATTCGGGGCCAAAGCAGCGAGCGCAGTGACTATGATGAGCCAGCGGAACTGGTTCCCAATCCGCATCTCTTCAACTCTCATCCTCTGGACGAACTCGGCTACCGGACCCGTGATGCCAGAGATGCGAAGGTACTTCATGTTGGAAATGACGTTCGCAGTAAGACCCACACGCTTCTGGATCTGGGCCATCCAGCGAGACTGCCGCTCGCCTGTGAATTTTGCGACCGCACCAGTGATACCAGTGCAGACGAGGATCACAACAATGGGCGCAACGAAAGCTGCGCCCAGCTGGCGCTCTAGTAGCCAACAGCCGAGGGCAATCTCGATAAGGTTGGCCCAGATCTCGTGAAGACTATAGAACCCGCGGATGATGCGCTCGGTGTCGGTACTCATGAGCGTCACTGCCGCAGCGTCTCCGGTTCCCGCCAGCGAAGCTTCCGTGGTCTTCTTGTAAATGACTGCAGACAAGCAGCCTCGAGACATGTAAAGAGCTCGCTGCTGGAAGTAGTAGTAAAGCGCTGTTGAGATTGCGATGCCGGTGTAAATCAGGACAGAGGCACCGATCAGTCCATACCCCACGTTCTTTGGCGCATCGGGATTTTGGAGATACTCGAGGAGAGTTTGGATGAAGAAGGGCTGGCTGTAGTTGAATCCAATGAGTGCGATTCTTGGAGCTACAGGTAGCAAAAGCGGAACAGCCAAAGCCTTGGCCAGGGCTCTGGCCAGCCCATGCTTTTTACCGTGATACGTTCCCTTATCGAGCTCTTGGGCCAGCGTAACCTGCATCGTCTCCGCTATCATGCCTTGATCGAGCGCATAGAGGTCCTTGATGGTGAGTACGTTGCGGTAGCCATAGAGGAAGAGACGGTTGAGCCAGAAGTAGACGCCCAAGCTGAAGAGCCCGCTCGTCTCCTCGGGGCTATGTTCATCTGCGGTCCAGGCAATCCACTTTGCCTTTCTCTGAGCCTCGACAAACAGTATGACGATCTTGACAGCTAATGAGGCCGTAAAGAGCCTGGCGAATAATTGCGTCGAAAAGGTCCTGGCCATCAACCAAGAGGTCCGGGTCTGGGCAACGTCGAACAGAATCTGGAAGAAGATGTAGCCCGTCAATAACATGGAGGGCCTCGGGGCCTTTGAATGCTCAGCATAGGACAATCCGATCATGAGGAGAGCGGCAAGAAAGCCGAGAACTGATGCGCCCACGGCGAAGCCATCGATGCGCGAGCCATTGGATGTGGTTTGAAGAATGAGGAGCGCAAGCTGAAGTGTAGCAAATACTGTGACGATGGCCTTTGCAGAGTGAAGGTTAGGATCGATCAACTCAGGTGCAAAGAGACTGTAGTGGAGTTTCACGCACCAATTTGATTGTCTGGACGGTCTTGGCGCCGACAATCCGAGGTTTTCGCGAGAGGTACGCGATGCGGGGAAGCGAGAGCGCAGCAAAAACGGCTGCGGGAATGATGGCTAGGAATATCCTCTCAAATCGGAGAGTAAAATCGAAGTCGCCGCGGCACCCTTGAACACCGGGCCCAAGCGAATCGTCATTGAGACACCTTGAGCTCATTATCCAGGTCCCTCTTGCCCACGGGCAACGGGGCAAAACTCGCTCTAGAGTACACGAGGTCCGGTATTGGAGTTCAACGTTGGGTAGATTCGATGTCACGAGAAGGGCGTCACACTGGTGTGGGTTGATTCGAAGAGTTGAGAAGAATCATGTGATGGGAATCAATAGAACGAGCTGGGGTGGACGGGCTTGTTAAACGAGCTTAATATGTCTATGGTTGTGGGTTCTGCTGCCATGACGCATGGCGAAGCTGACGCCTTATGCTGATGATGATTATGCTTGTTGACTCAAATTAGGCTGCAAGGAATCTCCTCCAACGAAAAGCTTGTACGCAATCTTGTCAACATTGAGGTGCCTGGTCATCAGCAAACAGGCATGAAAAGCATTGGTGCGTTTAGCAGAGCATGTCTGCAAGGCCGCAGCCTAGAGTTGAAAGCGCAGACGTCGTAAGCCGTAATCTTTCTACCACCAGGAGCGATATTTTGGTCGTCGGACCGCGCCATTGGGCCCAGAAACGCGGCTTAATGAAGCCCCGATAAATGTCAGACTGCAGCGAATTTCTTGGTGCAGGCAGGGCTAGCAGACGACGCGCGAGATCGAAAGCGGAAGGTCACTAAGGTCGCTGGCGAAGATTACGGGCGGGGGCATTGAAGTTTGCTGGATCGTATCCTATCGGAGCAAATCCGAGAGAGGGCCCAGAATCACAAACGTGTGCGGGACATTGTGTGACCAAGCCCGCGATACGAAGAGACATACCGAGAGTCGAACGTCGAAATGAAAGAATGGTAAGTCGTCTGTTCTTAAAAGCTGCATTCTGCCGAGAGCTGTGCTTGCTCTACGAGCTCTACTGCGAGACGCAAAACCAACCTTTGCGCCCGCCTCTTCGCGATCAAAGCCACCACTTGATGGCTCAAAAGCAACGGTCCTGGCACTACGGCCTCAGTTAGGGGCTTCGACCCGAGTCGGGCCCTTGCCAAGGGCATCGTGACGGCGGGGGCAGCCCTGGAGCGGCCGAAGATACGGGTCTAGCTTACCCACATTGCCGGCCGTTCCATGCCGCTTTGTGCCATCGGGTTCCTAGAGTCCTGGAGAGGTTCGCCAACGGGTGACGACCGATATCACCATTGCTGACGAGTATTTCATCCACCGGTGATCAGAAGAGTATCGAAAATGCTGGACAGGCAGCGGTGAGGGTGGACGCGTCGGCTTGATGCAATGGCTGCTCTCCAGACCACGAAGACGATGACGAGGCCAGATCCAGGTCATGTAAGGACCTTTTGTTACGGGCAGGGTATGGAGCAGACCGTTGTGGTGGCAGCTGACGGTCGTGCTTTCTGCGATAAGCAAGCCGTTCATTCCGATGGGGGGGTTCCCCCTCGGCCTGGATGAAGATTCGCCTGTTGGTGTAACATGGATTGCTTGTCACGCACAAAGATAGATGGGGGCCGGAATTCAGCGGGTGGGATGAAGCGGAGTGGTCGCGGAGTGGGGAGAAAGTCCGGGACCAGCCGGCCCTTTTGTGCTTATGTAACCAGTTCACAAGCGTTGACCCCTCAAGCACCGCCACATCCACAATCACCAAGCCTCATCAACCTCACCAGCCTCAGATCTTGAGACTATGAGCAACTCCCCGCACGTCAAGGTGGTGTCAGCTGCGCTCAGCTGGTTCTCTGCCCACGGAACCGACCTCTAGCAGCCACTGTAGCGCAACCGGCACAGAGCACAAGAGCACTACACAGGCGCTCGGCCCAGGGAGCTGAGGTGAAGCTGATCCTCGAGTTATGCCGTCGCTCTTCGGCCGGCACCGCTGTCCGACACTCGGAGCGGAAAGAAGCAGCCACGGCCGCGCGCAGCCAATGTGCCAAGCTTCAGCGTCAGACGATGCATGACCCCAAGGCCGAGGCAACGCCACCTTTGGGCCAAGCAGAGCTGAACCGAACTCATCTTCTCTTTTTATCTTTTCCGGTGGACTGATTCTGGATTCGAGGGCATAAAAGATCAAAGAACTCGAGAGCATTCATTTGTGGACTCCCTCCGATGCACATTATTGAAACCCAAACACCACAGACATCCAGTCACAAACATCCACGTCAGGTTGTTGATTCATACCCGACGACTAGCTTGGAACCAGCTTCTTTGCCCAACTCATTCAAGAATACCGCCCATTCAAGAATATAATCAATAACATTACCGAGCAAAAAGGAGAGCGCAGCAGCCAAGGCCACTGATCTCGAAGAAACGAGACGTAGAGTCTATTGGGGGCTTCATCATCTCATCATCTCACACAAAAGACCAGATACGCACGCCCATCATGTGCATTGTTCTCCTTACCACCACCCACCCCGACTATGCTCTCATCGTCGTCGATAACCGAGACGAGTTCATACTGCGCCCGACATCCCGCCCGCACTGGTGGTCCCATCCGTCCGGTGCCTTGGTCCTCTCCTCCCGGGACCTCCAAAGAGCGGAGAAGGGTACTTGGCTAGGCATCACCAAAACAGGCCAGCTCGCCGTTCTCACAAATTATCGCGAAACCAGCACCCAGGATGCTGAACATCCCATCCACGCCGCTCGCAGCCGCGGCGGCATGGTCACGGCCTGGCTGGGGTCCGACCCTGCGGAGCCTGCCTCGAAATCGGTAGACCGCCTCGTCAAGAACGGAGGAGTCAAAGGCGTCGGCGGCTTCTCCATGGTCGCCGGCAAGCTGAAGCGCAAATGCGGCAGCGACGAGAAGCCAGGGCGCGCGCTCGAAGGCATCGCCATCGTCTCCAACCGGTGCGACGACCTTCAGGACGTGCCCTGGATCGCGGAGCAGCGTGACGAGGTCTACGGCCTCAGTAACACCGGCTACGACGACCCCAAGCCGTGGCCCAAGGTCGAGAACGGAAAGCGCCTCGTCAAGGAGGCCATTCAGGAGGCCGTTGCCCAGAATTTGGACGAGAACGCCCTGGCCGAACGCCTCTTCAAGGTGCTCGATACAGACACGTTGCCCAAGCATCCCGACATGGGCCTGGCGGACTACATCAAGGAGTTGAAGCAGTCCATCTTTGTACCTCCCCTGGGGGACGATAATCACCGCAAGGCCATGGAGGACGCTGTTTCGAGGGGGCCGGGCCAGTGGGCTACCGATGACCAAAAAGCCGCCGAAGGCCTGCAGCTAGGCGAGCGACCAGATCCGCCGGCGCAGGCTAACATGGGTTTCGACGTGGGTTTATATGGTACGCAGCGGCAGACCATCATTATGGTCGACTGGGACGGTAACGTCGCGTATCGCGAGAGGGCCCTGTGGGATGGAAACGGAAATCCAATTGAGAGAGGCCAGGGTGACGAGGTGTTCAAGTTCAAGATTGAGGGGTGGGAGAGCTAAGGGATTCACGGTGCATCTAGAGTAGCTGCATATTCATGGGACGCTGGTGTCTGCATCGTGATACGAAGTATATACTGATTCAAGAGGTAAAAGATTTCCATGGTTTTAAGCGAGAGTACCTATCCATGACAAGAGAAACTGCCAAGGGAGTGTCGGTCAAGGTTGCTGTCTGGCATCACCGTTCATGAAGCCATGGAGATATAGGCAAGAACACAGCGCCAGGTTAACGACGAGGAAGCCGTACCATCACTGACCTTCCGTCTGAACCTCCACATCATTCTCTCGGCAGGAGCTCCAAGCGAATCGGTCTTGGTCGAGAGATATCCTCCCATAGACCGTGCACCTCGACGTCGACGCGTCCTCCAAACGTCCAAAAACATCAGAGCACTTTTTCCATCTGACCTCACCTCAAGCCCAGCTCGTCGTAGCTGCATACTCTGAAGACAAACCCCTCCATTATCATCCGAAATTCAAAAAGTCGTGTAATTCACCCCCTCGCTTTCCCTTTCTTGTCCCCCTTCGCTATGTCCTCCGCTGAGCCTGGTTTTGGTTCGCTTGGCCTCGTCCTCCTCGCCCTCACCACACGCCGCATCGTCACAATTCTTTTCTACAGCATCGACCTCCTTCGTGTCAACTTGCGTCTGATCTCGCTTTCGTTTAGATCTTCTCTCCTTGCAGCTAAGCTCCTTTTCTATTCCCCCATCGAGTCGTGCCATATCGTTTTGGCCTCCACGCATAACATCATCGTCGCGTGTCAGACGACGCTCGAGGCCTTGTTCTGTATCTTTTCCTACATCACTTTTCTCTTCCTCGTCTTGCCTTGCGTTGTCATCGTCGTCCTCCTGGAAAGATGCGAGACCGTCTATCTGTGTCTTCGTTCCTCCCGCTTCGGAGCCGCGGTTCGCGAGTATCTGGGTCTGTCACCTCGCGACCGACCATCTCTGGACCAGTCGGGCCTGTCCAGCGCAGCAACGGACCGGATGTTGAACGTGCCAAAGAAATCACCGTCGTCTCCAGCATCAACGAGAACGAGCAAGCTTGCCCAGCCGACTGCGCGCCGCGAGCCGTGCAATTGCGTCCAGAGGTTCATCAGGAACCTCACGGTCTGTCTACTGATACTAATCGAGGCAGCCGCGACCGCAACGTTACCCAGGCAGACAAAGGAGACGGAACCCAAGTACAAGACGTTTCGGACCTCATGGGGACCTCAGAAGCCCATTCACACTCTCGCCAACCAGTCGCAAAGAGTGACCCGAGTTACAAACTTCATCTCAACCGTCAAAGACGCGGTTCTGTCAAAGATCGTCGAGCATTGGGAGAGATTGCCCACCCCAATACTGGCCTTGCGAGCTTTCCGCCTCCAGATGAAATCGTTCTTGAGCGACAAGACACACACAGAAACCAGGAGAACAAAATCGTACCACGATCATCGTCCGGTCTCCCACTATCTACCCGAGGAGCACGACGTCTCTCTGCCAGCTTCTCCGGAGGAGGACCTCTCTCAAGCAACCCAACAGTCGCCAGCTCCAGCATCGCCGCCATCACGGGAGCCGCAGCACCTTCAGCTGGTCCACACCAAAGAGTACACACATCCATTCACGGGGGAGATATGGGATACAATGGTATACGTACCGTCGGGAGCAGCCACGTCTTTGGAAGCTTTACGCAACAGGCCGAGTGCTCTCAGCAACAACCCCAACACCGCCCCCAATCACCCAGACGAGAAGTCGCTGACAAGAAGCGGCTCCCCAAGTCTCGCACTCTGACAATCTTGACCAATCTCTCAGCCTCTCTTTCCAAGTCATCGCTGACCAGCTTCACCGGCAGCGAGCGCAAGGTGTCCCAACCAACGGTGTTGTATCGCAATACCAGCAGCTCTTCGACCTTTGCGTCCAGCACGTCAACCAGAACCGCGACGCCGACAACTCCCGACGTCAATCCGCTCATCATCACCACAGCCCAGCCATCAGCGTACTGGACGGGCCGTTTCCTATCTTTACAAGATCGCTTTCAAGGCGAATCGCTGCAGGACAAGACTCTGTCGACCTTCGTTACCACGCACGCATCCAAGGCCACTGTTCTAGCTCAGCAGCGAGAAGTCTATCAGGGCCGCGGCAATCTACCCTTGAGCACGACCACTGCCCTCGACCGTTATGGTGCCGCCTCGACCCAGGAAGCTGGGCATCTCTCTGAAGAGGACAACCGGTGTCTGCGCATCTTTCTCCACCTTGACGCTCTTTGTGGCACCCCCGAAGCTCAAAAGAGCCTGTATGCCTGGCAAGAGGCATACGCGCGCAGGGCGAGACGCGATGTGCTCTTGCCGCAAGGCACAAGCATCGAGAAAGGATTCGTGGCTCGTCTCTTTAGTGGGAGTAGCAGACAGAGTTTGGGTGCCTCTCGATCAACCAAGGGGTCGACGAAAGGGAAATGAATTCTGAGTGCTTTCTAACAATACCAGTAGGGGATCGATCGAGAAAAAGCATCATGGTTATCGGCGTTTGTTTATTTTGGGACCGGACTGGAGGGAGACCTGAATGGAACTTCACTAGCACATTGTTCGCCTACAAAAGGCAGTCATTGTTGTTGTACACGAAAGCCTATACAAAGGATACGTAATCCTTATATATGATTAGATGGCCGTTACGAGAGATGAAAACTTAGCTGTTAGGACCAAATACCCATTTACTTTCTACACCGGAACATGACCGTCCCCGTCCCCAACGCCTGCTAATGCATTTCAGTGACCCTGTGTTCCTCGGCGCCTCGCCCCTTTCTAATGTCTCTGTCTCTCTCTCTCTCTCTCTCTCTCTCTCTCTCTCTCTCTCTCTCTCTCTCTCTCTCGCTCCCCCCCCCCAAAGCACAAGCACCGTGACTCTACGTCTAATCCTCCGCCTTCTTCCTGAGCTTCAGGTAATCCCTGATCTGCTCGTGCTTGCTAGCAAAGAACATGCCCAGCTTGTCGTTGCGCCACACCAGCACGCCAATCTCCGCCGCGTAGCCCGCGATATCTTCGTACTCCTTGGGGTTGTCAAAGTCGCGGAACAAGAAGCCGCTCGTCGTCGTCATGCGCTCCGTCTCAAGCTGCCACAGTCGGATCTGATCGACAACCGTGGGCGGCAGGACGGGCCTACTTCGCACGGCGGCCATGCGGTGCATCTGCTCGTGGGCGTGGGCGGCAAGGTAGGAGATGATCTGGTCGGCCGTGATACCCCGTTCGACGGCGTTGCGGATCGAGTTGCGCGTCAATCGGCCGGACACCATGTCGGCAAAGCGCAGTTTGAGCTTGCAGAACAGGGAGAGCACTGCGATCTGCAGGGGTGTCTGACCGTAGGCGTAGACTCTGTAGTTAGTCTCGACGATGATGCTGCCACCCTTGTTCTCCTCGTTGCCGCCCGGCGTAATGCCGTTGGAGGGGCGTGGGCCGGTTGCCGCGGCGAGGGCGGCGGAGAACCCTGCACCTGCGCTGCGGAGGGCGCTGGAGCTGCTTGTGAGGGTCGTCGCGAGGCGAGTAGGAAAGTACTGCTGGGGCTTGTGGGAAGGGATGTAGATGAGGCCGAAATCGAGCAGGCTGGGGAGCATGTTGCGCCGGGCCTCGGTGAGAGCGTTTGTGTCGTAGGCCCTGCCGAGCTCGAGACTGGCGAGGAGGAAGAGGAAGCTGAGCATGTCGGTGCTCTCCATTCCTGCGGCGTCCTCGGCGTGGTCGGTGGCCTCGAGCCACAACAGCAGGAGGGTCCAGACCTGGGCGTTGGCCTCCTGCAGGAGGAAGGTGAAGCCGGCCTGGGTGATTCCAACGGCGGACCCCTGGCGGCGAACGAGCTGGCCGGCGACGAGTAGGTTCTTAACGGACGACTTAGGCCCGCCCAGGTCGGCGCCGCCAGGGTTGACAGTGTTGACAATGTAGTGCAGGATATCCTCCCACTTGCGGCGGGCGTAGCGGTCGAGGAAGGGGACGGTGATCTCGGGCGGGACGGGAAGCGAAGACGGCACGCCAAAGGAGTTGTGGGTGCCGCCGCCCTCGAGGGCAAGGCGCAGCGAGTTTTTGAAGTTCGTTGTGAGCTGCATCTCCTGGGGGCGTTCCTTGGAGGGGACGGTGATTTGGAGGATGTGGAGGCTGCGGAGGGTCGAGATAGCCTGGTCTTTTTGCCTGTAGTTAGGGAATTGGTTAGACGGGTGTATAAGTTGCAGAGTGGGCATATGCGCGGCGCACCTTCGTGAATCTGGCTTGACCCAGACGTCCAGGTCCTCTAACAGCATGGGCTTCGGCATGTAGAGAATAGCCATTACGATGGTTTTTGCTGGGCTTTGGGATCAGTGACCTGCGTTGCGACAGACGCGACTAACCCCGCGCGTCGATTAGGGGGGACGGGCTGCTGCTCACCCAACGGCGGAATCATTCTTCGGAATATGGCAAAGGCCGTCGAGGGCTGCAAGTAGAGCTTCCTGAAGGTCGTGCCCGGCAGCTTCTCCAGGTAGTCGGCCAGCTGGAGCGATTGACCCGAGCTGACCGACATGATGGGCGATTTGCGCGCTGGAGTTTTTTTTGGTGGTGGTGAATGTTATCTCATGTTCGGGAGAGGGAGACGCAAGATTCGGGGTTCAAGTCCGTGGGTGGGAGGGCTGTTGGTTTGTGGAAATTGCCGTGGTTTGTGTCGAGGAATATTCACGATTATTTGCGACAGCGCTGGACGACAATGGCCATCATTCAATGATCGAACTTGCAGGGGTCAGCGGAGATTTCCGCCTCAGGCAGGGGGCCTTGAGGAATGTACCTCAACCGCCTTATCTTATCGAAATCCTTATCCTATGTTATCGGCCGAGGTACGTACCGCCTTCTCCCAACGTCATCCTCCCTCCCGGTCGCGACTCCCTCCAAATTCCAGCTCCAATTGCCGAAGCTCGCCGAGTTTACTTACTCTCCAGTTGGTGCCCATTTCTCTCAGTCACTTTCACCTCAGGTAGCCGCCAAAGAACTCAAGATGCCTCCCAAGTTGCCCCCTTTGCGCTTCGTGCGTTCAGTGAGTCCACACACAGCTATTTCCAAGTGCATTGGCATCTAAATCCCGTCAGGTCCTCAACTCTTTTGCGAAAGACTCCGGTCTTGAGCCGAGGTAAGTTACCATGCACCCAATTCGTAACGTTGACGACAGTCCTCAATGTCTTCTTGGTACATCTCACGAACGATGCACTGACATATTTCAGATTACTGGGTAACAACGTATGATGATGCTTGGCTCTGTAGCTGGAACCGTAACTCACTCGCTTCTAGTTCCGGGTGACCGGCGCTTCGGTGGGCAAGGTCGACTTTGAGTTGGCTATCCAGAAAGAGCACACGGTATGCCTCGCCGCCGCCGCCGCTATATCAACGGAAGCCTGGCTAACCTCGCCAGAACCGTTTGTCTACAATCCATGGGGGTACTCTTGCCAGTCTCGTCGATCTTGGCGGCTCGCTTGCCGTGGCCTCCAAGGGACGTTTCATGACGGGTGTGTCAACTGATATCAATGGTATGCCGCATTCCATGGTCATCGTGAATTTATACCACCGGGCAATCCCTACTTATCAACGGAAGCTGACGAAGGCAGTTACGTATCTGAACCCGGGAGGAAAACCCGGTGATATCATGACGGGCACTGCCATTTGTGATAAGAGTAAGTCTTGCCCAGCTAACAGTCTGGAACACAGTTTTCTAACGAAACGCAGTGGGAAGGACCCTAGCATACACGACAGTTACTTTCTTCAACAAGAAGGGAGAGCTTGCCGCGCGAGGCAGCCATACCAAGTGAGTCTAGAACGCTTCAAGAGGACACAATCGCCATTCTCTAACAGAATAAAGGTACATCGCAAAGACATGGGAATCGGAGGACTTTGTAGCGCCGGACGAGTACGTAGCGGAAGAAGAGAAGTAGAAAGACGACAGAACCCTAGTCAGTGAGATGGGCTACAGCACTGCATGGAGTAAGACCAAGAGTATAGATGTGGGAACCATGCGACTCCATGAGCCAATGCAAGTGGTATTGTAAGCTCTAATCAAATAAAGTTGATAATGATTCCTCGTTTGTTTCGCAGTCTAGGGCCCTTCGCAAGTTCGCAGTCGCAGTCGTAATCGTCATCATAGCCACGGTCGTTAAGCCAGCTCCCAAAGTCAAGCAAGTTAGAAAAAAAGATTTTTCTAAGTCCTCCATGACACTGTATGTCCTTGGTATCTCTTATATATTGTGACGGTGCTGCAATCATCTCCCAGGCAAAGGCGGCTTACAAAGCCTCTATGTCCATGTCCTTGGGTGGCTGCTCCTGTTCTTGAAGCTGCGACATGGCATACTTTTCCATGGTGGCCAGCACGTACAGAAGAACGAGGATAACAAAGGCCATCCAGTTGTAAAGGAAGATGTCGACGATGTAGCCCCAGTCGTACATCCCATCATAGTAGAAAGAGATCAGAAAATTTACCAAGATGCTGTACAGCAGCGCCCACACATTGCGGAGCAGCCAAAGAATAGCGCATGTGAGCATGAGGCTCGAGGGCTGGCAGGGGTTGTCATCAGCATCATTCATCAAAGCTAGCCGACATGGCAATAGCTATCAAAAAGCCCCGGACGGCAGACGTACCTTTTGCAGCGGGGTGCCGAGGACCTTCTTGCGGGCCTTTGCGGTGTAGACCATGGTTCCAATGGCGCAAATAAGGTGGGTAGCATAGAGGGCCAGGTCGATACTCGAGGCAGCGATGCTCCTGCTGTTGATGCCATCATAGAGGTTCGAGGACGAGTACCACGCGGCGAAAATACTGATGGACAGGCACATGACGGTGATACTAGCTAAGCAGACCCAAATGAAAGCGCCGAGAGCCCACTTCCTTCCGATTCGATACCTTCTGGACGTCTCATCGGTCCGGAGCAGGGTGAAGGATCGGGGGAGGTAGAAGAGTGCAAGGAAGATCGCCGCTGACCCCACGTGCCCAACGACAATACTGATGCTGCTCAGGGTCCGTGAGGCCAGGAGCGAGGGGTTGTAGTATCCGAAATATCCGTAGCCACTACCAGCATTGATGCCATAAATGATTATGATGAGAATGTTAAGTCTGGAGAGCAACGTGTTCGTGTCAGTACATCGCCCTATTGGGACAAAACGTGGGCCAGAAAGAAAAATGCGACGCACAATGAATAGAGCCCGAAGGCGACTTTTGTGTAAGTTACCCACTGGCGACTGGGTTCGCGACGATTCCCCGCTGTATGACGGATGAGGAGGCCTGTGAGAACTAGGGCAGGGAGAGTGACTAATCCCAGGAGCGTGGTGTTTAATATGAACGGCAGTGGAGAGGACATCTCGGAATCAACTCGCTCTTGTGCTTTCCTTCAAGCGTTGTTACGGTAATGTCTGGGTGCCGACGATATCTGAGAATCGAGACTTTGATACTTGGTGATTAAAGTGATGCAAAATATGGTTGTTGGATAACGTCGCAAATAGCTCGGGATGAGTCTTTCCTTAAGTATTGATAACCGCCTTGCGAAGACTTGGCGATAGCATTCTGGAGGCCACGCTGCCGTCCGCTTTGGGTTGTCGTACTTTTGTGTCCATGTACTCACTCACCCTAGCCGGGCGCAATAGCTTGATACTGTGCCGCATAAGCCCCGGGCGATGAACAGTCTCTTGTTCTGTCACTCACCTCCACCCCTAGGTATTCTACCCTATCCCGTACTAATCAAGACTTGAGACGCCATTTGATAGGTTGCCAAGCCTATCCATGCTGTTACCAGCCCAATGACGAGCCGCCGTTCTCGTCTTACGTATGGGGCGGCCACTGCGCCCCCTCGGTAAATATGAGCGCGGTCACCGCAACGCAGCACTACAAGTAGATGTCTCAGAAGGGGGACACTTTCGACCAAGACCAGAGGCATGGGCTGACTTGTGCCTGTGATTTGACGTCGACAGTGACCTACTGCAGCCGCCGGGGCGTGGGCTATTACTTTCCACACTGATCAGTGCGGACCATGTGGCGGGAGGCTTTCAAGCTTAAATTTGTTTATATAAGTGGGGGCCACCGACCTGACGTCGCTAGATGACAACAGTGTAAGCTTTTTGTAGTGCATCGAGGCTGCTTTACTGATAGGTATACTGATCTGCATACGTGTCTTACAGTCTGGAAATTCAATTGTCATCTTAGGGAAATGCACGTTCGCAGCTGGCAACAAAAAATTCAAGTCGACAGAGAGCAAGGACTCGTGCTACTTTGAACCGATCAATGTAATCTATTGGAAATACAACACACTCTCTCCCAACTGTCTGGCAAGTTTGGTTCTGCTGCTAATTATCGTGGGGTGGCAGTGTCTGCTGCGGCCACACTAGGCAGTACCTGTGTCTTGGCGGTGTGACTGGGTGGCCCCACTGAGATTGTTCTGTTGTAAGTGCGCAAATCCCCCCTATGGGAGGCTATGATTCTATCTGAATGGGTCTTGAATCGCTGTTGTTGATTGATTAAGAGTTATGGTGGTTCGTCCCGGTGGCAGTGCATGGCTGGTGGCTCGTGGAACCAGAGCAAAGGTCGAGCTATATATCTCTAAGGATTTTAAACCTTGAGCAGAATACCTTACCCTTAGTTCGCCTTGGGCGTTACCCGCTGGTATTGACATGAAGTGTCCGCCCGCCAGGGCGTATGATGTGGATGTTGTATTTATTGCTGACGATGACGGTGCCGAAGTAAGAAGGACTCCAAAGCACTACTCAATCCTGCCAGGCGGCTGGTACTGCTGAATCGAAGGATATATAGACCGGTTTGCTAACCAGAGCAGGGATATAAGCCTGGCAGCCGCAAAGTTTGATAGATCGAGCCACCTTAATAGATTATTTGAACGCAAAGCGCATCTGACTCCTCACAATGCATAAAAGCCATTCACAATCAGGGAGTGAGTAAAGAGGCAACAGCGATTTTCCAACCCATCACATCAAGACAGTGACGCTTTGAAATGCACAGACCAGTCAACAGACATGTCTTGCTAGTTCAACAGCATCTGAAGAACTAGGTTGTCTGGACCAACGATCATTCATGGCTGCGTCAGATTCCGCTCCTGGAACTTTGTTTCTATTGAAGGCTTTTACGTGCATACGTTCACATCGTCAGGCCCGGTATCTTTGAGCCTTTTACCAGTCGCCGCTAGAGCTGCCTTGTTTTGGCTCCGTCTTTACCGCGACACAGTTGGGGTCATCATGTATTTGGTGGTGACTGTACGCATCTCCAAAATATACACAAAGAAACCCAAAACATCCCATCCAGAACCTGAAAATCAGCAGACATTCGGCCCAGCCTCCAATGCCGCAGAAACGGTCTCGGCAACCGCGTCGTGAATCGGATATGTCGGGTGCAGCGTGTTGAGCCAAAAGTACTCGTTGACCCTGTACGTACAGCTTTCGATAAGCGTGTTGTCGGCATCAGTTCCGCTGGTAAGCCGTCAGCTATCGATCCTCTCTCGAGGCATGAACATTGGGGGGAACTTACTTCTCATACGCCTCACAGTACCCTGTGGTGTTCTTCAGCCCCCGAGTCGCCTCGAACTTGCCAACATCATCCAAGACGCTGTTAAACATCCCATTCGTATCCACGACCCACGTGTTCGCGCCCTCCCACCCCATCACGTTCCTCGCCATGTCGTTCACCCTGCCGTTGAAGTCCAGTATATCCTCCCTGGCGAGCTTCTGCGCGTCCGCGTTCTCCACGAGCAGCATCGGCGTCCGGTCAACAGGCGGAACCGTCAACCACACAAAGTTCCTCGCGCCGGCCTCGTACAGCTCCTTGGCCAGACCCCGGTAGACGTCCACAATCTTGGCGTTCAGCGCCGACGTCGCCTCCGCGCCGTTCCAGTACGAGTTGCCAATGTCGTTGATGCCGATCCAGAACGCGAACACGGAGTCGGCGCCGCTCCAGACGGGGTCCGCGCGGGATGCGTAGGCGCCGGCGAAGAGGGTTTGCACTTGGTCTTTGAGGGTGAGCACCGTGTCGGCGTATGGCTTGACAAGCGCCGCATCCACGGTCGCGCCGCCGTAGGCGAGGTTGTATGTGTACAGCAGCGAGGCGTTATGCTTGACGGTGATGTAGTCGACCCAGTTGGGCCCGTTGGAGGAGGTCCAGCCTGGGTAGGAGGGGTTTCCGAGGGGGTTTGAGGGAGAGGGGGCCTCGAGGGAGGTGTTGAAACCTGTGGGTTATTAGTTTGGTTGGGAGTTGAAGGATTGGTTGAGAGGCGTGCCTGTCTGTGAGTAAGAGTCACCGCTGGCCAGCGTTAGTTCAGCCATGCAGTGGTACGTGGTTTGATGAGAGACCTACAAGACGAATGCGTGCTTGACGTTAGACCAGCCGGGCCACTCCGCTGTTGCGGTACACGCACGCTTGTCAAGGGCACTCGCTCCAGCGGCCAAGAGGCTTGTAGTCAAAAGAGTCGACTTCATCGCGTCCCTGACTGTTGCCGTAACAAATATGTGTAGACAAAAACGAATGACTAAAATGAGAGCCACAGAAATACAGATCGGGAACTGAGAAAGGGAGACACACAAGATCGACCGGAACCTGACAGGATCTATAAACTACCAGCGCTCTCAAGACCCGTCACGACGGAAGATTTGTCCATGAAGGGGGGCACGACACTCAATCTACACCTTACCCCGACCCATCGGGGCCCCAGGACCCCTCAATATACGGAAGGGAGCGAGCAAGCTTGGGGCGCTTGCAAGGGGCGGGTGTCTCCGGGTAGGTGACGCTCTGCTCCGCTCCGGCCGGCATCAAAGTCTGCCTCTACTCATCATCGACCCAGCAGTGACGGCAACCAAGGCAGTGGTTACCAGCGTTTATCGAAGACAACGCCCGATCGTGCTTGTTGCTTTTTGGTATCAATATTGCATTGGAGTGACCTTCCCGAGACTCAGCCGCTATTACATTGCAAGGGACCTGTTTATCGAACCTTTCGCTCTCATCCGAACTCCAGTGCGTGTGGAGGAAAGAAAGGTGTGGGGTCGAGCACAGAATAGAGTGAAAGTGGACTCGACATGAGACGGGACGAGATGGGGCAATTCGGAGATTGGGCGGCACATGTGCTGCGGAGGGAACGCCTCCGTTTCGCTGCACATGGATTATGGCGTGAGGAGAGTCAAGACCGAAGAGCTTCAACTTCTATCAATCTTCATGATACCAAGGTGTCCGTCCTGTCGGCCCACGACTCTGGACTCGGGAGACGGGGGGTACACCTGGCTCGGACGCGAACGCCGGACGAACAAGGACTCTTGAGATTCAATCACCGCGAGGACAGATCATACGAATTTCCCGAAGAGACATACAGCATCACAAATCCCAAGCAACACACGTCGATGAAGATGTAATCTTATAGGTTCATAAAGTCGTAAATAGCGCCCTCTAAAAACAAAACAACAATGATCCGCCCCAACACCAAAGACGATAGACCATATTGTGAGACTGGGGCTATCCCCATAGTCGCAGGCGAGACTGTTCGAGTAGCCATCTGCCGTGGCCGGATTTCCATACATCTGTCAATGTCCCTCCCTAGGTTTCCAGTACCGGCAATGTCCTTTTTTTCTATTGGGGAATAAGTAATAATCATTTCGCCATGCCAAATTCCAAACATCCAGGCAAATGCAACACTTTCCGTCTCTTCATATACGAGGTCTGTAAATCGTCTTCTGTACATTCAAACAATTCGTACTGGTTGAAAGGTAATGCGCTAGCGACAAACACCCTTACGTGAGTGTGGCCAGCATAGCGCGCACAAGCTTAGGAGGAGGACCTATCGATACCGCTGTTAGCCTGCGTTATTGCATGACGAGGCGACGACGGAGCGCACCTTAGTAGTACTTTGGTACGCTGATGGCCATCCTACCTTTCTTGTCCTTCTCAATTCGCACCCCGCGCCGCGGCTCCTCGACCTTCTCGACCTTCTCCTCGAACAGGACAACAGCGCCGTCGGGCATTTGCTCCGCGCGGATAAGTTCGCGGTTTCCGTGGCGCTTGCGTTCGTGAAGCTGGGCTTCGAGCGCCTTGATTTCGGATCTGATGTCCTTGCGCGAGCGGGAGCGGCTGCGTCGGCGCTCTGCGACGGCCATAGGCCCAATGGGCACTTCCTCGCTGTACTCGCGGCGCTCGTAGATGGTTGGCGCCGTGGACGTCGTGTAAGACGTGCTGCTGCGAGCAGGAGAGACGTCGCGAATGATGGTCGTCTTGTTGACAACCTCCAATGGAGGAGGCGGGGGCGCCGCTTCATAGACAGTGGGAGCGGGGGGTGGAGCAGCGACTACGGTAGGCGGCGCGGGAGGCGGCGCAACCGAGGCGGGGGGCGGTGGAGGGGCTGCAGCGACCGGAGGAGGCGGCGGCGGGAGGGCTGCCGCTGGTGGAGGAATGGTGTAAATCTCCTCGTGGCGCTCTTCTACAAGATGGGCAGCCGAAGAGCGAGCGGCGGCAACCTCGAGCTCACCTAACAAGAGTCAGCAAGAAACGAGAAACGGTCTGTCAACACGGGTGCTTACTTTGCTTGTACTCCTCACTGAGCTTCAGCAGTTCGTCAATGTTCTCCTGGCCAAGAGCCTTCAGAACAATAACAGTGTTGCCCTAAGTAAGTCAGCATGATGCTCATGTCAATTTGAGAACGAGGGTCGCACCTCTTCGATGTAGGGGTATCCCAAGTCAATGAGAGCTCGCTTGGAGACCAGGCGGGCTGGGATGCGGGTCTTTCCCTTCTTGGGGTATGCGCTGCGAATGGTCGTGGCGCTTCTGCTACTGCTCGTTGTCCTGCTGGAAGTGCTGCTCGATCTCGAGCTGCTTCGGTGAGAGCTCTTTCTGGTAGATCTCGATACTCTGGACTCCCGGCTGCGGTCTCTGCGGCGGCGCGACGTGACAACCTCGCGCTCTTTTACTCGCTCGGGCATGCCGCGGAACTCCTCATCGCCATAGTAGCCCGGCTCGGCAATCTGGATCTCGTCGTAGCGTTGGGAAGGTGCAGGGCCCAGCTGCCGGGTGCGGGGCAGAGGGATCGGAACGTATGGGGGTGCCCGGTAGTCGTCGCGAGGGTCGCGAGGGTGGACATCCTCTCGGCGGGCTGGCGGAGGGTACTCCTCACGCTCATAGAAGCGGAGTGGGCGGCGATCAAAGGTGTCCAGAGAGGACTGGCGGCGAACCATGGTCGGGCGGCGGACCGGAGAGGGCTCGCGGAATTCGCGCTGAGGAATAGGCTCCTTCTCGAAGAACAAGCGACGGTCAAACTCGCGGTCCAGCGGTTCTCCTCGGCGAGGGCCGTAGCGATCCTCTTCAACATAGCGCCGGTCTCTCACAATGTCGTCGTCGAAGCCGCCACGATGTCCACGGTCATAGGGGCCTCGGTCGAAGCGCTCATCCGAGTGGTCTCTACCACGGCGGGGCGGGGGGTGGTAATCGTCACGCTCCTCGAAGCGGCTTCGCTCATCAGGGAAGCGAGGGGCGCGGTCGTCAGGGTAGCCGCGGTCACGTTCCCGCTCGTACCTGAAGCGGTCGCGGTCCCAGCGTTCAGCGCGGCCGGCCATTATGGGTTTTTGTAACGTATGTGTCGGTGGAAGTGAAATAAAATCGATCTCGGGTATCACAAAAAGTAGCTAAAAAACGTCGTGACCGTAAAACGGGGTTCCGGAAGATCACAAATCGGGTGGTTGTTCCCGGAGGCTGTGGAATGGTCGGGTGGTGGCGGGAGTTCGTGGTTGTGAATCTGGCAGAGAGGTCGGTCGAGTTGCGAGATGCCAAATTTCAAGGCGATGACGACACCTAGGGAGAGAAAGACCAAGAGAGAAGAGGAGAAGAAAGAGGGGAAAGGCGGGAATAATGTGTCCAGCCGCAGCAGGGTGGTGGAATCACTGCCCCTTAACGTATGAGTGCCTGTGGGTGCGAACCGAACCTAGCCCAATAGCGCCGGTAGTGTCGGTGAAGGCCGTTGACCCGCCCTGGACCCAGTGGGTTACCTGGCAATCTGGATTGGATGATGGGATAGCAGCGGCGCCCTGTTGCGTGGCGCGCAAGTGGCTTATTCCAGGGTTCTGAGACTCGTTTGTGACACTACAGCACCGGCAGAGTATGTGTGTGTTCTATTTGTAGTGAGGCTGGCTGTATGTGCGGCAAGGGTTGAGAAGAGTTTGAAGAGTGGGAGTGACGAGAGACCCCTTTCGCTGACTGGGCGAGTGGTGATGAAAAGCGATGATGGACAGCGGGTGTGATGTGATGTAAAGCCGAACTCGACTGGATGACTGAGTGCACTCACACTGGCGGTCCTAGTGTGGTAACAATCGAGTGTGGTGGTAGGCGTGGATAGCAACCGGCCTATAGGAAGACAAAGTGAAGCCAGGAAACAACCCTGGAGTCTGCCAGCTGACCTCACGAAACTGGGCCTGTGACCCAAGACCCGATGATGGGGTTTTTGGTCTTTGTCGACGCTCCCTGGGACCAACGGGCGGTCCTTTGGACTGAAGCTGCTGGCTGTGCTACAGCTGCTATTATTGCTGCCGAGGGATGATGCAGACGGTCGCACCTGGGCTGAGATGCAGGTCTGCTGGTTTTTAAGGGTCCTTGGGGATAGAGAGAAAAAGAAAGCGAAGAAACCCGGTGGCTAGGCGAGATGAATAGGTTTTGTAGTTTCGATCTATGGCACGACGGAGGTTCGTGGTGGATTGCAAAAGCAGGCTTTTTTGGAAGACGAAAACCCAGGACAGGGTCTCTTGTTCGCCGAGCGGAACGAGGAAGATGGTGGTGTTGGCGATGTGGCTTGAGCGATGATCCCAGCTCGACTGGCGCTCTCTGGATGGCGCCAACGGCCGTGGTAGGGACAAGATGGCTGCTGTTAGTTGTGCCACGGACGCATGTCCCGCTGCTCTCCCGCATGCCAACCCACACACCAATAGGGACGCGAAAGTGCGTCCGAACTCGAGATGCAAAGCCTGTTTCATCGTTGGACGAAGTGTGGTCGCGGCGTGGCATGTCGTGGGACAGATGAGAAGTGATTGTCGGTCACTAACAGCAGCCATCGCCGCGGTATCGGGCGTTACAACCACCGTCCAAACCTGTGGCCATTGCAACAAGGCTACTCCCTGTCGACGGTCCTCCCCGAGGTCTGCATCGTTGCTTCTTCGCTCCCATTCCACGCATGTGGCCTTGCCAGACCAGGTCCAACGCGCCCCTCTAGCCTTAGTGGCCCCAGCCCGCTTTGCACTTTCGAACCTGACTGTCGCCGCTTGGGCAGCCATCGCTGGGAACCGACTTGAAAAAGCGCGACCATGGACTCCATTTCGGACCAGATCTGCCCTTGGAGTGTACGGTCTGAACCCCAAATAGAGCCAACAGAGCCCACTTATGGGTGCGCCATGGATTATGGACCCGTCGTTGGGCCTGAACGGATCGACGGGGAATGGGGATGATGGGGGATGCCAGAGAGTCGGATGGATGGGTGGAAAGAGGTTAATTCGGTCGCTCGGCGGCCTAGGATGGATGGGACGGCTGGATGGTTCGACCTCGCAAACTCGCTGTTCGCTGTCAAAGTGTCTCGGCTTGCCATCTCGTCTGCCATGTATCCGCATTGCGATCCCACCTCTCGGCCCATTCCTTGCGCTTCCTCGTCGTCTGTCTCCCGTGGAACACCGTTCGAAACGTCACCGTGCCTTCATCTTGCTGCGTTAGGGAATGCAAGTGTGGCTTGCATCGCTGAGCTCGTTTTTGCGGGGGTTCACTTGACCGCCACCCTGCTCGATGACGTCGGGTATCAAATCTGGACCAGTCGGTGCCCATTGCCCAACCAGGCGCCGGTCCAGGCCTTACTAAATGGCGGCAGTGATAAGGCCTTCTCGGTGTGGGCTCTCAATGTCGCGAATCGCAGCGCGTAGCGGATACGTACGAGGAGCCCTAGGGACGGTTGCAATTCCCCACCGCCGAACCTAGGTACTATGACCATAGTACTGTGTACCATAGGTCAATACTATGGTACTATGTAGAAACGGCTTGGGTGCCCGATGGCGGCCCTATTGGCCCTTGGGGCCGTTTCGAACCGGGGTGTCCTGTCGCTATTCGTGAGCCTTTGCAATTTTGCGCTGTCGTTTTTGTCATTGTTCTCCTCGTGCGCCCTGGTGCTTGTCAATTCCAATCTTGTTCCCGGTGCTTTGGGGGGCCTTTGTTGGAAATTCCGCTTGCGTTTGTTGTCTGCAACTCGAACCTCGTGGTACAAACGGACTTGGGAACGAGGGAAGCTTGTGTATCGGAGAAGTCTGTCGTTACGTATCCACGCCTCAACAAAGTTGGTGCACTGGTTCCTGCGCTTTCCACAGGATGGAAGGCGTGAGAACCAGAGATGTGTTATCGGTGTGAGGGACGTATCTGCTTATGTCATTCGGAGAAGGCCAACAGTGGCACGTGGACAGCCGCCTAGTGGGGTTGTCGTTGCCCAACCAATTTCCGGACTTAGGTACGTACCTCAGGACGCTGAGACCAAATTCCATTGGATCGTGCCTCCATCGAGTTCATCGCGCCATATACGTAGAATAGTCTCAGATGACAGCCATTCGTTCCGGGCTCCTGGGTTACTCCTAGATCGACCGGTATCGAGTCTGGACTTCCGGTCGAAGGAGACACCGCATGGCTTTCGGTGCCAGACACGAACTCTCGAGAGAAACTCTCCTTCAAACGCTGCCCACGGCCGCCAGGACACCCCTCTCGCACTCAAGTGCATCGAGTCAGACCACAGCAGCGAGTGCATCGTGCGGGTGGTAACCCTCACCAACACCCGCGCCTGCATTAGCAGCACAAACACAGGCACCTTCTGACGTCTTCGATAGAATCTGAGGTCTTGCGGAAGACTGGACGGTTTGGAGCCGACGAATCTCGAGGCAATATGCATTCCCGATGTGGCTCTGAATCCTCGTACTATCCACAGCCCGCAGACCAGCGGTCCCCAGCCCCCAGCCGCCAGCCGCCAGTCGAACTGGGCGGTTCGTGCCGTCGTCGCCGTTAAGCTTAGCTCGTTCCGGAGCTACCCCGGCTTTTGGGCCTTGACGGGTTGTCTACTCACGATGGTCTTTGGGACGCCGCTGCCCGAACCTGTCGGGAAATTCCCCCTGCTGTCTTTATTCCCTTATCTGAGTCTCTGAGGATGAGTTGCAAATTGCCAAGTACCGGTTGTAGAGCCGTGTGTTAATGATCCGTTTGGAAGACTGTAAGCGCTAGTTGCCATTCCAAGGATGAGCGCCAATGGCCATGTTGGAGATAAGAGGGAATATCACAAGGTGGCACACAGGAAGGCACCATCGCCCGAGGTTAGTTTGTAGGCACCGTTCCTGATAAACCACATGCCCTACATATCTTTTCGGGAATCTGATAGCACCTTCAGCCGCATTGCCAAGCAAGCTTGGAGCCATGGAGGCTTTTGAGCCTCGGCGTGTCTACCCAACCTCAAGTTGGTAACACAGCATGCTGAAGAACGACATCTTCCATCGGCTTGACCACGTTCCTTTGTCCACTCAAACCGAACTACACGAGCCAGGGATGGCACTTGATTACCCTCCAACCAGTCCAACAAGAATGTCATCAATGGACATCCCGACCTTCGGGATTCCCGAATTATGGGGCGCCTTTCATTGCATGCAGAAGGGAGACGAGCACCTCAACAAACCAAAGTCCAGCCAATTGTGCCATACAATTGCCATATACATAAGTTCCGGAAGGAAACCCCGGAGAGCTGGAGGCGGGACAGCGGCGTACCCTCTACGGACCATCGGCAACCGCCATAGACTGGAGGCTTAGCCTCTTGGACAGCATCATGAAGAGCATAGCCACGATTCCAGAGCTGCAACGTCGTGATGACGGATGTTGCCGTTGTATTCCGGCCTCCGGTCCAATCATATCGGTCTTGTCACAACGGATTCTGCAGGACGAACATTCAAAATCGAGCGCAGTCTTCATCTCGCATCCTGCTGTCGTAGAGATAGTTCGCACTGGCCCCACGCACACACACGAACCGCCCGCGCTTCAACGCTATTCTCGACCGATTGATCGGACGAAGAGACTGACTCCAGACTCCCGCGCGCCTCGAGAGTTTGTGTCCGTTTGCCGATGAAGAGTGCCGACATTCTCTCCCGAGACGAGACGGGAATGGAGCGTGATCTGCATTTCTCCCCAGTTACGCCGAGTCGAGCTTAGCTAAATATGGGTGACTCAACAAACGCCGGCTCTATCACAACGACGAAGTTCTCGTCGTCGAGGGAAGATGCTGACAGAGTCGACGCTTCGTTTGGAATCAGAAGTTCTGACATCTTGCAACGGGTTTGGTCCAACACTCAACGAGTCAGTCATCGTCGCTGCTGCTGCCGCCTAGAGGCAAAAGCAACAGCGCGTAAACATATATCCGTCACGTCGCACGTCTTGCAGATGCGCGTTTGTTCATGTCCATGAAACCAGCGATGTTGCAACGGCAGAAGCTGGTCAAGTTGCCATCCCAACACGTCACCAGAAATGGAGACGTCCTGAGTGGCTGCTTCAGTTCCGATGTGGGAAAGAAATGGATCCGATGAGCAGGGCCATCCCGCGTAGGGTGAAGCAATTGGTCCTGGAACCATATCCCGTGCTCGCACCCGATGTTTAGAATGTGAGAGGCGACGAGCGGGTGGATGCCTACCCCGCGCTGCGTGTGTGGGAGTAGCCGTCTGGGGTAACTAGCTGGCACCTCCGCCTCGATCTGGAGACTCGGTCAAAAAGGAGGGGAGGGGGGAGACAACAAGGGTTGGGATGAGGTAGATATATCGACTGGCCTGCGCAATCTTGACCACGCCCCAAATGCGTCTTCTGTTGAGCAAATGAACACCATCGTCGTTACTTTCACGGCATACACTATTGAAAAGGCGGCCACTGCCACTACCATTGGTTCTTCTGAAAGAACCAGTACCCTGGTCGCCGCCGTGATATCCCGCCCAGACCAAACCTTCTTTGCCTGAAAATTTCTCCGGCTCAGCGGCGTAATAGTCATCCTTCACCATGGGTAACGAAAAGCCTACCACCGAGAATGTCGACAACATCAACACCGACATGGCGCAGAGGTCGTCGTTCGGGGCGAAAGACGACCCAGAAAAGTAAGACCCCCTCCCAGCGTACATCCGGGATGGCCGACTGACCCTCAATGCTAGACACACCGAGCAGTCTCTCCTTTATGATCCGGCGGTCGAGAGAAAACTGAGGCTAAAGATTGACCTCATGATCGTTCCCACCGTCGCCCTCCTATACCTCTTCTGCTTCATTGACCGGGCCAACATTGGTGCGTCTTGTTCAGTCACCCCGGAGTCGCCTCCAGCTTACACTCCCAGGTAACGCTCGTATCGCCGGTCTCGAGAAGGATACCGGTATGAAGGGTCTCGACTACAACGCCACCCTGAGCATATTCTACATCAGCTACATCCTCTTCGAGATTCCTGCCAACGTAGTCTGCAAGCTCATGGGGCCCGGCTGGTTCCTGCCGCTCACCACTCTGCTGTTCGGAATCTGTTCCATCGGCACCGCTTTCGTGCACACCGTCCCGCAACTCATGGGCGTTCGTTTCCTCTTGGGCATCTTCGAGGCCGGCATGATGCCCGGCATCGCATACTATCTGTCGCGCTGGTATCGCCGCGCCGAGCTCGCATTCCGTCTCAGCTTGTACATCGTCATGGCGCCTTTGGCCGGTGCCTTTGGAGGCCTCCTCGCATCCGCGATCCTCCGCATCGATCACTTTGGCATCTTGCACTCCTGGCGCATGATATTCGCCATCGAAGGAATCATCACCATCTGCCTCGCCCTCTTGGGCTTCTTCACGCTCACTGACCGTCCCGCCACAGCCCGCTGGCTCACACAGGCCGAAAAGGACCTCGCCGAGGCCCGAGTCCGCTCCGAACGCGTCGGCCAAACACACGTCCTCGACAAGATGGACATGCGCAAGCTTCGCCGGGGCATTATCTGCCCGGTGACCTTGTCCACCTCGTTTGTGTTCCTCTTGAACAACGTCACCGTCCAGGGTCTCGCCTTCTTCCTGCCCACGATCGTGAAGAACATCTACTCGACCTCGTCCGTCGAGCGCCAACAGCTCTTCACCGTCCCTCCGTACATCACGGGTGCTGCCTTCACGCTTCTTCTGCCGCTGCTCAGCTGGCGCCTCGACCGTCGGCAAATCTTCTTCGTCATGTCCGCGCCAATGGCCATGGCGGGCTACATCATGTTCCTCGCCTCCAAGGATCTCTCGGTGCGCTACGGTGCGACCTTTCTCGTCGCGTCGTCCGTTTTCGCCCTGGGTGCCCTTACCAACGCGCAGGTCTCGGCCAATGTCGTGTCCGACACGGCACGCAGCTCGGCCATCGGGATGAATGTCATGTGTGGTAACATTGGCGGGCTGATCTCGACCTGGTCGTTCTTGCCGTGGGATGGCCCGGATTATCCGATAGGAAACGGGCTGAATTTGGCGACGTGCAGCGTCATTCTACTGACTTCAACACTGACCCTCATTTGGATGAAAAAGGATAACCGGAGGCGTGAGAGATTGAATCTCGAACAGGAGCTCAGCGGGATGTCTCAAGAAGAAGAAAGCAACTTAGATTGGAAGCATCCTTCGTTCAGGTGGAAAGCGTAACCAGATCACAGTGAGTTGTGATCGAAACATACGGACCAAGAGGGGTAAAAGGGTAAGAGTAGACTATTATATGTCATCAAGTTGAAACTGCTATTTCGTCATAATATGTACATGTATGAACCAGCACTAGTATGGGAATCAAGGCAAGTGATTGACAAGATGAAATAGATATGAGCTGTCACCCAGCTCTTCGGACCCCTCCCATCCCCTCGTACGTACATATCGTCCGTCTCTCGACCTCAATATCAGAAGGACCCGGAGAGATGGTAAGGACGAAGTAGACGAGAATCATACGAGGCCGTTTCCATGTCCTCGCCCATGGATCTCCCCTCACAGCTTACTCTTCTCCGCGCAGCACGACTGCCCCTCCGCGAACGCCAGCTTGCTAATCTTGTCTGCCGCATCCAGCACCCCCTTGCCGGCGGCGACCTGGCTCGGCGTGCTGCAGTAGCTGGGCGGCACGTCCATGACGGGGTTGTTTGTGAAGAAGTTGCGCGGCCGCAGCAGCAGCGTGATGGGCTCGACGGGCATGACGGGGAAGTCCTCGGGGGCGGGAATGTGCGTGACGCCAAAGGTATGCCAGAGCACAACGTCCTCCTGCTCGATGGACTCGGTGCCGTCGCCGATCCATTCGGGGATGCCGCTTGAGGGCTCGCCGGACGTCTGCGGGACGTGGCGGCCCGCGGGCCAGAGTTCATCGTCACGGTCTACGGCATGTCAGATTTAGGTTCTCGAGTAGAAGCGCAGAATGACTTACATTTCGTGACGTGCACCGCGTGCCTTGCGAACCCGGCACGCTTCCATACCAAAGAGCCCTCCTTGGGCAACAACCCCGGCACCTCCCTGCTGACGAGCTTATAAGATGCTGGCTTGCCGCTGTACGGGTGAATCTTGTCCGTGTTGGCAATTTCCCACGTGCGGCTTGTGGAGCCATCGTAGTCCGTCTTGGACTTGCCCGTGGTGTCGAGCTTTGTGCGCCGCGCCGAGAACGCGTTGCCGTAGTAATTCTCGGGCGAGCCGACGGGTGCATCAGATGCCACGGCGTCGACCATGAAGACTGTGTTTCGGGGTCCGTCGACGTTTGCGTCGACGCGGAGGCAGAAGAGATGCTGGTGGTTGTGCGCGTTAACGCCCGGGTAGACCTGCGTGCCCCAGCCCTTCGTGTCCTCGCCCGGATTAAGCGAATAAGTATTGAGAATACCCGTTAATTTAATTTCAGGCTGAATCGTGCCATCTTGCTGAGGAGTTGTCAGTCATTGTCTTACATGAAGAGGTGAAGACATACGTGGAAGATCCATTGGATGGCGTATTCGTAGTTGGCGGCGGTGAAGATTTGCTGGATAATGAGCTTGCGCCCGCGCGTGACGATCACAGAGTCGTCACGGAAGTCGGTGTGCTTAAAAAGAATACCACTGTCCTCCTCATGGATGCAAATGGCGTTCTTGATCGTCCTCACACTGCCGTTGCGTGTCGGGAACTCGGCGTCGAGGTAGTGGATCTCGCCCTTGCAGTCGCAGCCCAGGGCCAGACTGTTGGTCATGTACCCGGCGCCGTACTCGCCCAAGTCAAAGGCGTGCTTGCGTTGGTGCGGGTGTTCCGGGTTACCGTACGGCACAACCATTTCAGCCAGCGACAGGCGATAGAAGATGGGCCGCACGTTGCCCTTGTCATTGTAGGTGATATTGCTCAAGACGATGCCCTCACGGTAGTTGAAGCCGATGTGGAAATTCCAGTTCTGCCATGCAATCTCCCGCCCGGACATCTTGAAAGAGACGCCCTGCGGCTGGGTGATGTTGATGGGTTTCAGGTCGCGACGGTAACCACCCAGCTTCTGGATGGCGGCCGGGTGGTAATCGATGGGCGCAGCCTTGCTAAGCGGACGGCGGACCTGGGGCACGTCGATGGCAATGATGGCCTGCTTGTCGGCGTCGTAGATGGGGCAGAAGTCGAGCGGGTACTGGTACTGACAGGTGTCCGGGTCCGGGCGGTAGTACATGAGGGCCTGTTGGAGGCGGACGGTGTTGCCGTGGCGCTCGTCGTAGCCGATGGTCCAGGGGTCACAGTAGACCTTGTGCATATCGGAGGCGGGGATCCCGGAGATCTCGCACTGCTCGATGACTTTGGGGTCGGTGCGGCAGATGTGTTCGACGATTTGCAGTTCTTCCATAGTGATCTGAGGGTGTTAGTCCGACGGCGAGATTGTAGGGGGTGTGGGACAGGGAAAATTCACGATCGGTTGCACGCCCTCCATGAGCTCCCACTTCGTGATTGCGCCGGAGGCAATATCAACGAGACCATCGTAGACCTTGCCGCCCTTGGCAATCACCACAACGTCGGCGATGCGGCGGGGGAGGGGTGTCGTCGAGGGTGAAGCGAGCCATCTTGTCAATTCGGCCTTGCGGGGTTCGTGAAGGGAGACGACGTTGAAGAAGACCTCGCCATGGGTCTTTGTGATGACCGCAATGGCCTTTTCGATCTCAGCAGATGAGAGGGGGTCTAGAGGGTGCGGTGGTGCCATTGTGTCTCTGGCGGTGTGTGGCTGTGGTGTGGTGTATGACTTCCGGACAATTGAATGGCTTGAGAAATCAACAATAAGGAATGGAGAGCATCTAGAATCTGCAACTAGGGAATGTCGAGCTTTACATAACGCTTATATCTCCAACAATGTCAATGGAGACTGAGACTGAGGCCACCCCTCCAGCCAGACCGCGCAGATAGCCGCGCTCTGTCTCATCCGATGCGCGACTCATCCCACCACGGGCGACCGGATCTGGCATCGGTCCATACTGGTTTTCGAGAGAGCAGCTGGCAGACACATACGGTGCGTCATGGCAATGACCAAAGGGCTCTGGAAGTCTAGGGATTCGGCAAATTCATTGGAGAAGGTGGGGATGGGCCAGGGATAGGATCTCTCGGGACAGTTCTGATAAGAGGTCGAAAGCTTGGTGAGCTCCCCAGGGTCGCATAGCTGCATGGTTGAAGCTCTGGAGCGGTCTCAATCATTTGACCCGATAAGGACGGCCGCACGCAACTTGTGCATTGGCATGGATAATGGCTGTTCGCCTCCAAGGGATTCCAGGCCAGCTCATGCGCTGGAATACAGACAAGACGAGGTGGGGGGAAGGACGAGACGAGGGGCTGGATGGGGAAAACCTACACGATAAGCTCTCGCTACTCCGGCTATCTTATCAGAGGCGGGGGGGCTGTAGATCCACTCTCCGGCACCGGAGACGGCTCTCGAGTGGGGCAGCTCGGGACCAGGTTCGGGCGAGCGGTATCGCTTTGGCCACTCAGAAGATCCCGGATAATATTTCCTATTCGGGACTAGACTTTTAATGCTTGCACCAACGCTGGACAGACTACGAGCGTGGTTGAGGTTGATAGCTTTACCTAACACCAATCATGATAGGAGTTAGCGACGCCCGTCTTGAGTGCGAAAGTGCGAAGATGCGAAAGTGCGGCCTGAGAAAAGCAGGTTAGGGGCTAGGGGTGAACCGGTCCATACGCCAGGGCGTTGAGTCCTTTTGATCCCTCGAGTTCATCCAATCTGAAAAGATGCACCGTCTGTCTTATCGTTCTCGTGCATGGGGTTCAGAAGACGGAGGAGCTGTTAAGGCCGAACCATCGGCGTTAAGATACACAGGATGACGCCAGCAAAATCTTTGCTCGAATTCGGTGACTGGTTCGCTCCGTTAGCATCATCAGCCACACCCGCCTGACCTCCAAATTCTCTGCAATTGGACCCCTGCCAAGCACCAGCCTCAATACGTCTCTGCTTGGGCTTGTCAGAAGACGTTGGTCGGCCTTAACTTTGGACCGTCGTCATCATCAAGTCGAGGAGTCATCAACGCCGTGCTGGCAACTGCTGCAACGATCAATTCAGCTCATCCTGTTACATGCGAAAGCTGCCGTTCCTCACAACAAACACAGGACTTGAGCTCCTTCTCAGCGAAACACCCCATACACTGAATGGTCAAATCGGGACTCCGGATAGAACACTTCATAGGAATCCCTGTGCAACGACTTCAACGCACTTTGCAGCCCGCCATATCGGGACTTGAGTCCCCAACACCCCCACAGATCTTCAGGGCCTCCAGGGATTTGCTTTCCGCGTGTCATACCCACCCTACCAACAAGCCCCCTAAACAACCCGACATGGCCTCTTTCGCAACACCCCTGCCACAGTCAAGCAGGTCCGAGGTCCTCGAGTGGCGCTTCCCGAAGCCTTACCACCAGTATGTTCTGACTGGCAAATCACGGGCTGCGTGGCACACTTCATTCGTTATACCCCAGCTCAACCTCCTCCTCGATGCCGGCCTCGTCGTCAACAACCTCCGGCCCAAACATATATTTGTAACGCATGGCCACGCCGACCACTGCTTGCTTATTCCTGCGTTTACCAAGCGCGAGGACCCGCCAGATATCTTTTGTCCTATTGAAATGAAGAAGGCTCTTGAAGACTTCATCCTGGCCAAGACGCTACTAAACCGCGGTGGACTATATACAAGCAACGACGCGGAGTCACTGGGGCTAAAGCTAGATGGGAAGGGCGTGGATGAGGAGGGGCGAACAGAGGGTGAGAGGGCATTCCTAGGTACTCACAAGACGACAGCCGTTAAGCATGGCGATGTGGTTCCGCTACGGAGGCTGAAGGGCATGAACGCTATGGTGGTCCAATGCGACCACAACGTTCCAAGCGTGGGCTACGTTTTCACTACAACAACTCACAAGCTGAGGCCCGAGTACACCTCCCTGCCCGGTCCGGAGTTGAAGAGTCTCAGGCAGTCGGGCGTGGAGCTTACGGCGCCAGTCACGACGCCCATCTTTGCCTTTCTCGGCGATACGACGGCGTCGACGCTTGCTGCCGAGCCTGAGTGGTTGGAGCAGGGCATTCCTGTGGTCATCACTGAGTGCAGCTTCTTGTACGACGAGCACGATGCGCAGGCGGAGAAGACGAAGCATACCAAGTGGAAGGACTTGGAGAAGGTGGTGCGCAAGTGGCCGAAAACGACGTTCATCCTAACGCACTTCAGTATGCGGTATAGTAACAAGGATGTGGTGGCATTTTTCAACGACTTGAACGATCCGCCGGCAAACATCGTGGTTTGGGCGGATGGACAGCCTGAATGAAGTGGCCATGACACTTTGGCACCACTAGGAGGGTCTCTTTGGGATCAAAAGAGGCCTTGCATATAGACATCGAGAGTCATGCGATTCTTGTAGAAGCGTCCGCGAATATGTAGCTTCAGAGAACGAGGTTTACCAGAATATGGATCGACAAGAATATAGAAACAAACACTCGACGCTAAATTACACCGCTGTTCTATCCTTCACCTTGGTAATTGGCTGTTCTGGTAGTGTAAACCCCATTCAACAATGTCGATTACTGAACCTGCAATCCACTAAAGACGTCGCCCACTGTTGCTGACCACAAGTCCACCAAATAATTCTTCCTCGCCGCCCAAAGGCCAGTACCGAATCTGGGGAACACCTTTTTGGCGCTCTGCAAATAGGTGGACTTAAGATTCATTACGGGTGTCGGCTTCATGTCAAGGTCTTCGGGGTGAGGTGTCACCGACCTAATCCGCTTCGCGTCCATACTACGCCACAACCTGACTAGATACGAAGCGATCGCCTCCGCACCCAACGTCCAGGAGGCGTTGCTGTACCCAAAGACGTAGGCCATGTTCGGGATATCCTGTAACATGCATCCCTTGTAGGCAAACTTTGTGTTCGGATCCACAGGAACACCGTCAACTGATATCGATATGGAACCGCCGAAGCGGATCTTAAGTCCTGTTGCCGTAATGACAATGTCAGGCCTCAGAACTGTTCCGCCTTCCGTAATGATTTCCGAACTTGTCACGGTGTCGATGACGTCCGTAACTACATCGGCTTTTCCAGATCTCAGCGCGGCGTAGAAGTCAGAGTTGGGACAGACGCAGAGTCGCTGTTCCCAGGGATTGTAGCGAGGCTTAAAGTGAGGATCCAGCGGGATGTCTGGAGGAAGCTGCTTCTTCATGGTGCCTAACAGAAACCGTCGAGCGGATTGTGGGAACCATTGACAATAGGTGTAGAGAACAACGCTAAACATGAAATATTGTACCCGAAGAATCCGGCCTGAGATGCTTCCCGGCAAGACTGAGACTAAGAATCTAGTCAATGCACTTTTTCTGGATGGTAGCCCTACGATATATGTCGGGCTTCTCTGGAGCATGGTGACGCGTGCCGCATCTGTGGCGATGTTGGGTAGCAAAGTGACCGCAGTGGCGCCACTTCCGATGATGACAACATTTTTGTTGCGATAGTCTAGATCTTCTGGCCAAAACTGAGGATGGACGACTTGGCCCTCAAAGTTCTGGATGCCGGGGATCTCAGCGGCCAGGGGCTGTTCGTAGTCGTAGTATCCAGTGCCCAGGATGAGGAAACGGGCCGAAATCGTCTTGACCTTCTCGCCGACCGTAGCTTGGACGAACCACCTGGAAGTATCTGAATTCCAATTTGCGAACATGACCTGATGATGGTACTTGATGTGTCGATCGATGCCGTGCATCGACGCCGATTCTTCGAGATACGAACAAATGTCACGGCCTTCGGCCAGTGGGTTGTCGCCCTTCCATGGATTCCAAGAATACCCGAAAGTGTAAATGTCAGAGTCTGATCGGATGCCTGGGTAGCGAAATAAGTCCCAAGTGCCTCCCAAACGGGCCCGTCCTTCAAGAATAGCATATGTGGCATTTGGAGGGCCATATTTTTGTAGATAGTATGCTGTATTGATGCCAGAGATGCCAGCGCCAACAATGACGTAGTCGAAAGTCTCGTCAATGGTGGATGACGGATCCGTCTGCGAAAATGAGCCCATGATGATGTTGATGGTCGTACAACTTGCGAGTTTCCTGAGTATATGGAGATGAGTCAACCGGTACTCAGGAGCTCTTAGTAGACGAGGGGTCCCTGATCCTTATATAAAGCTCATCATACCAGCATCTACGTGTCGCAAATCGTACGATTGTAGCCACCTCGGAATATGTAGCCCAAACCAACCAGTACCGGAACGTGGCGAGGATGCTGCGTTTGAGTTGCCAGATGCGTATAAACCAACTATTGCCGTGCCCAAAGACTTGGGATGAAACCCCGAAACATGATCGTCCGGTTTCTCGTCTTTCCACAAAGCACGCGGAGTCGGACTCGGTCTGTCGTATACTCCGAACTCCGCAGCGAACTCAACTTATTATATATTTGCGAAAGTCTATCGATTACCGACTCACGCCAATTCTCGAGGAGAAACTAGAATCACATGAGATGACAAGAAAGTAATTCGTTACATCATTCAGCTAGCAAAGACTCTCGTTTTATTCGGGGGGTTTGCGGTTCCCGCGGATATGTGCAAACACAATATGTATGAAGAACTCGCCACGCATTGACCTGGCTTCCACTGCCTCGGTTGATTTGAGACATTTGAGTTGCAGACGACTACGAGTGAGATGGGACGACCTTTTGGCCATGATTGGGCTAGAGAGCTTCCGGCAACCCATGCTCTTGAAGCGGGGAATCCGTGGCCGGCCAATGTAGTCCAAAACAGTTGCGAGATCGCGGAGGTCACCGAAACCCCCGGCGGACCCTAGGAAATAGACCGATCAGACACGGGTTGTATAACTAGTCGGACATGCAATGGGCCGACGGAGTGCCATCAGCAAGGTTTCCTTTGCTCAGTAGTAAATGCTGGAATAACATAACAGTCAAGAAACCATTACAGAACAGTCAGTGCGGGCTCTGTGGACGTCTTTGCCAGCGCTTTTGGTCCTTACGTATCAGTGCGTTGTGGAATTTGTTTACTCCAGTGCGTTCTGTCAACAAAACACTGTAAGATCATGATAACCCAAGAACCCCATGCTCCATATGACGCAGCACCGCTGGTGGCAGTTAACAACAAGCCAGACAAACCTATTATTGAGATAACCCGAGAGGTACCTGCTTTTAAGGTGCTCACTACGACGCTAGTCGCTTAGGCAGTCATGCAACTGCAACTCAACCAGGATACATTAGAAGTTGTTATGAAAATGGTGAATTTAGGACGAACATGCTTGCCGGAGCTCATTTAGGTGATTATACGGCTTGCCGATTGAAGGAGCTGGGGGAATAGAGTCGCGCAGGCAGTGTCACACCTGGCGCAAATTCATCATCGCGTAGGTCCAATTGCTGGGTAAATGCAGCGGCGATCAACACTGTACTGTGTCGATAACAGGCCGAGTCGTCTCAAAGCCCATTTTTTAATAGTACATCCATGTCCGACAATGTTAGAGTTTTACAAAGGTACAGCAAGAAGTGTCATCTCAAAAAAGACCCGGCTTTTTTCTAGAAGTCAGCGTATTTGACCAGGGACATGTGGCTATTAGTGTGCTGCCCTCGGAGAAGCCAGATGAAATGTTTCTGCGTCACGAAATAGTTCAGACAGCGTCAGTACGTTCAGAAAGAGTCAAAGAGTTGAACTAAAATCATTCGAACAGATTTTGATTGGATGACCACCTCCAAAGAGCTGGAGAATGATGCAATCTTCAAATGGATCAGGACTGTATAGGGACATTATAATGGCCAGAATTGACAAACCGTCGCCATCTCGCGGAAATAAATGAGCAACGCTTTATGAGCGAACAGTATAACATTGCAACTTTTTCTATTACTGCAAAGGAGTGGATTGTCCTTGTCTTCCGTTTTCTGCCGTGACGCGTTTATCGTGCACACGTGCTCCAATCGAATATGAGAGGAGTTGGAGGATCCAGGTATGCATAGTTCATAATTAAGATTAAGAGACGATACCAACCACAGAATGATGAGAATGGTCTGGCCATCCACGAACAATGACTGCACCTTCCAAACAACAGATCATGTTCCGACACCTCGTAAGGGGTCTTCGTGGGGCTTTGTCCGTGTTGATTGTTGTGCGGAGTGAACCGACGCGTCGATTAGGACAGGTTTCATCATTCGAAGATATTGATCATCTTGGTTATGATCGTCTGAGGTTGTTGGTAGAAGAAGAGTCGGGCTGAGTATGTAGGTCGCCGGCCTCTGGGTATATCCGTCCATGAACCGTGATGTAAGAATAGTGTTGAAAAAATTAAGAACCAATTTAGTCCTCCCACCGTGTAGTTTTCGCGCCTCAATCCAAGATATGGCCCCAATGACGTTACTCTCGTCATTCCGAAGCCAGAGTCTAGTCTTAGTTTGAGACGGCAATAGCTATCGCCATTCCAACGACTACAGCGAGAAGTCCGAGCTTAGAATCAGACTGGTGGCCGGCAGCGTTGACGGGCGATGAAGTCGAGAACGGAGTGGTAGTCGGAGGAGGGTTCCATCCGTCGCCCCCGTTACTGCCTTGCGTAGCTGATGCAGAGGGTGACTCTCCAGCACCTCCAGACGGCGTTGCTGAAGCCGTCGCCAACGACGATCCGATCGCAGAACCCGAGATAGCAGAGATGAAGGATCCAGATACAGTTTGGCCGGCAACTTGACCTGCGCCAGCACAACCGCACACTTCATGATTATTAGTTACACGTCCAAAAAGGTAGTGAAGAAATGGTATTGAACGGCAATAATAGAGCATCATTGTGATGGATCGACAAAAACGCAAACAATATGAGGGAACTTACCAGATGATGCTCCATTGATAACAGCCTGGATTGAGGCGGCCGGACATCCCGTGGCGACGCAGGGCTCAATAGCAGCATAGAGTGCGGCCTCCTTTCCACACTGGCAAGAGAAGTCAAGACTATCGCAGCCTACGAATGACGCACCCTCGAGGAAGCAGCTCTGAGCGCAGGATGGGATTGCAGTGACTGCCACGCTGGCGCAATTCTCTGCCGCCGCTGCACCCCTCAACAGCAGCGCGGTACCAGCGACGAACCCAACAATGTTCTTCATAATGATGTTTGTGTCCTTTAATATCCAGGAACACACTGATGAACGGTTGTGATTCGAATGGATTGGGAGATGGTGAAACAAGAGATGCTTCAAGGGGTCTTCGTGAACATGGAGATGGGCTGTGCGATTCGTCCCTGGGGTCTGGATACATGCAGGAAAGAAAAGGTAACAGACTTTTTCGTAGGAGATACCAGAAGGAACCCCTATGAAGAAGGGGGTGGGAGTGAGAACGGGGTCATAGGAATGCAGAGTCACCTTGTCTTCCTCACTGGGCTCAAGACTCAATCATAACTCTGCTCCGGACTGGATGGCTAGACTCTTTTTTGCCCTTTCCAGCTGCGCTTCACAGACCAGCTAGCCACCACGGGGGCACGGCCGCTTTCCCAGATTGTTATTTTCACATGTGCGCTTCCAGCCGACGGCCTTGTCGGCATGAGGTCATGTCCCTATTGAGCCATGCTGGGAATATCATCACAAATACGAGGCCGGTGGATGACTGCCACCCACACCGCACCAAAGTACCAACCGACGTTTGCTCTCCAACGAGCCAATTTCTCGGCTGACTTATCCCCATCCATGTTCCCCCGCAGTCGCCCCGGGGTCTGGGGTCGGGGCTGCCTTCCGATATGGGGAAAGACGCGGGGGAAGTGACAGGGATGTTAGAGAGGAGACGGCGCTGATCTTTGGCCCTGACGCTACGGCAGGTGTTCTTCTGTTAAGCTTTCTGGGCGGGAACCAATTGTTTGTCCGAAATGGGCGTTGGGATGGACGAGCTTGTCCGTGTCTTGGACGCTAGTCAGACTAAGAAAAGTCGCTATCAGGTTAGAGCTGGCAGGGGGAGCCAATCCTGGTGATGTGATTTACCATGCAGGCGATAAGTTGTGTTAGTTCATATCAAATGAACCGAGGTTGACTAGGTATACATACGACTGGCAGTTGATTGTGATCGAGTTTGGTCTCCAACTCGTATTGACTGAGGTGTGTGTGGTGGTGACAGGATCAGCTGAATGGTGAGCCTTGGTGGCGAGCCAATCAAATTTAGGGGAGATTCCTAGTTTTCAAATAAGCTTCTAGTCCGTTAGAGAGAGCTGATCAGTGCTCTGAATAAGCTAGCATTTGCTAGTGCTAGCCTTCTTCAATACTAGTCATCGCGACCAATAATTCGTGTGATGCCGCAAGACACTAGCAGCAGCTTATGAGATAGCGTGTTACCACAACTCAAGTGGATGGGCATAATCAGTTCGGCTAATAAGAGGCACGATTCCTCAGAATTGTCATAAAAAAACAGCCAAGGTGTCTTACGTGCACGAGTACAGAACGCGAAAGCTGCATGAAGACCTTTGCGATACCCCAAGGAAAATACTTGAACTTGTGAAACTTGCATCAGGATTCTGATTCTCCGATGAAATTCTCTGCTCGTACTTGCGCCGTCCAATGATAAGCTTGCATGACTACTGTACTAAGCTTAGACCCGCTCGCTTGCTCTATTTCATCGGAGCTGAAAATGAGGATTACTCCCAATACGTCCAATTACTTGTTCAGTCAGGCAGGCCTCTTACCCCTGGCCGTTTATCTTATGCATTGTTAACTTCATGACTTCATGAGAAAAAAGGAAGGCCAAGATTCTAGTTTAAAAGACACTCTACCTTCCGGAGACTACACTTAATAAGAAGCAGTTTAACAGAAGGGTTAGTACTCGTTAGAATAGGATCTAGCTCCAAGCATATTCAACCTTCCAGAGGACATTGACAGAAGGAAAAGTTGGCGCCAACAGCTGCAGTGCTATCTATACCTCACCTTAATTTCATTCGATAATTTCGTTGCCTCTAAAAATAGTTGTTTGTTCTTGGAGTCAAGACCCCTGCGGAAAACTTGTTCCCTTTGGCATGAAACTCATCCGAATTAACGATCTTGACTAAGTCAGACGAAAATCAAGGAGATTAGTTCCTTATTTACAACACTCAGGGTTTCAAAGAACTGAGAAGATGGAAGGCCTCAGGATTACTTATTACTTGCATTGGCAATCAGACAGTGCTTAATTAGGTATCTTAGGTTCGAGATACTGTTCAAGCACAGCCCTAGCTCTAAAGTAAAGAAAACTCATGGCGGCGGCTGGCCTTCTCAAGAGAACGGCTATGTGGCATTTAAACACTGGAGTCTTCATTCGCAAAAATGGGCTACGAAGAATGCGCTGATGTGACTGTTTGGGATCATTCGCATGACAATATTCCCGAATCGCCACCACGAAGTAAGCTTGCTTCTCATCTTGCAATCTTCAGCCCAACCGCCATTCACGCGATCCAGATCTGACTTTAAAGCCGGGCTGCAGAAAAGACTTTGCGGTGCATGCTGCGCATGAAGTTCGGGTTTTTCGTAGACATTTGCTAGTCTATCGTATATACAGTTCGTGATGATAATATGTATAATATGAAGTTGCAAAAGTGATAATTTGCATACGGAACACCTGTAGTTCTGTCATCGACTTATGCATCAATGTAGAAGTCGATGCAGCTTTCATAAGTTTGCTTGTTCGTCTCGGCGTACCAGAACCACTGAATGGCACACTTGCCGCCGATGTCACAAAGCGACGCCAAGGTATCCGGAATTGTAACATTGAAGTCAGCTGCGTCTTTGTATTAGCAAAATGATTTCTGTCTGATGATCCATGACTTACTGTCAGCCAGAGGATCGGGATTGGTCGTCGGCCAGTCATCCCAGGTGACGAGGGGCTCGCCAATGACTTCGTTGCTTGCGAGGTCAATCACTGAGACGTTCTGTAGTTGCTATCAGCCTTGACTTTAGCCCAAGTATATCACTGGAGACTTACGGCGTGTCCTGGTCTATGGCCGGCGATAAGATCAATGTGGAATGGAATGACCTCACCAGCCGTAACGGCGCGAACATTATCCTGGTTGTCTTCGAATTGATAACCGCGGCATAGGAACAGATTACACTTGTAGTTGGCATCCGCAACCTTAATGGCGTTCTCGATAGGGCCAGCAGTGTCTGCGAGAGTGATGAATTAGAGACATGCACTCGGGATGAATGTGAAGGGGGAATATACCGCTCTCAAGCTGATCCGTCACTGCGGCTCCACAGAGCTCTTGTTGCTTCACGCCCGACTGCATTGTAGGTGGTTAGCCCAAAGTACAAGACGATCATGGCAATAGATTGCCTTATCTTACAACTCTGGGCTCAGGGTCTTGCACGACACCATGTCCAAAGACACCTGTAGCGAGAGCCGCAAAGACGGCGTGTGTGAACAACATGGTAGAAAGAAACAAGGATGATTGATCGGGCGATCCGCACACATTCAAAGTGCTCAAAATTGCTCAGAGATGTTGGCCGAGGTTCCGAACGCTGGTTCAAAGGCCTTCTGGACTTCTTCTTAAAGAATCTGGCTCGCCTCCAAGACTTTCAAATTAAAGTGGTACATAGATCAACAGGAAGCAAGCCTTTGCCGTAGTTTAATTAACTGCCCGCGTGGTGCCCCATTTACTACGATTTCTCCACAAATGACAAGGCCACTACCGCCAATCATGCCCTTGGATTGATCAACTTGCGGCATCTGTACAAACCACACGCAATCCACAACAACCCCTTACAGAACCGCAAAATCAAAAGAACCCGCGTGCAATTGGTGGATTTAATGAAGGGCTTGGGGTTTAAGAGGGAATAAAGGAGGCCTCTTGTTAACGCGAAAAGGGGGATAGAGCTAGAGATGTCTGACATTACAAAAACTGACGAGACAAGCCCTCTAGGCTCAGCTCTACAACATCCCCTAGGCGTCTTATGTAACATTAACTTTATCATCGGTGGTCATTGTGAGCAACCAACATATACAATGCATGTTACTAAGCACATCCTGCAGCATCAAAGTGTTTCATACCAATTGACCAGTATCGGACTACCTAACCATGGGCTTCAAATTGCCCAAAAGAGAGACTATGGACGTACTCAACATGTATAGTGAATGGGCCACCCCTGACAGGTGATAACGTAAGAAACACCTTGCTGTGCTCGGGTAAGCACATATGCTTATCAGCCATATCGTAGCCTGTTGCAGCGACAGTACGGCTATTGTTGTAACCATTGTAACTTGCGGGGTTTGGCCTGATTGCGGTTTTTTTTTGTTGGTTTTTTGCCTCATCATGAATGAACTACCTCGCCAATCTGCGCTTTATCTGACAAGATCTCAATTACGGAAGGTTTCTCTAGGAAAGCGTGCGCGTGTTCCCCTTGACAGCTAATCTACTGACCGCCGACAAAACATCCCTCTTGCTAACAAATATGTCGTCATCTATACCAGTAGAACCACGCTTCATCAATAACCCTGATCTCCCACAGGACTACCTTTCATTCAGGGAGAAATCAGAGGTTCGCGTGCAGGAAGCGTTGATACACATCATTGGCGAGACTCATCCTCGAGAACACTACACACAGGACGAATGTCGTGGTTTCTTCCGCGGCCCAACGGCTCTAGCATACTTGCTACTCAGAATCCACGCCATATATCCCGAAATAAAGATTCGTGGGGAATCCCCCCAGTATTGGGCAAGTTCTTACCTCAGCGCCAAGCGCACCGGCGGCAATTCGGCTTCATGCGGCCTCGCGTGTGAAAGTGCGGCGTACTACGCTGTGGAAGCCATGTTGGATGAAACGAAAGCGCCAAGATTTCGCGATGAGCTAGGAAAGATTGTTGAAGAGGAAGAACATCCATACGAGATTCTCTTTGGGCTTACCGGACTACTTTACATGATTCGCGCTGTAGAATTCTTCGTAAGTGGCGTTGTAAGATGGTTCGTTTTCCGAATGAGCTGACCAAAACCGCCAGAAACCGGAGACAGCCTCTCTTTTGATCACCCTCAAAGCTAGAATAGTGGATAAGACCCTGGCCGCCGGTCCAGCATGGACCTTCCGTGGGAAGCGCTACATTGGTGCCGTGCACGGCGACGTCGGTATCTTGACTCAGCTCCTCCTAACAGATCCGAGCTTGGCAACCAACTCTATCGTGCGCAAGTCACTGCAGCGGCAGCTGCAGTTGCAGCATGAAAGCGGAAACTGGCCCACGAGAGACCCTACACCAGAGTTTGATCGCGTCTACCTCGAGCTTGTGCAATTTTGTCACGGCGCACCTGGTTTTGTTTTATCGCTGTTGCACCTCGAGCAAATGCTTCCTGACATGAAGGAGCAGATTGGTAATGCAATCATGCTGGGCAGAAAATGCATCTGGCAGGAGGGGCTGTTGAAAAAAGAACCTTGTCTGTGTCACGGCATTCTAGGCAATTCCCTGTAAGTGTTTTCGAGATTGGAACCTTGCTGTGACTTCCGCTTACCGGTCATGTAGTGCGTTCCCTCTCGGTCCGCAAAGGAACCACTTCCTAGCGTGGTCGCTGCCATCCAAAGTTGCAGAGGAACGTCGACGGGACGGGTCAATATTCTCACAGGAAAATGGTGGGCGCATGTCCATTTGGTTCGATTATTGGCCAAGTGCAGCTTGGACTTGGACAGTTTGTGAGGCAGATGTTCCGAAGTTCATTCTGTACAACGATGTGTAGCCGTTAGACTCCATAAGTGCGAATATGAAACTACTCGTTTCGTTGATATTGTTCTTGACAGTGTCCTTGACCAATGAGTGGGGCTTCATCGACCCACATCCCCAAGCATAATTTACTTAGATTTTGAGTGCACGTGCCTCTGGTCTCGTACACACGGATTGGCGACGAGCTTAACATGAGGTCACTCCGAGCCCCTAAACTCACGGACAGGCTGCATGTTTCAGCGTTCCAACTTAGCATGTTTCTGGGCTAATGTGGGGTTCCTCTGTCTTTCTTGCTGATTTTCATTTTAACGCCTTGGTATCTAGTTTGCTGGGAATGCTGGATGATTTGGTGGGCGGGTTGACGATTTCACCACCACTGTTGTTGTTACCAACCCGTCTGGGGCGTGGTCCTTGACGATCTGCAGTCGTTCTTCTGGTGGTATATCTGATACCCACGTGTCGGACGTGTAAGACCTTGTAACGGTGGTCCTGCTGTATGCAATTTCGAACTTTTTCTCGACCATGATCATTTCGGGTGCTTGTATTGAGAGACTGAAGCTCCTTCCCGCCTCCATATTGTGGGCGTCAGTCCAGATTTTGTTTCGTGAACCTGTCGATATCCGGGAAGCTGAGATGCTCGGGGATGGTACTGGGTCGGAAAAGTGGTCTGGGAAGTAATGGTCGGTCAGGGGCTGAAGTGCCGGGATGCAGGCCGCAATGACAACGACATCGGCTTCGAGGCTGTATTCAACTGTTAACGATATCGGAAAGAAATATTGTGAAACGAAGCCAGCAGCCGTCAAGTACTTCTGCCTTGTCTTAGAAAACATGATGTCTCCTTACCTTGTCCAGATAACGAGATCAGCAGAGTCGTCTAAACGTCCGCATTAGCAATTGTCAAGTCCATTGGGACCTTTAACAAGGTTACTTACAAGTGAAATCTGGACTTCTAAGAGACTTCAGTCTCGTGCACTTGAAAAGAGCTGTGAATAATGCCCTGTCAAAAATGTGTTAGTTCACAAGGTCGAAATGCTAAACTGCCTTTCCATGCAGACTTACAAGAGACCTAATACCAAGGAGATTGCGAGCGCAAGTCTCTTTCTCCGCGTGATCTTTAATCTACGGACAGATAATGCAACATAAACCGCAAGGTATCCATTCGTAGCAGCTGAAATTGCTGATTTGATTGTAAGTGTCAACATATGAATGTCGGCTTTTGTTGAGCTTCCAGCAGCTAACTCACCACTTGTGGATATTGAATATGCAACAGCCCTATCAGGGCCAAGACACGCCGTTTTTGTGAATGATATTTGAACCACTGAATCTTGCGGGCATTGCGCGAAAAGCCCGATCACGTTTCCCAACAGACCGATGGCACATAGCAAGACCAGTGTCCACAAAAAGAAGCGATGGAGTCGTTTCGGATTGAGAAGTCGGTTTATCAGCGCTACGATGGTGAGCTTGGGCAGTGCCAGGGCAATGATTCCAAAGGCGAAGGCCATCACTGTCCAGCGAAGGGTTTCTTCTTTTTGCTCATTGGTGAGGATGGCAACATGTTTGCCGTTTCCCAGTGCGACGGCTTTGAGCGTGGTCCCGGTCGCTGTCCATCCCGATGCCTGGTAAGAAACGAATCGTTAGAAACGTCACATGCAGAATCCAAAGAGCTAAAGCATTCATACTACTGCCAACAGGAGAATCCCGTCGTCGTACTGGATCCGCCTTTGAATCCACCCCTTGACAAAGAGTCGCGCAAAGGCGAATAGGGTGGAGATGATCGTTATTGGTACCACGGATGCCACAATGACGGCACTTATGCTGTGATTATCGTAATCACTGAAAGGTTCGGCATCTGGCAGCAGAAGGGGGAATGGTGGTATTGTCGCTCTGGTTGTTGCCTTGTACAGCATGGACATCATACGCGCCGACGCAGAAGAGTGTTATTGACGATGTGTAGCCATACTATACTGTGCGTATGGTAGTATTGTAGACAAGACAATGGCTGAACAGAGGAAGAACCTTGGATGTTGAGGAGGGGAGGATGAGGGTGTTACCTCTTGGAGTTACGCCACATTTGCAAAGGGGCATGAAATTCGTAACCTTATTCTGGAAGACCTCAGTGTTAAGCCACTGCACTGTATCATGTCCAAGTGGTCCATAGCGATGGTTCTACATACAGTTCAAGGGCCAGCCAGATTAGCCTTCATCTGATTTTGTGGTTGTGTGAAAGAAAATCTTTCGGTAGATGCGTCCCTTGGGCCGGGACAAAGTCTCCAACCAACAAGAGCATTCAATGACTACAAAACGTTGAAGCACACCACCTGCAAACGGCAATTAGTTACAAGAACCGGAAAACCGGAAGAGCCATTGATCTAGAACGATGAAAGAAGGCTACGAATCTCGGAAACCATAAGGAATGGTTGAGACTTAGTGAGATACTAGACCAATTGCATCCGCGCCACGTTATCACCAAAGCGTAATCTGCACGGTTGCGGAAAACACGCCAAGTACATAGTCAGGCCGACTGTCATCATGTGTCAAAAACATTTCTCCCATTATGCACTGGACTCAGCTTAATGTCATTTCTTCGAGGAGGGTGGTCCAGAGTGCATCGACCCACAGAAGAACGTTGCGAGACGCTTAACTGGATGAGTCATAACGTCCTATCTTTCATTCAGGGTTCATTATACAGCTTGTTCTGTGGTAGCCATTACGCTGACTGCTCGGCGGAGCGCAAGGGTTCTAGGCGGGCTTACATCATACCAAATCGGCCCAAAATTCCTACGTAAGGGCTGGAGAGAGTTTGGAGGCCGGCTCAAGTCTGTCTACAAGAGATTTGTTCTGGTGGTCCGGCAAGTCTACTACAGGGCTGAATGCATGCTGTGGCACGATGCTTTGATGACCGTCCAGCACGGACAGCGGTTATCAGTTGTGGTCCAATAGGCTGGAAAAGAAGATCTTGAACTTGCGACGCATTATGCTCGAAGAGTTTGGTTCGATCTTTTGTGAAGTCAAGCAATCGACCGTATTCGTATGAACAAACATGCTTTTGATTGTCACATTATGGACTCCACAGGATTAGGACATGCCAGCCGTAATCAAGTCGCGTGCAAATCGAAAATGGGTTTTGCCGAAGTCGACTTCGATAATTGCCGCCAAAGTTGTACATCATAAAGTGGTATACCAGGTGCTGGAACATTTGGTCTCATAGTCATTTCACCATTTCTGAATTTGATTTGGACAAAATTGACCTGTAAACCATTTCTCTGCGTGAAGGGCACCTTGAGTGAAGTGGCAGAGTTGGAAGATGAAGAAAAAGAACCCCTTTCTCAGCGTCATGGCTTTTCTCCCCATTTCATGTTCAACCATCTGCAAACAGAGCCCAGCCCAGGAAAGCATATGCCTGTCTAAGCTAAACAAAGGCACTAGGTGCTTCCCTGGAAACAGCCTGAAGTCTTGCGTGGTCCATCAACCTGCATGCAGATTCGGTCTTCAGCATAATTGGCCAGCTTTCGATAACATGAAACCGAAACAAAACAGAGTTGCGAGGGTTTGACCATTACGGCTTTCTGCCAAGCCCGCTGCCGCGAGTCCGCGAGGTGGATCGGTTGCTATCTGAACTACGATTCGATTCTGGAACAAGCCAATAGTCAATCATTCCATCGACTGTGAGTGGGCGCCACGACATAAATATTTACAGTTGCCTGGTTCCATATCCACGAGCGGTTGATTCATTTTTGTCAAAAAAAGAAGGTTATAGACTGGTCGTTTTTCAAAGATTGTGTTCTGTGATAATTGTAGTCATGACGCCCACTCATAATGTGAGACATGAGCGTTCACCAGCGACAAGCTCTTGACTTCAGTAAAGCTCGAGAAACGTACTGCGACCAGTGCAATTGTAGTGATTTCCAACTGAAGTTTTCCTCCAACTACCTGCACAGAGTGTGATCGGAAAGATCCAGTTGGACTCCCGATCAGATATAAGTCCTGGGCCCGTAGCACTACTCTGTCCCATCAACTCCTAGAAGATACCAAAATTCCCGACCAAGTTTGATACCCCCAAAGCACTTTTTTCGGCATTTCAACTGAGCTATGATCTTAAGCAATGAATCAAATTGGCATAGCCCTACGGTAAGGGGTTCTGGCGGGCTTATGGCAGTCAATGTAACAGCATAATATTTTCCTCAGAGGAAAAATCATAAGATACAGTAGGTTTTCAGCCTTGAACTCTTCAGTCGATCACTTGGAGACGCTTTATACACGACCAGATCACTACATCTAGTTGTCACTATGTTAGATAGCTTACTCCATGATACATGCATTGCGCAGTAACTTCTCTTCATTTCTATTCTCGATAGCCACAATCCGTAGACAAGCCAAGGCCCTCCAGCTCTTTTCCTGTTCCCAGGGACATTGCCAAGAGAAGCCCAGATTTCTTGTCTAGTCGTCAACTGCCAAAGTGTCGACGCAACGTCCATAAAGGTTAGTCAAGTTAAGAGGGACACTTTCCAATTAGCAGTACAAATATTGAGGAATCTACCTAACACAGACCTCCCGAAAGTTGAGGCGTTCCGAGTTAATGACGCAAAATTTGAGACTGTCACGAACTGAGAATGACGCTTAACTTACTCCGTACCTAGAGTATGCTGTTGATCTTCTATCTGATGACCATGAGTCAGCTCTTCGAACGGACTATCGTGTCAAGGCAAGCTATCGTCACCAAGGTAGAATACATCAAATGCTGGTGAGATGATGTT